ACCTTGAACTACGTCACTGTTACGTCCAGGTTAGTTTCAGATAAACAACAACGCTTCGTGACTACGTTCACTACTTTTATTTCGTCTCAAATATATACATTCCAGCATAGCCCTCGTCCTAACCGCTATCAACTAACCCCTGACAACCATTCACTTCTGCTTTTATACCGCATTCGCCTTGGGATAACAATACATAAAAACACCGGGGTTAACAATACTCTAGGGTAAACTCAACTCACACTCTCCCCTAGTTCTAGATTATTCTAACCTATTTCTATCTAACCTACAACTGACCCGTAACAGTCACCTGTGCCTCTGGCGAGAAGCGACGTGTCCTTTTTCTTGGTCAACCATTCCACAACAACACAGTATACGATACTTTGAGTTTTAAAAAAAAATCACTTCAAACCACAATTTTTTTTTAATGTACTGTATTATTTTTTAAAATGTGTCTTTGTTCAATCTTGGCGCCTTTGTTTTGTTTGTGTTGAGATGTTTGGGAATTCCCACTTGGCGTGAACCAACAAAGTGAGAAAACCGAAGCAAGTCTGCGCGACTTTCAGACTTTCGAACCTCACTCATCGTCAGAAAGTTGAAGTCAACCAGACAACAACCACTTACTGTGAAGAGATAGTGTGGTCAGCAAGTAGCGTAGCGAGGGGGGGGGGGGACATATGTCCCCGGGCGGTGACCTTAGGGGGCGCCAAAATGGGTTGGAAAAATAAATTAAAAGGTTGAGGGGGGTGCAAATCGAAAGTTTGAGGGGAGGGGTCCAAATCGAAATCTCGGGGGGGGGGGGGGGGTGCAAATCGAAAGTTTGAGGGGGGGTGCAAATCGAAATCTCGAGGGGGGGTGCAAATCGAAAAGTTTGTCCCCGGGCGCCGGGAAGGGTCGCTACGCCTCTGCCCCCCCCCCCCCCCCCCCCCCCACCCCCCTCCCGAGAAAAAAGTCCGGAATGAGTAAAAAAAAAAATACATGGGTATACAAGGGAGACAACCTAAATTACTCTCGGTCATTTATAAATCGACCGTTACTTCCCTTGATTGAATATCTGAGACTCTAAGTTGCCTTCAGTTTTCTGGTTCAGTCTTTTGATAAAACTACAAAGGTCAATATTGCTTGCTTACAATTAATCGAGGTGAAAATTACTAAATACCCAAAGAATGAACTATTTTAACAAGTGTTGATGATTTTGGGTTTTGGTTCACTACTTGTGTTCAAATACTTTCTTTGAAGTTGAAGACTAATTTAGATAAATTAATATATCTGTCTACTCTTTGACAAGTGTTATAATTTAGAACAAATGTGTGTAGGTGTACAATTAATGTTTGCAACACAACGTACCTATGCTTGGATGTAGTCTCAATATATACAAGACATTATACCTTTGTGTGGGTATACATTATATATATATATATATATATATATATATATATATATATATATATATATATATATATATATATATATATATATATATAACATAGCGTTGTGTGGGTATACATTCAATGTATACAAGACAAACCTTTGTGTGAAGCATTAGACGCTTGTATAGGAGAACACAACATACATTTTGTGTTCATACACTCTCACATAGGTTTGTGTGGATATAAAGAACACAACATACATTTTGTGTTCATACACTCTCACATAGGTTTGTGTGGATAACAAGAACACAACATACATTTTGTGTTCATACACTCTCACATAGGTTTGTATGGATAACAAGAAGACAACATATATTTTGTTCATACACTCTCACATAGGTTTGTGGGGATAACAAGAAGACAACATACATTTTGTGTTCATACACCCTCACATAGGTTTGTGTGGATAACAAAAAAACATGCAGGTTCCACCATACTGTACCATAACCAATCAAAGACATAATCTGATGATTATGTGGCACAATATAGCATTACCAGGTGGCACAAAACCTTGGACTAAAGCAAAACATTACAGTTACAGTATCTATATAGATAATAATATTAAAGGCCATGTCCAGATTTCTTCCCCCCCCCCCCATTCTAGCCCATTTTAACAACTTGTAGCTTCAACGAAAGTATATTTTGCATTGTTACAAGGTGTTGCTATGTGTGTTCTTTAATTAACAAAGAACAAAAGTCAATGATTAAAAACAAGACATTGTTTAATTTCAAATGAAATGCATTGAAAGCCAAAGTTAATTTGAACAGCTGACAAGTGTAATGATATCTTGATGCATCGCCATGACAACGAATTTCACAAACTTAGTGAAGTTACAATGTGTAGCCATGAAATCATAATAATTCTTTTACACAGAAACTTATATACAAACCTAGTGAAGTGATCTAAAAACTCATTCACACAGCTAATCAAGGTACAAACTCACACAGCTAATCAAAGTACAAACTCATTCACACAGCTAATCAAAGTACAAACTCATTCACACAGCTAATCAAAGTACAAACTCATTCACACAGCTAATCAAGGTACAAACTCACACAGCTCATCAAGGTACAAACTCATTCACACAGCTAATCAAGGTACAAACTCATTCACACAGCTAATCAAAGTACAAACTCATTCACACAGCTAATCAAAGTACAAACTCACACAGCTAATCAAGGTACAAACTCATTCACACAGCTAATCAAGGTACAAACTCATTCACACAGCTAATCAAAGTACAAACTCATTCACACAGCTAATCAAAGTACAAACTCACACAGCTAATCAAGGTACAAACTCACACAGCTAATCAAGGTACAAACTCACACAGCTAATCAAGGTACAAACTCACACAGCTAATCAAGGTACAAACTCACACAGCTAATCAAGGTACAAACTCATTCAGACATCTATTCAAGGTACTAACTCACTCACACAGCTAATCAAGGTACAAACTCACACAGCTAATCAAGGTACAAACTCACTCACACAGCTAATCAAGGTACAAACTCACACAGCTAATCAAAGTACAAACTCACACAGCTAATCAAGGTACAAACTCACTCACACAGCTAATCAAGGTACAAACTCACTCACACAGCTAATCAAGGTACAAACTCACACAGCTAATCAAGGTACAAACTCACACAGCTAATCAAGGTACAAACTCACACAGCTAATCAAGGTACAAACTCACACAGCTAATCAAAGTACAAACTCACACAGCTAATCAAAGTACAAACTCACACAGCTAATCAAGGTACAAACTCACTCACACAGCTAATCAAGGTACAAACTCACTCACACAGCTAATCAAGGTACAAACTCACACAGCTAATCAAGGTACAAACTCACACAGCTAATCAAAGTACAAACTCACACAGCTAATCAAGGTACAAACTCACTCACACAGCTAATCAAGGTACAAACTCACTCACACAGCTAATCAAGGTACAAACTCACACAGCTAATCAAGGTACAAACTCACACAGCTAATCAAAGTACAAACTCACACAGCTAATCAAGGTACAAACTCACTCACACAGCTAATCAAGGTACAAACTCACACAGCTAATCAAGGTACAAACTCACACAGCTAATCAAGGTACAAACTCACACAGCTAATCAAGGTGCAAACTCATTCACACAGCTAATCAAGGTACAAACTCACTCACACAGCTAATCAAGGTACAAACTCACACAGCTAATCAAGGTACAAACTCACACAGCTAATCAAAGTACAAACTCACACAGCTAATCAAGGTACAAACTCACTCACACAGCTAATCAAGGTACAAACTCACACAGCTAATCAAGGTACAAACTCACACAGCTAATCAAGGTACAAACTCACACAGCTAATCAAAGTACAAACTCACACAGCTAATCAAAGTACAAACTCACACAGCTAATCAAGGTACAAACTCACTCACACAGCTAATCAAAGTACAAACTCACACAGCTAATCAAAGTACAAACTCACACAGCTAATCAAGGTACAAACTCACTCACACAGCTAATCAAGGTACAAACTCACTCACACAGCTAATCAAGGTACAAACTCACACAGCTAATCAAGGTACAAACTCACACAGCTAATCAAAGTACAAACTCACACAGCTAATCAAGGTACAAACTCACTCACACAGCTAATCAAGGTACAAACTCACTCACACAGCTAATCAAGGTACAAACTCAGTCACACAGCTAATCAAGGTACAAACTCACTCACACAGCTAATCAAGGTACAAACTCACTCACACAGCTAATCAAGGTACAAACTCACACAGCTAATCAAGGTACAAACTCACACAGCTAATCAAGGTACAAACTCACACAGCTAATCAAGGTACAAACTCACACAGCTAATCAAGGTACAAACTCATTCAGACATCTATTCAAGGTACAAACTCACTCACACAGCTAATCAAGGTACAAACTCACTCACACAGCTAATCAAGGTACAAACTCACTCACACAGCTAATCAAGGTACAAACTCATTCACACAGCTAATCAAGGTACAAACTCACACAGCTAATAGAGGTACAAACTCACTCACACAGCTAATCAAAGTACAAACTCATTCACACAGCTAATCAAGGTACAAACTCATTCACACAGCTAATCAAAGTACAAACTCATTCACACAGCTAATCAAGGTACAAACTCACTCACACAGCTAATCAAAGTACAAACTCACACAGCTAATCAAAGTACAAACTCATTCACACAGCTAATAGAGGTACAAACTCACTCACACAGCTAATAGAGGTACAAACTCATTCACACAGCTTATCAAGGTACAAACTCATTCACACAGCTAATCAAGGTACAAACTCATTCACACATCTAATCAAGGTACAAATTCATTCACACAGCTAATCAAGGTACAAACTCACTCACACAGCTAATCAAGGTACAAACTAATGACTGCCACACTTGAAATCAATGATTCACGGAGTCAAGAAACCTCAGATTGCACCTTGCCTGGGCAGAGAGGGGAAGTAATCAACCGGGGAGCAACTGTGGGGTTCCCTACAGCCAATCTCTAGTACAAGAACAGATAACCTGCGCTTCAGAGATTGGTAGAAAACAAAACAAAAATACTGATGACACATGAAAGCCTGGGTTTCTACATCAACCCAACACCTGCAAACAAATCTCGCAGGCTGAGTAGTCAGATGACTGACATGCAGATGAACTAGTTACAATAACAGAGCAGAAGCCAAAAGTTTCTATTTACAATAGTGTACACAAGTCAAAGCAACAATAAGTCGTAACAATTGTTCATGGGTTCAGTGAGGGTTGTCAGGTTCAGAGGTTGGGGTTGTCAGGTTTAGAGATGAGAGAGTTTGTGCAACCTCCTCTAGAATTACTATCTTACCATCATTTAAAAAAATGTATAATCAAGATAATTTAGGGCGACCTTAAAAATTAACTGTTTATTTTAATATTCACACATTTTAACGGGTTTTCTAGGTAGCACTGACATGCTTTCCAACTAATTTCTTGGCTAGGATTAACAGTGATCTCCCCTGTTAAATTGATATGGACCACAGGGACATCACTCTTTCAGCTTAGTTTTCCATCAAGCTGAAGAATGTGCAAGTTATTTAAATTAAGTAATTTAAATATACAACTAGGCTTTAAAAACTTTAAAACCCTAACCAAAAAGGATTAAAAATGTACAAGTATACAATTAGTAGCTTTTAGGGAAAAAAGGTTCATAAAACAGAATTTATTTTCTTACAACACATCAACAATAAAAACAAATACAATGATGGTGAAACAAAAAATGGTTCCCAATAAAAATGAGATCAGTGACATGATACAAGATGAAGGAAAATAAAAACTAAAAAGACACTGCCATACAGAGATGAGGGGAAATAAAAATTAAGGACACTGCCGTACACTAACAAAGATGAAAGGAAATAACATGTAAAGACATAGACATACAAATCGATTGAAATAAAAACTAAAAAGATACTGCCATACAGATCATTTGTCAAAAAAGTAGCTCAAAGATTGTACACTTATACAGCACCAATCTGTGTGTACAGTATTTGTACACATCCATAAACAACAGTATGAACACCAGAAACAGTGGTTAAGTACATATCACCGAGAACACTAACTTATTTCAGCCATAAAGTTACTGGTAGTAGTAAATTTGTAGGCATGTCAAGTTTAAAAACAATACATAGATGTGTCTCATCTACAAAAGAGCTATTACACCTAGCATCACTTAATGCATATATATATACATCTAAAGAGTTCTTTATTTTATTCAAACCTGTCAAAAGTTTATCTACAAGTAGCTGTAGTGTAACTTGTTCTTTCAACAAAATTAAATGCCAAAACCAGACATTTTTTTGACACTTATTTCATGGAAACGTGTATTAGTGTAAAAATTATTTACTGAGAAATTCAGGTATAGTATTCTGTTAATACTATGCTAATTAAAACATGGCAATCAATAAGTATCAAGACAACATATGAAAATTCATTTCATTAAAAAAATCCTAAGAAATTTAAAGAAAACATACAACACGATTGAAACAAATATTTACAATTGATTTCATCATCAATGTAAACTTCTTGTGATCTGTTTTTTAACTTTACATAACATGGAAAACCATTGTAAATTTCATACATAATTACCAATTAACTTCAGAAATCCATTGAGCTTTGAAATATGAATTATACAATCAAATTTTTGTTTTTTAATTCTTAACTGTTTCCTTCTGTATTTTTTATACAAATATCAAAACAGCTTTATCACTTAAAATGTTTAAACAAGAAGTTTATCAGGTGAAATGGAATCAAATTTTTTCCTTCTGGAATTGGGAGGGAAAAAAATGATGTGAAAACAGATGTGGTATAGGTTTTTCTTTAGGCCTCAGATAAAATGTTGGTGAATGACAAAGGTACCAGAAGGTAGACCATCCTCTTCAGACGTTGTGGTTGGCGTGCTCCGTCCCCCTGCCTCCTTAGACCTGACGGTGATTGTTGAGGTGGAGGAGGAAGAGGGGGGGAATATGGGTGCTGATGCGGTTGATGAGCTGACGGAGGATTGCTTCTCTTCCGCGGCGTGGGTGTAGACAATTATTTTACCAGATGAGCCGTGGCTTAAGACAATGGAGGGTGTACACTTTGAAGAGTTTGCTCCAGAGGTAGGCAAACTGGGAGGAAGGGATGAAACAAGCGACTTTCCCTGAGAGGAATCTAGTCGTATTTGAGCAGTGGTCACTGGCCCTTTATTCATTGCAATTTTTGTCAGTTTTTCTTGTCCCTGGGCTGGGGTTGATCCTGGCGCTGCCACAACGGTTCCAGACGTGCTCATGTTGTCACCAAGTTTTTTAAGCTTCATCAGAGACTTTGCCACCTGCTCTGAGAGTGCAGGGAACGTGTCCAATGGAGCCTCCCTGGGTTTCTGCAAAGAATTTGCCGGAAGGGTAACAGTTTTGGGGATTTTGCCAAACACCCCCGCAGGCTGAGTCCCTGGGGAGGTGATGATATATTTCACCTGCCCTTTCTGAGCAAGTGGCAAGTTGTGTTTTGTAACAAAATTGTCACCTGCGACAAGTTTTTGCTGTGCTGGCACCAAGGATGATGAAGCCTCAGAAAGCTTAGACTGTGGAATATGAATCATCCTCTGGGATTTCTCTCCCTCAGAATCAGAGACTACTATGTGAGGTTTTCTATCCCCTTCTGGCTCAGATCCATTAGTGGCTGCGGGAACCTTACCTGCCATGTCTTCAGACTGCTCATCATTCACTGTGTGGATTTTGTGAGGGCTTTTCTCAGACGAGGTGGATTCTCGTCTGAGTTTCTCAAAAATATTCTCCACACTTTCTGTGTTTTCAGCCCCTGGATTTGTCTTAACCCCATTTTCATGGGTTTCTGGTGACACCACAACAATTATTTCTTTCCCAGTGACCACATGTTTAGGGAACCTACTTTTCCTAGTCTGTAAGTTAGACTTGGCTCCTTGAATGAAAGAACGCCTGTATGGACTTGTGTCGAACGTACGAGGGGAGTTTCTGGTTGAGATGTTAAAGGGCAGGTTTTTCATACCTCTGCCAGTTAACTGCCTGTCTGTGGTTCTTGATCGTGGAGACTCCCTCTGCCTGGATGAGGACGAGCTGTCTGAGTTCATCCCTGGCTCTGGTGAGATGACAGTACAGTCCGACCCATCAGAGGTGGTCATGGAAATGTTTTCGCTACTTTGCATGGCCGACCTCTGCGGCAGCCTTGGAACTCTTTTAACAGTTGGCCTGGCATAGATGTTGCCCTCTTTCTCAGACTGCTGCTTGTCCCGTAGTGTGTTAGTTTTCTTCAGACTGCGTACTTTGGATCCCTGTTTGACCAGGTCAATGATCAAGGATTTGATTGATTTGGTGCTCTTCCTGGAGACTGTGGTCATGTGTGTTCTAAGGATGTGAGTGTTACACTCCGACCTGTCGTAGCACTCAAACTTACACAGCCTGCACTTAAATCTGCTCCACTTGAGGTGCTGCCTGATGACGTGCCTGCGCAGGTTGGACACCTGGGTAAACTGCTCCCCACACTGCAAACATTTGGCGTTTGCCTCATCAATTAGTTTGTACACCTTGGACTGGTCATAACAGCGAAGTTTGTGAACTTTTGATTTGCTTTTCTCCAAAACATAAATCCTGTTGGAAACCACACGGCCTTTACCTTTAACAGGCTCCTCCTCTTCTTCTTCATCGTCGTCATCATCACTGCTACTGTCTTCATCCTCCATATCTTTTCTTCTTGTATTGCCCCTTGGTTTACTTTTGATATCATCCCCTCCTTCTGTTACAACACTGTCTTGAGCATCTGAAGACGCTAATCCTCTTGTATTCCCACTTCTGACTGGCTGGGCTTTAGTCTCAGATAATCTAGCTCTCTTGTAGGGAACTGGCTCTCTGTTGTGTTTATGAATCTTAGACAGCATCTCCTCGGCATCTAAGCTCCGTGTGGGCACCTTACGTTTACGCTTAGGTCTCTCAGACAATGCAGGTGTAGGTATACGTGGTGATGCTGCTTGCTCTGTACTCTTAAAGCTACTGCCTTCGTCTTTTAACAAATACTCTTTAAGAAGTTCACCGTAACGTAAGCTTTTCACATCAGATTTCTCCACATTGGTCTCTTGTATGCTCCGTGGCGTATCTGTTTTCTCAGCATTGCTCTCTGATTTGATCTGCGATGCATCTGTTTTCTCACAAGTGTGACCGGATGACAAGTGGGTGACTGGAGTTTGACCAGCCTGGTGAGAAGAATTGACAGTGGTACACAAGACTTTAGTTATGGGCACACCCTGCGCGCTACAAATCTGATAGCCCAGCTCCTGGCTGCGGTAAAACAAACCAGATTCGGTCTTAACCGTGGGTTCGACCTTGGCTTCTAGTCCCACCTTCTGCTGCAGGCTCCTGGGTTTGACGGTACAGACAAACGTGGAAGGGGATATTTTCTTGGGCGAGCCAAGCTCTCTGTACGGCGAGGTGGGGGAATGGATGGAAGAGTTCACGCTGGTCATGGGATTTCTCGGGGCAAAGTATGTTTTCTGAGGACACCCTGTGCCAGATTTGGTCTCAGATTTCAAGTTACCTGCGGCGTTAGGGTTCGCCTTCTCAGGTAACACAGAGGCGCTGTCTTTAGGAACATTTTTCATGACGGTAATTCTGTATGAGCTGTTCTTGGTTTTGAGGCGGGTCACAGAGAGGTTGGGGTCACTAGGGTTACTGGTCTGTGATGTGTCTACTAGTTTTGTAACTTCTGTCTCCACTTTCTTTGGTGATGTTGACTGTAATTTATCTGCTGCGTCAGCCTGGGGTTTCCCTGGCTGGTCTGGGGTGATGCCAGGTGCAGCGTAGCGTGACGGCGTGTGTCTGCGCACTCTGGGCATCCTACCCTCCACGTTACTTTGGGTGCTTTCTACAGAAGAATCCCTTCCCCCTGGGGCTTTAGCAACTCTTTCCTGACTCCTGTTTCTGGATGGTCTTGGACTTAAATCTCTGTCAACACTGGCACATCTCTGCTGATGTCTGGACTTTCTGTTTGCCAGGGTTCTGCTAGCGTTGGGACTGGAATCTTTCTTCCTGCTTCTGGTACCTACACCCTCCAACTGACTGCTGACGGTACTGCTAGCTTTCTCCTGTTCTGTGCTTTCTCTCACCTTGGTTGATGATTCAGGTTTATTGGAATGAGGTTTGCTGCTAATGGAAATTTCGTCATTCTTTCGTGATGATTTTCCTAATTTATCTGATACATGGGTACCAGGTAAATCTTCATCAGCTTGACAAATTTTTAGATGGTTTTCGTAACTTATTTTACGACCGAAAGACCGCTGGCACTTTGAGCAAACACGTGAGTGGTCAGTTAAGTCTTCTGAAGCAGAGGAAGGAGCAGGGCTGGGCATGGAGGAAACAGAATTATCCAAACCATTGGAATCAACACTTATGGTCAGTTTACCCTCACCTTCATTGTTGTATTGCTGGAGTTTCTTATCCCCAGCAGAGGGCGTGGCTCTTCTCTGGGATTTAGCTGCCTCTGTCACACCCTTGCCTGGCATTTCATCAGAATTGTTGTTGTTCTTAGACCTATTCCTTGAGACTGGCTTTCTCCCTGCCCGGCTTGTTTTGTCTTTCTTTTTAGAGAGAGAGACTGGCCTGACCACAGCATTTTCTCTGATCTGGCTGCGCATGTTGTTGATCTCATCAGCTGATTTGTCATGGTTGTTATACAGGTGTCGTGTTATTCCATAAAAGTAATAGAAAGCACTGGGACAGTATGGACACTGGTAAAAAACTCTCTTCGACGAATGGTGTATCTTCATGTGAAACCCTAAGCTGCTTCTAGTGGAAAAAATGGAACTGCACTTGACGCAAGTAAGGGATTTTAATATATTCTTCTTTGAATTAGTCTTGATGATTTCCTTGGCAGCTTCAGATGCTTGGCGTCTGACAGCACTAGGGCGGGGTTGGCTACTTTCTCTACGTTTAACAACCGCACGTTCCCCTGTCCTAGTGGTTGTTGCTTTCTTCTCATCATTTGCCTTTGTCTCCTCTTTAGCCAGAAGTGATTGAAAGTTCTGGCGTGCTAAGTCACTCAGTCCTTCATTACTCTTCCCTTTGGCTTGTTTCTCATTATTTTGACCAGTGTCTTTGCGAGGAGAGGTCACAGTTTCTTCTTTTGACTTGCCTTTTGGCAGGACACCGGCATCTTGGGCAGCAGCTTTCTGCTTCACCTTGTGCTGAATTTCCTTTAAATGTTCCATTAAAATCTTCTGTGGTTCAGCCGAGTGCTTCTCTTGCTTGGCTGATTTCCTAGAAATCCTTGAGGATATGGTTGGACTGTTGTTTGCAGTTTTTTCCCCAGATTTTTTGTTTTTTGTTGCAGCGGCGGGTGGGTCAGACTCACCTGGAGAAGCCGCCACAACATTACTGTCTTGCTGCTGTCGTTCGTGAATGTTTACAGACGTTGTTTTAACTTCAATAAAAACGGCATTCTTATTGGTTGGTATGGGGGTTGTTCGTATTGTAGCTATTTTCATCCCTTCTTTTTGTCTTTGTAATTTCTCTGCTGCCTCAGTGTAAACTTTGTAAGCAAGAGATTTCCCCAACTCTCCTGATTGGATACGCTGGATCGTCTCGTCTAAGGTTGGACGCGGCTTAGGTTGCTGAGTGGACACACTGTCTTCATTTTCTTTTTCAGTCTCTTCTGGCGACTGTGGTTGGATGACCACCACCTTTTCTTCAGGAAGGTTTGCTATCATGACATGTCCATTTTCTAAGGACGATTTCACACAATATACACGTTTGTGAGAGATAAAATTCGGAAGGTCTCTAAACAAGGCTCTGCACACCTTACACTCAAATATAATATCACATTCATCCATAAGTAAGCACCTAAGTTCCGGGCTTCCATAATGTATACTGTTCAGAATTTGTTCAACAGGCTTGCCACTTAGTTGAATAGGATTGCGAATCTGAGAAATATCTGGTCCAGGTATATTTGCTTCTTTTGACTTGTTAGCCATGGTGTGATTGCATCTGAAATTTGAAGAACAGTAGTAATTAATAATAGGCTATGTAGATCTTTTTTTAAACTCATATTTTTAGCAGACTATACAAGTAACATATTTAAAAACAAAACGCAATATTATTTTTACTCATTATTCATTTAAATTGTAAACTTAATTGAATTCAAAATTTATTTTATATATGTTGAATTCAAAGTCTGTGAACTGCAGTTGCTTTAAAGCCCCAGAACGGCCATGTGCGCTGCAAAAGGGCACATAATCAGCTTCCAGAGATCACAAGCTACTGATAGTGTTTTAAAGCAAACATTTTTAGCAGTAGCCTTATGAATTACTAAAAAGTAAAAAAATAAAACAAATATTTAAAAATTATAACAAGATTTTAAATACGCTGAAAATAAGAGAATGAAACTATTTTGCCCTTTTTCATGAAAGCTTTGGTCGCTAAAATATATAAAAGATTTCACGAGCAACCAAAGCTTTTATGAAAGAAAGCAAATTAGGTTTTTTTAATTAATTTCAGTGCATTTAAAAGCTTGTTATAAGAAAAAGTGTTTTTATATTTGTATTATTAGTGATTGAAAACAGGGAAGATGTGGAGGCACACAACAAAAAAGTAACTGACAAGAGCTGGTCTTATCTAGAGGAAAACTGCCAGAGCCTAGCAAAATTGTAGAGAGCTTTCTGTAACAGCCCCATGAGTCCTGGGCACTGAAGGAGAAAGAATGATCTATTGTGCTTTGAGCCATAGGAAAGTATGTTAGGCCTATCTTATCTATAAGTCAGTAGTTTATATGTGGGTGAAATATTATAAATGAATAAATTTTAGGGACGGAGTGGTCTAGCGGTGGAGAGTTGGACTGCTAACCCGTAAGTCTCGAGTTCAAATGCGGGTTCAAGTCAGTAGACCGTCACTGAGTCCACCCAACTATGATGGGTACCTAACTCACGTTAGGGAGAGTAAAGGCGGCTGGGCATAGTGCTGATCACACTATCTCTTCATATGCCAAGGTCACAGAAACAAGTGAACTCTACCTCACTTGCCCCATAGATCGTCAGGTTTGAAAGGGAAACTTTTTTTTTAAATTTTAGGGTAAAAAAATTTAAGACTGATACTACAACTGTCCTCTTGAGCCTGCAGCACTTAAAACTGTATTATGTTTGTGTCAGATGGGAGTGTGCATGATTGCTAAACCCAATAGTCCCAAGCTCTGAAATATTAGGCCTAGATCTATAACTATAGGGCCTATTATTATTAGTATTATAATTAAAAAAAGAACGGTAAAGTTATTTAGATCTACTATTCTTCTGCCTACTGAGTTAACTTTATAAGACAAGATAATTATTTAAATTAGTTAGCACTAGATTGGTCTAGATCTAGATCTTAAACTAATTTTATTTTAGAGTTGGAGTAGATATCTCATTCTTAATTAATTGTAATTCTCTAGAACTAGATCTAGAAATCTAGATCTAGTCTAGACCTAGATTCTACATCTAGATCTAGATTCTAGATTAGAACGCATTCGTTTTATTTAGAATCTAGATCTATAAATTAAATGAACTGGAGGAGGCTTAATTAAAATAATTAAATGATAGAAAATTCGTGATGATGTAAGGCCTATTCATTTGAATAAAAATAATGACTCGTACGTTATACTCAGGGGAGACAGATCTAGTGTAGATCTAGATCTAGTTCTACCAAGAATCTATACGCTTTACAATGCAAACAATGACGGACGTCATCATCATCGGAATCACCATCACATGCAACAAAAACAACGGACAAATGTGAAGATTTGCACAATATACCAACCCTAACATCTAGGGCTACAAGCAAAATATTGATAAAAATCATTTGCAAGTAGTAAATTAAAATAATATACTGTACGCTTTAGCAATTTAGTACTGAATACTAACCAATATAAGAGTATAATATTGGGAACTTTGTTTTTTCGAAGTTAGGCTAACATGAAATCGACCATTCGTCTCCGCCAAAGTAGAACATCAACCATGGTAGAATGCAATGCATTGTGGGTTTTGACAAGCATCCGGGTTTAGTAAGAGAATGGCGCTGCAATAAAATTCGCAGCGTCCCTCACAACGATTATTTTAAGTCTCACACAGTAATTTTAGTAATTTTAGGCCTAATATAGATATAGATCTAATATATTATATTTTATCTAGATCTAATAGTAGTACAGTAGTAAATACTAGTTAGATAATCATAATATAGGCCTATTAATATTGATATTATAATATTATTAATTTTTTAGGCCTAAAAATAATTAATAAAAATTATTTTAATATTTGATCTTGAATCTATTTCTAATCTATATATTGATTATATTCTATTCTATAGGCTATAATTGAATTATTGGCCTAATTATTAAAAATTAAATATGACAGCACAGGTGAATGAGTGTCATGTTCCAGAATTTAGCAGGCCTACGTACTACGTATAGATCTATATCATACATATGTCTATGTACTACTGCTGATCTACTTCTAGTCTAGATCTAGATCTATGTTTTCAACAGATTAATTTTTTTAAAATTCAAATCCATTTATTGTTTTAGGGGTCATCCACTCGTAGGGGGGAGGGGGGTCCGTAATTTTGTGACGATGTGTGATGAGGGGGAGGGGGGGGGTCAGATGTTGCGACGTCACATTTTTGCATTATAAAAAAAGCAATGTTAGAAAACGAATTTTAGACGTTATTTCGCGTTTTAGATAACTGTTTTAATAAATTGTAATAGTTTAGACAAGATTTTGGAAAAATATCGATGTTTTTAAAAAATTCAACTGCAATTTTGAGGGGGGTTGTAGGTTGAGGTGTGACGTCATTTTAGGGGGGGGGGGGTCTGGCTTTGTGTGACGGAGGGGAGGTGGGGAGGTAAAAATCGTCAAAAAAAGCGTGAAGTCATTTATGGATGACCCCTTAAAGTGGAGGGAGGTTACAAGATTGTTTAATTATTAAAGATCTACTCAACTACTGGAATGATGTAGATCTATATATATACTATATGTGACATGAATTGATAATATATCACTAGATCTAGACTAGTATAAGTAGGCCTATAATTATTAATTTTCTTTACCTCTTCAGGATCTTTTTTAACCCACCTATAGATCTTGTAACTTGTATTCAATTTGATGGGATCCACTTGTTTGAACAATTCTTGCTTTATAACTCATCCACAGCCTACTTTAAATTTTGTATTAAAGACTAATAAATCTATCAAGCATTCATTAATTTATTTTACATGAAAATAATTTTGTAATAAATATAATATTTAATAAGCTATAACTGTCCCCACTCATGTTAGTCAGACATAAACTATTCTATATACTAATTAAATACGCTAATAAACATACTATATTTTACTACCTACCTTGTTTTTTTGTTAGAATCTAAGTTTTAGATTACAGGCAAGACAATACAGTATTATAACTAGGAATCTTCTGCTGATATTGCTATTTTATGTTTAATTTCAGTAGAGAATGAGTTCTGCATCTTTATCATGTTCAAGCAGATCCCAGTACTTTGCATCAAGAACAATAGAAGGAAAAGTACCTAAGCTAAAGTGGATACCCATTGCTCCACTTGGACCCAAAGCAGCTTTTCATGCTGGGGATGTCATTAAGGAAACTCTATATGTACATGGAGGGTTAACTGATTCCTCCTCTGTCATACCATCCAACCAATTTTACAGATTGGATCTCAAAACAAACTTGTGGGAAAAAATCAGAACCAAGGGAAGCCCAGCATTAAGTCACCATGCTGCGGTTGTGCTTGAAGATAGGTATTTTGTTTTAATAGGGGGGTGGGATGGGAAAAAACGATGTGCAAGCATCCATGTTTATGACACTGTAGAAGATCACTGGCAGAGAATGAACCACAGTGGATTCCCGTCAGGTGCTGGACTGAGTTCTCATACTGCATGCGCATTAGAAAATGGTGATATTGTTGTCATTGGCAGAGAAGGTAGTCTTCGATCTCAAAGAAAGCATGGAAATATGTACATACTGTCAGGGACTGTCACATCTGGCAGTTTTGTTTACAAGGAGTTCCATGACAACATAACTTCCAGGTCAGGGCATACTTCAGACGTCATTGGCAACAGTGTTTTTATTGTGGGAGGAAGAAGTGATCTTCTACTTGAAAAGGTGGTCGGTTTAAAAAGTACCGCATCCCCTAATTGCGAAATCTTGCAAAATTTATTAGCCACAATTAATAGTATCGGAATGGAACCAATGGTAAAGTTGCCATGTGGAAGAAAAAGCCATGTATCTGCTTGTGGTGACAGCTGCATTCTTATCCATGGCGGAGAAACATTTGATGGAAAATCTCATGAACCTGTGGGGGAAATGTTTTTGATCTCATTCAAGCCAACAACTAAATTCTTTAAGTTGAATTCCAGCAAATTACACAGGGCTGGCCACGTTTGTGTCTCTCTGCCAGACAAGGTGATATTTCATGGGGGGAAGAGTGGAAAGTCAACCATTAACTCCAATCTTTATGAGCTGAAATTGTCTCGTTAAAATTGGATAAAAGAAGTTTTATCTCTCAGTGACAATTCATATGATGAACCTATGTCAAATAATGAAAAAATTATGCAAACACTTGGACTTATCAGTTAATGACAAATTATAAAATTACTAATACTAGTCAATTGATGATTAATTATCAAATAAGTTGGACTAGTCAATTGATGACATATACCTTGGACTTGCCTAATATCTTGGGTTCAGACAAAAAATTATGTCAAACTATGCTAACACTTGCGTCTCCTTAATCTCAAGTACAAAATTTACCAAGGTGTTTTTTTAAATACTCATATCTATTTAGTACTAGTAGAAGAGTGATGTAAACTATTATTTGATTAATATAGTGTCTAAAAATGTATTAGATTTGTTGATCCAGAGACAGATATGTTCAGATATCCATTTTCAGCACGTTTCTTTGATTTTTGCATCCTTAATGGTCTTAAAAAGTTTTAGAAGTTGTAGAAAACAGTAACTGTTAAACTTTCACTTTAAATTGCTTCTGTCATAGTAAGCATTGCTATAATGAAAAATTATACTGCTATCATACTAAATTTATACTGCCAGCAATTTTTAAACAAAGAAAACATTCACATTGTATCACAAACAGCTCTTTTATTCTAACAATCAGGAAAGTTCAGAAAATCTTTCAGCATGGTTCAGAGTATAATTTAAAACACTTTTTTATGATTCCATACATGTGGTAGGACATAACATAAATTTTTTCAGAGTATACTTTATAACACTGTTTTTTGTCTCCATGCATTATTATTAATAACAGTAATTATGTCAGATTAAGCAAATCAAACTGATTTTTAATCTTTTTAATTCATTATTTAAATATGAGATTTTTTTTATACTGCCAAATATTGACAACATTTTACTTTAAAGATTAGCTTGATGTAAAAAAAAAATTGTTTTATTTTTCTTGTGATTTTTTAAATTTTTATTTTAACCGAAGCATATTGTTTATCATGTTTGTTTTCTTTGTAAGCTAATATGTGTACAGTGTTGTCAATGCTTGTTTTGAAGCTATGTTCAATAACTCCTTAAAAGTACAGCACACCAAAATAATGTACATGATTAGGAGACTGCATGATGTTATAGTATATTTTAATAGCACCATCTTTTTGAAAGTAAGGTATTTATGACATTGCCTAAAGCTTTTTTACTGTTGTTCTGATACTGGGGTTAAATTAAAGGAAATGCCTTTAGTTAAAGACTAATATGTCTTAAGATTTGATGGAGAATGATACCTTTGAAGTTAAACTTTTTTTAACTGAGTCCAGCAAACCAGTTTATCAAGATCTCAACAAAATTAGACTAAACGTTGCCAGATAAGTTATGGCAAATTGTAGCCAGATAACATTTGGCACAGATAAACCCAGATGGTGAAAGCTGGTCTGAAAAATGTCAAAATTATTGTATATGTGTTTACAGATTTGAAGAGTATATACCTTGTGGCAAATAACTGGTGAAGACTGACCTATGGGCTTACTAAATTAAAATATATTCTATAGGCTGATAAGTATTTTTTGGCAATGATTGTCTAATCCTATACTTATACTCAGTCGTAACTTGTAAGTAAATTTGAAGCTAAGTGATAAATAAAGTTACAATTAACATCAAGTTTTTATATTCATTAAGATTGGCCCAATTAGGCCCAGCCATGTCTTACACAATTGTTTTAGATTCAATGAGTGCCTTAATGATATCAATCAATCATGTGTATAATAGTACTAAACCATATCTTTTGATATTATTTTCCTTTCATAAACCAATGCATAAAAATCAGTATATTTTCATTTGAGACTTTTGATTTATAAACATTGTATATATAGTACTGACATCAATTAAAATAGCATTGTATATATCTTTAATTCCTATTTATATATTAACTTTACCAATTAAAAAAGACAAAACTCAATGAATAAAGTTAGTTTGTTTATTTGCAAGTTTGTTGAGATGTTTGTAACTTAACAGTGCCCTCCCTCCTTGAATGAGTAATCCATGAGATGAATCATACAAGAAAAATCTGTTCTATGCGTTTTACACTTTTAAAAAAAAACCTCTGATTAACTACATACATTGTCTGTTATTTTTTTTTTAAAAACATTTGACAATTCAGTTATAAAATATTTTGATAATATTTTATCCATTCGAAAAATACTTTATACAATTTGGTGATTAATTTAATTTTTGTCAAATATGAACCAAATTTCTAAGAAAATCAAACATGAATTTCTTGTAGGTTTCTTCAAGTTGTGTTGGAATGTGAACCTTCAAAAATGTGCAATGGTCTTGAATGTAATTAATATGAGTTTATGTATAACATCAGGCAGCTATGCAAGAAGAGGCGATTATCTTTCATTGACTCTACATTTTAACACACAGCTGAACACAGTCTAAAATCAAAGATTGACAATAACAAAGGTGTCACAATTAGAATCTCAGGTGAATAACATGAAAAATGGGGGGAAGGGGGGGGATTAAAAAACCTGAAAATAATTGTATTCTCAGTAAATGGAATGGAAGCCATCAAATACCTTGGAGATATTAAAAATTTCAAAATAATAACTAATTTAAAATATTTTAAACAAAAAAAAATGTAGATGTCTAGTATAAGCACCAAATACAGAGGTGTTGGATATTGAGAAAAAGAAATGACAATGAATGTTGAAAAATTATCCTTAATATTTTAAAAAATTCTACAAATATCTATGAAGAAAAGATCATACACAGAACATAAATTTTATAACACATGACACACTTATTGAAAAAAAAATTGTAGACAAATGGAATGAATAAGCAACGTAAAACAAAGGGAAGTAACTGTTAAAACAGCTTAGATACTCAACATTTGCTGATGGTAAACAAAAATTCATGTCAAAGGGCAGTAACCAACTATTTGTATTCAATTTGTTAAGTATTTATATCTTTTATGGTGTATATGTATTTTTACTTGAGTGCAAGGGATACAATCATAAAATATTTGATATTTAATTTTATAAATGTTGATAATCCAGATTTAGCAACAAAAAAAAAACATATGCATGGCAAATAATAAACACTGGATATTAAAATAACACAATATTTCATTTTCTTAAAGGAGAATAATACAGAAGAAAAGTAACAATTTTAAAATAATAAATTTGTTAAAAAAATTATTGAAGTTGGTTAGTTGTCAATGTAAAAGTGATCAAGTTGTTCAGCACCTTTTGTCTGTAAGTAATAAACTAACAAGCTGAGACAGTTATAATCAAGCTTATAGGATACAAGTAGGTGCACTACATAATTATAGCAGACAAATGATGAACACATAGCTTTTTCAAAGCAGGATTATTTAACCTAATGATTTTATATATATATATATATATATATATATATATATATATATATATATATAATGTTATCTTGTTAAATAGTATTAAACCACTAGGATGTAGTTATAATAGCTTTTCGGATTCTTGAGGAATTATTCTGACATTGCATGCCATGGACATATAAACAGAAATATTTATATTGAACCCATTCATAAACCCCATGCATGGTTTAGCAGTTGAAGAAATCATGCTTTAACTCACTGGTGCCAATCAACACATTTATCAAGTTTCAAAGAATTTAAATCTTAGGACATTCCTATCAGTTGTTCGTGCTAATTATGTTAATATATTATACAAGAGATTCTTACGAGACTGGACTGTACATTGATCTAGTAGCTAATGGCAAATATTTAAAGCACAAACAGTGAAATGTGAGGTGAGGCATTCACTACAATTTTATAGTGTGAAACATTTACTAAAACTTTATACGGTACATATTACTTAGAAGTGAAGTATTTAATCCAAAACAAAGTGCAGTTGTTTTTTTTACAGAACATGATACAAAATGAACTTTTATAAAAAAAATTACATACACATATCACATCTAAATTATGAACATATAAAAATTATACCAACATAAAAGAAGACATATTTTTGTTTTAATGTTCTCTAAGACATATCTGCATATCATCCCATACAAATATTGACAAAAATTACAAATAGCTGCGTTTAGAACCATAACAAATATGTTTTAACATATTTGAAGCTTTTTTGATGGGTGCAAAATGCATTTGAAAAAAATATTGTTTCAGCATGTTCTTGAACTTTACTTTTTTTTTAAATCTTTTTTATTAGATAAAGCAATGTGAAGCTAAGCATATATTTTTTTAATGCTGTTTATTTTGTTCATTATTTGGTTGCGCTAGTTTTAAATTTAACTCTTACTTTTTTTTATCATTTGGTTAAGCTGATTTTTAAAATAAAATTCTTTTATTCTCTATTTTATATATACTATATCGCATGTAATCATCAAGAAAAAAATGTGCACATATTATGAGGGTGTATATGGGTGTGTTTGTACATGTATATTCTATACATATGTATATACATACTCACCCATATTTTGACATTATCAAGTAAAAAATACTGTACATATTTAATTGGTGCAATGACTGAACAAATGAAAGAAAAATGACAGAACATTCAAGAATTTAGTATTGCACTGGATTCAAATACTGCCAATGTAAAATGGTACAAGAGGGGATAACTTTGAGCTCCCTCTAAACCACATTTTTTTTTTTCTTAATTTTTTTTTAAACAAGATACAATTATTAAAATATTATATTTTAATACATATATATAAGCACACTTACCAAGAGCTAGAATAATTTAGAATAGAGTTGCTACCATTTAGTTTGAAAACAGAAAAAAATAATGGGCCGACAATATTTTGGTTGCTATAAAACTGAAGGTGTTTTTTTTTTCTGGCAATATCGTTGTTAGGTTCATGGGCAATGGTTAGGGGCAGGATTAGAGTTACGGATAGGATTAAGGCCCATTACTATGTGAGTTCAGGGTAAGGAGAATGAGAGTAGTAGAAAGTAGTTCTACATTTAACAAATAAATTTTTACTAGCAAAGCTAGCTGAAGTAAGGGAGCTAACTCTAAACTACAACTAGAAACAAAGGGAATGCATAGTTGGACCAGGCCAAAGACAACTGAACACAAAATTTATCTGGCTAATGAATACAGTCAGGCAGGAATAAGATATGCTCAATGTGTTTACATATATGTGATTTAATTACATCTTCATCTTTGGATCAAAGGGTAGGAAAATAAAAACAAACATGAAAAAAATTCAATGTGCAAAAATATTAAAATAGGTTTAAAATGAGTTTGTTCATTCGAGGTGAATGGAGATAAGGTATCAGAAAAATGTTAAAGCAGGAAGTTTTTACTTAATACAATTTTATGTTCAAACAGAACAATACTTCTGTCTGAACATAAAATGATTTAAAGTGAAAGTTTGAAGAGAAAGGATTAGTAAAGATGAAGTGCTAATTAAATAATTCACCTTGTTGGTGATAAAACATGCTAGAGGAATCAGTCCACTCTTCAACACCATATTCTTGATATACCTGCACTATTCTCATTTGATACTAAATCCCAACTTTATACAATTTAACACATGTAATTTTTTAGATAGTTAAACTGTAATGTACAAAATTAATTTCATGTTGAAATAGAATATTTGACATGACAGTTTCCTTGACTTAAAAAAAAAGCACAGCAAAACAGTGTGTTATGTTGGGTGTAACTGTAAGCTTACTCTTGCATGCACTTTTAAGGGGAGATAACTCTTATTGACCACCAGAATTAATCAGCAATTAATTCAGTACTAGTGGACTCAGTTAACTGATCAAATATTTCAAAGAAAAAATCATGAAGTTGACTTTAAAAAAATTATTTTTATCAATATTAAATGACATTTCAGTCGTTGTTAAATTAAGAGTGGATGCATCTCAGCACCCTAAAAGATAAAATAGTACATTCCAACAAAATGGTATTTATGAGCATTCTGATACTGGCCTCCAAAGCCGATCGGCCCAGTAGTCTTATTATGCTTAAAATAAAAATAAACACACCACTGAACAACTGTAAAATTGTAAATGTTTGTCCATTTATCTACACTTATTGTACAAGTTGAGGGATGGGACAGTAATCAAATTCAACAAAGATTTTCTCACTTGATCAGTGCAATATGCCTTCGAGAAGACAATGTGCATGCATACGCAATCACCCATTTCACTCATTTATTTCAACAATTGGTAACTTTAATTATTTTTTTTAAAACTTGCTTAAAAAATTGTTAATAATGTTGCTTATTTTAGCCATTAAAAATACTACTAAAAACACATCAATGTTAATGTATATATTTTATAGCTATAAATAAACTTGGTTCTAGTGAAGCTACATACACTGAGTAGGACTTAGCAAATGAAATAATGTTTTTCATTGTATTATGAAAACATTTTAAGTTTAACATTATTTATGAGTCAACACAGCAAGTTTCAGATGGATATCTGAGATAAACATTTGCACAATGACTTCTCTACTGAGTTAATCTTTATTAGAGGATGCTAATTGCTAATGAGTTTCTATGGAATTCTCTCACAAATGTGTACAATACCCACACAATGTGATCTGAGTAGTAGGCATATCTAAATATTTGCCTATTTAATATGTATATATATGTATATACAAACATACATACACACATATTTATACAAATATGCATACATATACCTATATATTCTTACATACATACATATATATATATATATATATATATATATATATATATATATATATATATATATATATATATATATTATATATATATATTCTTATGTATACCTATACATGTATACATATATATATTTGTGTGTATATATGTGTACATATTATATACATGTGACCCCCCCACCACAAATCCTGCGTATATCACGCTGCCACACACCATTTTTTGTGTGGTAAGTGTGTGGTCTAAAACCTTCCAACATAATCATCTACCACACACCCCACTGTCCCCACACCCAGCTATTAATGAAAAATCTTCACCTCACATAGTATGTACACAGGGTGAAAGCATGAGTTAAACATTGATATGAACATTATTTCTGTATAAAATATTGCTTAAAAACTAAATGCAAAATCTGGTCTTTAGCTACAAATCTAACAAATGTAAGTAAACACTACAATGGGCTAAAGAAAATAATTTTGGTCAATTGCTACAGTGTAAATGTTGGGTTGGAAAATAATTTTTGGCCAATAGCTAGCCCCTTTACAAACATGGGTCTAAAAAATGTATTCTGACGAAGTAGCTAGCCTTGATTTTGTATACAGGGAATATTTATGCTTTGTGATAAAGAGTCATAAAAAAAGATTTTAAAATAGCCAATAATTTTATTTTACTCAACTTTAGGTATAATTTGTAACAGTGTGGCCAGATTTTTGTTAGAAAACAATAATGTCTGACTAGCAAATTGCCAGCTGGGATATCTTACAGGGATGGAGAGGTTACAAATCATACCTAAAGAGAACTAACTGTCAGTCATTTACAGGCGTCACAAAACTCAAGGGAAACAATCCACGCCGATGGGGCTGACCTTCAATTTCTCCTTCCTGGAAAAAGAAAGGCTTAAAATTTTAAACTTTCCAAATTTTGTATTAAAAAGTTCATGTCTGACAACTATACATCCTCAGTGACCAGCCAATATACCCTTGTTTTTATTTTATTCACAAAATGATTTAATTTGCACCCTCTATTTTGAGATATAGACAGACAAAAATTCATGCGTATGTCGTAAAATACAAATTTTGAAATTTTATTTACTACTAATTTTTTTTTTTACTTTGAGTGAGAGAGATTTTTATTTAAATGTAGCCTCTATTTTTTTAATACCAAAATTTCATATAAAAATTACTATCTTTATTTAAGTATCTTGTTATAGAGCTTTTTGAGTTACCTATGTGGATGAATACAAATAGTCTTAAATATTATAAATTAAAAATGAAAACATGAGGTAGCATAGGAGTTTTTTGTCTAAACACACAAGGTAATAAGTTCAAAATTTCTCAGGTGTATATGGATCGAATCTATTATGTTAACAAGGTACCTAATGTGTTAAGGTGAACTGATGTACAGTTGTGAGACACAAACAAGAACTATGAGCAGTTTTTTTATGGGTTTAAAACAAAGCTTGAAATAAATGTTTAAAATAACACAGTTAAAATTCTTTTGATAACTTTTATAAAACATGGAGTCCGTGTTTCAGATCTGATTCAGTTTCATGGTTCATGAACTCACTTTACAATGTTCAATGACTAATCACTTTACAATATTCAATGACTTATCACTTTACATTGTTCAATGACTAATCATTAAACAAATACAGTTTTAAAAAGTAACATATAAAACTGTAAATAAAATTTCAACTTCATTCATTTTACAAATTCATTTTTCTAAACCAATCAGTACAGTAGCTTAGTTGAAAAAAAACAAATTAAAATAACTGACACAAAATGACACTTGTTTGATTCCTAGCAAGGTGTTATTCAATCACCATGACAACGACCAAATGCTTATATCCACTTACCCACCACTCCTCCTCTTCTTCATAAACCACAACAATGATCTCCCCTTCTTTGAAAGTCAGCTCATCCTCATTATCAGCATCGCAGTCATAGAGAGCTCTGTAGCGCCGCTTGGCCTGAAAGTGGCCCAAAAGTTTTTTAATTTTTCTCTAAGATGTGCTATACAATTAATTATTGTGCGATGATATTAATTATGCAATTAATTATTATGCGATGAAAGACTACACTTAACGCACCTGTAACTTTGGATGTGGCCCTGGCTGTGTCTCCAGTTTAGGATCTGTCTTGCGCCTTTCATCTAAACAAAAACAAAAAGTTACTTGAATGCTGGTTATAGGGCTGGTAAGTAGGTCCATAAACAGTCCTATGGCTCATGCAGGTTTTATCGAGCCGTAGAACTGGTTGGTGACCTACTTACCAGCCCTAAAGTACAATCACTGCAATGTTACATAAGATTTCTTTACACTTTCTTACTACAAAGTCAGTGTCACTCAAATTTCTTTCAGCAAAACAATTCAAAATGAGATAAACAAATACACAATAAATACAAAGACTGTATAATAGATAGAGTAAAAAAAAATTCTAAACTAAAGAAATGTAAATAATTTTACCTCCTGTATTTGAAAAGCGCCTTCCTTGTAAGGCCTCACTACAAAACACAAACAATGTAAGTTTTAAGAAAAAGAAAAATTCAGAGATAGCAAAGATATAATTTTAAAAAGTTTTGGAATGATCTAAATGGAGAATTAAATATAGTTGATTTCAGTAGGGATACTTGATGTCTGACAGCCTTAATGTAGGGTTAGTTATATCTATAAAATAAATGTGAAAAACTAAAAAAAAAATGGTTATCTTTTAGTGAAAGTTAATACAATTATCACTACTTAAATGCTTAGGTCGACTTGGTTTGAAAATTTGTTTGTACTACTGTAATGTATTAGTGATACGTGAACTCTACTTCACCTGAATAAACTTACATTGGACTGTATAGTAAGGAAATATAACTGCTGTTGAAATATCGGATGAAGTGCAAGGGGATATAAATAAAGTTTACTGAGAGGGGATGAGTCAGTGGTCAGTTACTTTGTTGTGGTAGAGGATAAGTCAGTGGTCAGTCACTTTCTTGTGGTAGGGGATAAGTCAGTGGTCAGTCATTTTGTTGTGGTAGAGGATAAGTCAGTGGTCAGTCACTTTCTTGTGGTAGAGGATGAGTCAGTGGTCAACCTCTTTGTTGTGGTAGAGGATAAGTCAGTGGTCAGTCACTTTCTTGTGGTAGAGGATAAGCCAGTGGTCAGTCACTCTCTTGTGGTAGAGGATAAGTCAGTGGTCAGTCATTTTGTTGTGGGAGGGGATATGTCAGTGGTCAGTCACTTTCTTGTGGTAGGGGATAAGTCAGTGGTCAGTCACTTTCTTGTGGTAGCTAACATCAAAGAGAGGTGGCTAACATAAAACAAAGATCACTGACCTTTTCTCTGGAGGTACATTGCTGGGCATCACCTTCAACACTGAAGAATTAAGAATTCGTTAATTAAATAACAATTATTAGCCATCCTTAATTACAACATCAGTTAGATTACTTAATAAGACTTAGCTAATTAAAACATCAATAAAACTAATTAAATAAGAGGTCACTAAACATAATGAACCACAACAGTAAAACCTATGGTGATCAAATATAAAACCTCAGCCACCAGTGACCAGCAAAGGTGAACTGACCTGAATTAGCAGCAGCAACAGTCTTGTTGGGCTCAGGTGGGATGTTGGGTCTGGGGGGTGGCTCCGATATAGTCCGCTTGTGAGACAACAGCGCCACATCAGATTCTGACCTGAGCATTTAATTTCATATGTAACTTATTTCTGTAACCAAATATATTTTACAGCGGCGTAAAATGTAACAGGAAGCCAAGAATTTGGCTTCAATTATGTTAACTATTTTAGATATTTATGTCACTGTGTCATTAAGTAGGCATTCACTTCATTCAGGGTAAACGATTGTCAGTTATGACACATCTGGTAGCCATTCATGTCACCATGTCACACAAGGGGTAGCCATTCATATGACACTAAGTAGCCATTCATATCACACTAGGTAGCCATTCATGTCACACTAGGTAGCCATTCATGTCACACTAGGTAGCCATTCATGTCACACTAGGTAGTCATTCATATCACACTAGGTAGCCATTCAAGTCACCATATCACACTAGGTAGCCATTCATATCACATTTGGTAGCCATTCATGTCACACAAGGTAGCCATTCATGTCACACTAGGTAGCCATTCATGTCACAAAAGGTAGCCATTCGTGTCACACTAGGTAGCCATTCAAGTCACACTAGGTAGCCATTCATGTCACCATGTCACACAAGGTAGCCATTCATGTCACACAAGGTAGCCATTCATGTCAAACTAGGTAGCCATTTATGTCACAGTAGGTAGCCATTCATGTCACACGAGGTAGCCATTCATGTCACACAAGGTAGCCATTCATGTCACAAAAGGTAGCCATTCATGTCACACTAGATAGCCATTCATGTTACACTAGGTAGCCATTCATGTCACACAAGGTAGCCATTCATGTCACACTAGGTAGCCATTCATGTCACACTAGGTAGCCATTCATGTCACACTAGGTAGCCATTCATGTCACACTAGGTAGCCATTCATGTCACACTAGGTAGCCATTCATGTCACCATGTCACACTAGGTAGCCATTCATGTCACCATGTCACACTAGGTAGGCATTCATACCACACTAGGTAGCCATTTATGTCACACTAGGTAGCCATTCATGTCACACTAGGTAGCTATTCAAGTCACACTAGGTAGCCATTCATGTCACACAAGGTAGCCATTCATGTCACACAAGGTAGCCATTCATGTCACACTAGGTAGCCATTCAAGTCACACTAGGTAGCCATTCATGTCACACTAGGTAGCCATTCATGTCACACTAGGTAGCCATTTATGTCACCATGTCACACTAGGTAGCCATTCATATCACACTAGGTAGCCATTCATGTCACACTAGGTAGCCATTCATGTCACACTAGGTAGCCATTCATGTCACACTAGGTAGCCATTCATGTCACACTAGGTAGCCATTCATGTCACCATGTCACACAAAGTAGCCATTCATGTCAAACAAGGTAGCCATTCATGTCACAAAAGGTAGCCATTCATGTCACACTAGGTAGCCATTCATATCACATTTGGTAGCCATTCATGTCACACAAGGTAGCCATTCATGTCACAAAAGGTAGCCATTCATGTCACACTAGGTAATTCATATAACACAAGGTAACCATTCATATCGCACTAGGTAATTCATATCATACTAGGTAGCCATTCATATCCCATTAGATAATTCATATCCTACTAGGAAGCCATTCATGACTATCATTCCAAACAAACTTACTTGTTCCTGTTGTGCCCTTGAACTGAAGCAGGTACTGGGGGTGGGGGCGGTCTCTTGCCCCTGGGAGGAAGTGGTGGCAGCATGGGTGCCCTGGGTCCCTTCTCAGGTTCCCCAGAGGCCAGGGTGGTATGGTGTGACAAGACTGGACTACTCCGCCCATTACCTCCAGTAGAAGGTACTACAGAAGAAAACGGTCTGTTATTTCTCATTTCAAGACTTTTCAAACACAAGTGTAAACATGCAAAATAAACATGTTACATTGAAACCTTTTTGTCAAATCTTATTATAAAATTATCTACTCTGTTTATTTATGAAATGCCTTTAATATAGGTTTACATTTATAATAAAAGAAATATATCTCTGCAGCATAAAGACATATATGACATTACACAAAACTAGTACAAATCAGCTCAAAACAAATTAATTTTTTTTTCAATTAAAATTAAGGACGGAAACTACACTGTCTTCTGTTATATTTTAAACAAAATTCTTTTTGAAACTAAGCTGTTGGCTGTTTTGTTTGTTAATGCAACACAAAATATTATTACACAGTACTATACTATATACATATACATATATATACATATATATATCATAAAACATTAATTCCTACAAATTTAAAACGTAATATTTTTTACAGGATTATTATTCTCAATCCTTGCAAATGTTAATAAAGCTACCCTATTTTTTTAACATTAAATTCACAAATCATCTATAATAGTTAATTTTTCAAAATATAAAAAAAAGGTTAAATTTGTCTCATGCTAAAAAATTGTGGAATTATTTTAAAAAGTAAGACCATGTTTTAAATATTAAAATAAATGAACAAAATAAAATCCTCCTCAAAATATTAGGACATAACCCTTAGTACAAGACAATGGGTGACAAAATAAAATTTTGAAAAAAGAAACTTTAAAACAATATATTAATTTTTAAAAAAAATTTTTAAAAAGATTATTGTTTTAAGCAGTTATCTTGTGATTGTTTTATTAAAAATAAAACAAAAGTGGCAAGTGGGGCAGTGAAACAAACAATAAATAACATCAGTGTAGGCAATAAAACAAATGTGTTTGGGAGTGTTTGGGAGAAGAAACAAATATGCTGTGAGTCTAAAGAAACAGACTTGTCTGTAACTTAAGAAACAGACTTTTGGGGGAAGAAGAGACATAACCTAAGAAACAGACTTCTGGTGAAAGAAACAAATTTTGTGAGCTTAAAGAAACAGATTTCTGTGAGATTAAAGAAACAGATTTCTGTGAGATTAATGATACAGATTTCTGTGAGCTTAAAGAAACAGATTTCTGTGAGATTAAAGAAACAGATTTCTGTGAGATTAAAGATACAGATTTCTGTGAGATTAAAGAAACAGATTTCTGTGAGAGCAGCAAAACAGATTTCTGTGAGATTAAAGAAACAGAATTTTTTTAGATTTAAGAAAGTGACATTTTGTGGAAGAAATAAACACACTTTGTTGGAAAAAAAAAACTTCCCTAAGTTAAAAGAAATAGACTTATGTGGGATTAAAAAAAAAGACTATGTTAGAGAAAGACCAAGATATAAAACCAAGCTAAAAGACCGCCCTACCTAATCCAGACAAGTGTTACCTCAGTAAATGCCAGACTTAGTACCACATACACATTCTAAAGACTAAATGTGGACAAACCACGCATCATGCCACAACAAATCTGGCCAAACACCACAACTTACCTGACAAATATTGGCCTAGGCAAGAAAAATTTTTAAGGTGGAAAATAAACTCAATAGGTGCACATTCAATATTCACATTTTGTTTTGCAAATTAATAACACAAAAATAACTAATCCTACAACACAGAATGCATACCATTAAAAAAAATGTTAGCACATTTATATCTCAAAAACATATGCTTAAGTTTGTGTTAAAAAATTAAAACATGCTTTAAAGTGGTTGGTCTGCCTGTCTTGGTTTAGAACCATGCTCTTTTTGCCATGCTATCTTCAACAGTACTAATCAACTAAATAAATCACAAAACACAAAACAGTAATCAAATCAAATCTACTATGATGTTTAACAAACTCAAAATTAAAATTTGTCACCGGTAAAACAATTAAATTTTTGTGAATGTATCAAGAATATTAAAATTGTCATATCCATTTGATTTTTAAAGCAATTATTTTCAAATTAATTCTGTTTTAGTATTTTAGAAAAATGGAATGTAACACGGTGATGGTGGCTCCCAATGACAAATCCATATTAAACAGCAGATATTAAGTATGTAAATTTCAATCACCAACTGAAATGATTTACCAGTGAAATGTTCTAAAAGCAAACTGAATAAAAAATGATGTGAAAGTGAAAATGAAACAAACTGATAAGTGGTTAAAAAAATGAAAATAATACAATGCGATATTATTAGGTGTTTTTTTTTTAAATAACAAAGAAAATTATTAATAATATGGGATTATCCACACAAGCAATCAGCATCCACTGGATACAAATAAAACAGGAAGCTATCCCAAGATTCCTGGTGCCACTCACCAGATTTAATGGACGCCGTGTCACTGTCAATGGAGGAATGGTCAGCACCGTGGTTGGCATGGGATAATCTCAGCTTACTGTTTAAACTGAGGCTTTCTGAGGACACAAGGGATGTGTCTTCTAGTCAGTCGTTTGGACACAAGAGATGTGTCTTCTAATCAGTCATTTGGACACTAGAGATGTCTCACCTAATCAGTCAATTAGACACAAAAGATGTGTCTTCTAGTCAGTCATTTGGACACAAGAGAGATGTGTCACCTAATCAGTCATTTGGACACTAGAGAGATGTGTCACCTAATCAGTCATTTGGACACAAGAGATGTGTCACCTAATCAGTCATTTGGACACAAGAGATGTGTCACCTAATCAGTCATTTGGACACTAGAGATGTGTCACCTAATCAGTCATTTGGACACAAGAGATGTGTCACCTAATCAGTCATTTGGACACAAGAGAGATGTGTCACCTAATCAGTCATTTGAACACAAGAAATGTGTCACCTAATCAGTCAATTAGACACAAGAGATGTGTCACCTAATCAGTCAATTAGACACAAGAGATGTGTCACCTAATCAGTCAATTAGACACAAGAGAGATGTGTCACCTAATCAGTCATTTGGACACTAGAGATGTGTGTGTCACCTAATCAGTCAATTAGACACAAGAGAGATGTGTCTTCTAGTCAGTCGTTTGGACACAAGAGATGTGTCTTCTAATCAGTCAATTAGACACAAGAGATGTGTCTTCTAGTCAGTCATTTGGACACAAGAGATGTGTCACCTAATCAGTCATTTGGACACAAGAGATGTGTCACCTAATCAGTCATTTGGACACAAGAGATGTGTCACCTAATCAGTCATTTGGACACAAGAGATGTGTCACCTAATCAGTCATTTGAACACAAGAGATGTGTCACCTAATCAGTCATTTGGACACAAGAGATGTGTCTTCTAGTCAGTCATTTGGACACAAGAGATGTGTCACCTAATCAGTCATTTGGACACAAGAGATGTGTCACCTAATCAGTCATTTGGACACAAGAGATGTGTCACCTAATCAGTCATTTGGACACAAGAAAGGTGTCACCTAATCAGTCAATTAGACACAAGAGAGATGTGTCACCTAATCAGTCATTTGGACACAAGAGATGCGTCACCTAATCAGTCAATTAGACACAAGAAAGGTGTCACCTAATCAGCTATTTGGACACAAGAGATGTGTCACCTAATCAGTCATTTGGACATTAGAGATGTGTGTGTCACCTAATCAGTCATTTGAACACAAGAGATGTGTCACCTAATCAGTCATTTGGACACAAGAGAGATGTGTCACCTAATCAGTCATTTGGACACTAGAGATGTCTCACCTAATCAGTCAATTAGACACAAAAGATGTGTCTTCTAGTCAGTCATTTGGACACAAGAGAGATGTGTCACCTAATCAGTCATTTGGACACTAGAGAGATGTGTCACCTAATCAGTCATTTGGACACAAGAGATGTGTCACCTAATCAGTCATTTGGACACAAGAGATGTGTCACCTAATCAGTCATTTGGACACTAGAGATGTGTCACCTAATCAGTCATTTGGACACAAGAGAGATGTGTCACCTAATCAGTCATTTGGACACAAGAGATGCATCACCTAATCAGTCATTTGGACACAAGAGATGCATCACCTAATCAGTCATTTGGACACAAGAGATGTGTCACCTAATCAGTCATTTGGACACAAGAGATGTGTCACCTAATCAGTCAATTAGACACAAGAGAGATGTGTCTTCTAGTCAGTCATATGGACACAAGAGATGTGTCACCTAATCAGTCATTTGGACACAAGAGAGATGTGTCACCTAATCAGTCATTTGGACACAAGAGATGCATCACCTAATCAGTCATTTGGACACAAGAGATGCATCACCTAATCAGTCATTTGGACACAAGAGATGTGTCACCTAATCAGTCATTTGGACACAAGAGATGTGTCACCTAATCAGTCAATTGGACACAAGAGAGATGTGTCTTCTAGTCAGTCAATTAGACACAAGAGATGCGTCACCTAATCAGTCAATTAGACACAAGAAAGGTGTCACCTAATCAGTCATTTGGACACAAGAGATGTGTCACCTAATCAGTCATTTGGACACAAGAGATGTGTCACCTAATCAGTCAATTAGACACAAGAGAGATGTGTCTTCTAGTCAGTCAATTAGACACAAGAGATGCGTCACCTAATCAGTCAATTAGACACAAGAAAGGTGTCACCTAATCAGCTATTTGGACACAAGAGATGTGTCACCTAATCAGTCATTTGGACACAAGAGATGTGTCAACTAATCAGTCAAGTAGACACAAGAGATGTGTCACCTAATCAGTCATTTGGACACAAGAGAGATGTCACCTAATCAGTCATTTGGACACAAGAGAGATGTCACCTAATCAGTCATTTGGACACAAGAGATGTGTCACCTAATCAGTCATTTGGACACAAGAGAGATGTGTAACCCAAACAGATGATGTGTCACCCAAATAGATGTGTCACCCAGTTAGCCTTTTGTGTCAAGTCATCAAATAGGTCACTTTATAAGATTTCACCAAACAAAGTCTTTCTTTAAACTGCTGTATCACCAAATACGTCATTTATCATTAGCTCATGTATCACCAAATAGGTGATTTAATAAGATTTCACAAACAAAAAATCAATTTTTAAATGATGTATCACCAAATTATTCATTAAATAATAGCTAATGTTACCATCATTGGCTGATGTTGTCAAAAAAACAATGACCAAGTATAGCTTTAAAAAATGACCACATTTGAAACAAATGACCAAGGTGAACATAGATACATTGAACACAGAACCAGCAGTTGTAAAAGTAAAGTAAGGTTCCCCTTCCACACAGACGGTCTATGAGGCAAGTGAAGTAGAGTTAACCTGTTAATGTGACATCGGCATATGAAGGGATAGTGTGGTCAGCACTATGCCCAGCCGCCTTTACTCTCCCAAACTTGAGTTAGGTTCTTACAGTCAAATTTTGTATTGTTTACAGTAAAACTACCATAACTCAGGGAGCATTTGTCACATTTCTAAACAGTTTTCACCCTTGATGTCAGTGTAGAGCTGAAAATCTCAAACAGCCTACAGCGTGAATTAACATGTCCCTAATACAGATCTCAAACAATTAAACAAAATTGGATGTTTCTGATAATTAGGCCTACACACTTTAACAATAATCAACAAGTCAAGATGTCTATTAAAAACTAAAAATGCTGCGTATAATGTTCTAAAAATAAAATTTTAAGCTTAAAAAAATCAGTGCACATGCTGATGTACCTCCCTAGATAAGTAACTCTCCAATATAAAAAAAAACTTTTGTATATAACTTGTGTTGAACAATTTCAAACTTACACATTATGTAGCTGTAATCTTTTGATAACAAGGTTGCAAAAAATAATGTGTGAATGGTGATGAAAGGATGATGCAGTGATGACAGACACACAATACTGTATGATAGACACACACTCAGCACTATATGGTAGACACACACCCATCATTGCATTACAAACAATATTGTTTGACAGACACACACATCCATCACTGTATGACTGTCACACATCCATCACTGTATGACTGTCACACACCCAGCACTGTATGACTGTCACACATCCATCACTGTATGACTGTCACACATCCATCACTGTATGACTGTCACACATCCATCACTGTATGACTGTCATACATCCATCACTGTATGACTGTCACACATCCATCACTGTATGACTGTCACACATCCATCACTGTATGACTGTCACACATCCATCACTGTATGACTGTCACACATCCATCACTGTATGACTGTCACACATCCATCACTGTATGACTGTCACACATCCATCACTGTATGACTGTCACACATCCATCACTGTATGACTCTCACACATCCATCACTGTATGACTGTCACACATCCATCACTGTATGACTGTCACACATCCATCACTGTATGACTGACACACATCCATCAATGTCTGACTGTCACACATCTATCACTGTATGACTGACACACATCCATCACTGTATGACTGTCACACATCCATCACTGTATGACTGTCACACATCCATCACTGTATGACTGACACACATCCATCACTGTATGACTGACACACATCCATCACTGTATGACTGTCACACATCCATCACTGTATGACTGACACACATCCATCACTGTATGACTGTCACACATCCATCACTGTATGACTGTCACACATCCATCACTGTATGACTGTCACACATCCATCACTGTATGACTGTCACACATCCATCACTGTATGACTGTCACACATCCATCACTGTATGACTGTCACACATCCATCACTGTATGACTGTCACACATCCATCACTGTATGACTGTCACACATCCATCACTGTATGACTGTCACACATCCATCACTGTATGACTGTCACACAGCACTGTATGACTGTCACACATCCATCACTGCATGACTGACACACATCCATCACTGTATGGCAGACACCCAGCACTGAAGTATCTGAGTCAGTTTGGGTTAAGCAGACACTCGTGGAGCACTACATGACAGACAGCCAATAATGCATGACAGTTTTGACAGACAAATACTCAGCACTGTATGACAGACACGCATTATATTTCTGTTATTTAAACTAATATACTCCTAATGATATTAAAGTAAACTGTAGCAAGTGTTCTCCATCAATCAACCAATCAAACTCCTCCGAAAATGGTAACAAATAATTCAATCATGTTATCAAATAAATAACCTTCATAGAGTACATCATGTATCACTATTTCACAAGAAAATGCTTTAAAGTAATAATAATGGTATCAGATACAATTAACACATGATGCTTGTAAGAGGTTTGATAAGTTAGTAAATAAAAATAACAAGGTCGACCTGTCTAATCTATGTCAACAGGTATATGATCTACATATCTAATGTACATAATACTAACAGGTTATTGATCTACTTCTGCTTCTTAAATCTTAGCAAAAACATGTTGAATTTATATAAACTGACAGGTAATTGATCTACTTCTGCTTATCAAATCTTAGCAAAAACATGTTGAATCTATATAAACTGAAAGGTAATTGATCTACTATTACTGATCAATTCTAAGCAAAACCTGAGTAATCTCACTTTAATACAACAAGCCCAGGTAGCTAGTCTGCTTTGAAGGAGAACTTTAAAAAACTTACTGGCAGCTTTTGCTTTAGACCCAGCCACTGTGTCCCCCTTCTCTTTCTGATTGTTGATGACTGACAGGGCATCAGGTATGACAATCAGGCTGGAGGGGCGGGACCGGGCTTTTGGTTTGTCCGGAGTGTTCTAGAATACAGTTACACAATAGCTGGTTAGAAGAAAGACTTGCTGTTTGACACTGATTGAAGAGTGATAAAAAGATTCATTATCATTTTGAGTGTGTGCCCAAGACAAATGACACAGATGAAGAAGAGTTCATCTGTTTTAGAGACCTAAATATATGTAGGGACAGAGTGGTCAGCATTATGCCCAGCTGCCTTTACTTTCCCTAATGTCAGTTAGGTACCCATTAGAGCAGAGTAGACTCAGGGACGTCCTGCAGTCACGAGTTTGAACCAAAATCCAACTCGAGATCCTCGGGCTAGCAGTCAAACGCTCTACCATTCAACCACATCATCCCCCAAATATAATTAATAATTTTGTCAATTGTTACTATCTACTTAAATTTTAACAGAGATCAAATAGGCTGACCTAGATCATATAAACTGACAAATAAAATGTACATACACTTTCACAGTTAGCTAAAAAGAAATAAAACAAAACACTACTTACATCTAACTCATCATCACTGAATTCTAAGTCATAATTCCTTTCATCCTAGAAAAGATAAAAACATAGGAATATTAACTTTGGATAAATGAAGTAGAGAGTGTCTGTTTGAAGAGGTTAGGGTGTATACATGCCCCAACTTAAATCATGCAGGCAAGAGTACCTTAAGACATCTTAAAGATTTTGGTCATTCACTTATGAAGCCAAGTTGGGGTCACGCTATTGGCTTAAGCCAACAAATTAAGCCATCAGATGGGTCACATGCTAATCAATCAAAAAACTATTTCAACACAATTTATTTATTTTACTGCTTGTTTTTTTCTTGCTTCTGTATAAATATATATAAACCAATATTCTAAAGGCACAGAACTAGTACAACAAAGGGCTACCATATTTTTCACTATATTTCTACACTAAACGGTTGAGAAAAAAATATTTCATTGACACAGAACACAAAGTGCTACATTCCCCCCATATTTCTACACTAAATTGTTGAGAAACCAATATTTTAATGGCACAGAATTAATAGAATAAAGTGCTACAATACTTTTTCCGATATTTCTACAGTAAAACGGTTGATAAAAAAATATTTCATTGACATAGAATGAATACTTATACAACAATGTGCTACAACATTTCTCCCCATATTTCTACAGTCCCTTGTGAAATATAAACAGATGCCAATACTCACAGCATCCAGATCCCAATCAATATTGATGTGTAGAAAGAGATCAATTTTCCCTGACATTGCACCAGTCAACTGAAAATTTGAAAAAAGTATTTTATAACTCCAGCAGCTGAAGTAATAATTTTTTAGTAACATTTTTTTGGGGGTGAGCATGAAATAAAAGGTTCTGTTTAAAGCATGGTAGAAATAAAAGATTCTGTTTAAAGCAGGACAGAAATAAAAGATTCTGTTTAAAGCAGGGTAGAAATAAAAGATTCTGTTTAAAGCAGGACAGAAATAAAAGATTCTGTTTAAAGCAGGGTAGAAATAAAAGATTATGTTTAAAGCTGGGTAGAAATAAAATATTCTGTTTACAGCCGGGTAGAAATAAAAGATTCTGTTTAAAGCTGGGTAGAAATAAAAGATTTTGGTTAAAGCAGGGTAGAAATAAAAGATTCTGTTTACAGCCGGGTAGAAATAAAAGATTCTGTTTAAAGCTGGGTAGAAATAAAAGATTTTGGTTAAAGCAGGGTAGAAATAAAATATTCTGTTTAAAGCAGGGTAGAAATAAAAGATTCTGTTTAAAGCAGGGTAGAAATAAAAGATTCTGTTTAAAGCAGGGTAGAAATAAAAGATTCTGTTTAAAGCAGGACAGAAATAAAAGATTCTGTTTAAAGCATGGTAGAAATAAAAGATTCTGTTTACAGCCGGGTAGAAATAAAATATTCTGTTTAAAGCAGGGTAGAAATAAAAGATTTTGGTTAAAGCAGGGTAGAAATAAAAGATTATGTTTAAAGCTGGGTAGAAATAAAAGATTCTGTTTAAAGCAGGACAGAAATAAAAGATTCTGTTTAAAGCAGGGTAGAAATAAAAGATTCTGTTTACAGCCGGGTAGAAATAAAAGATTCTGTTTAAAGCAGGGTAGAAATAAAAGATTCTGTTTAAAGCAGGGTAGAAATAAAAGATTCTGTTTACAGTCGGGTAGAAATAAAAGATTCTGTTTAAAGCAGGGTAGAAATAAAAGATTCTGTTTAAAGCAGGGTAGAAATAAAAGATTCTGTTTACAGCCGGGTAGAAATAAAAGATTCTGTGTAAAGCAGGATAAAAAAACTTACAAGCTCAACACAATTGTTAAAGTTATTCTTCCTGGCAATGTCTAGTGGCGTTTCCCTCATGTTGTTCTCAAGTTTGGCTAAGTCTGGCCGCGTCCTGAGCAGAAGCTTCATGCACTCGGTCCTGTTGAGCTGGGCACACAGGTGGAGGGCTGTATCTCCACTGGTCGTCTTTCTCTCCAGGCTTCCTCTGGAGGATGTTTTAAAAAAATTGTATCTCAAGAACACTTTAAAATGTATTCATCTGGGTTGCCGTGGTCAAAGGTAGAAGCTGACCAACAACTTCTTATTCTCTATTCTATTAAATATTGCTCAGTGCTAAAATTATTGCTAAAGAAAATATAATTAATTCATAAAAGTGCCTTTCAGATTTATTTTTAAATATTTATTTTTTTAAATAGTACAACAATAAACTCACATAGGTGTATTTTGAATAAGGAAATCAACAAGAGGTAACGATGTACCATCATCTTCAAGAATGGCCAAGTAGAGAGCAGTTTCACCATTATCCTGCAAAAAAAAAACATATTTTAACAAAATAATAATGTAAAAAAAAATCAACAGCAAACACGACGAGCTGCCTATAATTTTTTTATCCAAAAATCATTTCCTTCAGAAAAAGAGATAGCCCGTCCTCAGAGTATGACCTTCAGTTCAAATCTTGAAATGTATTTGGAACTAAAAAAAAACTCTAGCAAAGTAGACTCTAGATATTTTTTTAAGGAAGTGAATGGAAAAAAACAATGAAGTGACTTATCGAGTCAGAAATGAACGACACAGACTACTGACTAAATAAAGTAAGTAGTTATAGCATCACAACTTGACCTGTTTACTGAGACAATAACACAAACTACTGACTAAATAAAGTCAGTAGTGATAGAGCCACAGCTTGACCTGTTTACTGAGACAATGACACAAACGACTGACCATATCAGGCAGTGGTGTGGACAAGTCCAGCTTCTCAGCGTAGACCTGCAGCAGTGCCAGCAGGTCTTTGTTCTGTGTGGCCTGCTTGAGATCCTGTCTCAGCTCCTCTGTGTTGGCACAGGTGATGATGGCAAACTTGTGCTGCAAGTACTTGGCTTTGATGAAGTCTCTCCGGTCGTTCCTAGCATTTGTTCAACAGATAAACATTTACAACTCCTGTCATTCCTAGCATTTGGTCAACAGATATGCATTTACAACACATGTCTACAAGCCAATTGAGTTATGCCTTAACCTGGCTTCTTTTTTTTAACCATGCAACAATAATTATGAATTATTTATGATGTTATTCCTTGTTTTTAAATTACCCAAATAAAAATACAACACACTTACAGAGTAAGGTCATATAGAGCAGGTAAAGAAGAGTTCACATATGACCTTACTAAGGTTGTGGTTTTGTAGACAGTACAGCTTCCTTTTTCAAAATAATTTGTAAAATTTATACCAGTATCCCTTAGTACGAGAAAATATGCTAAAAAGCATATTGTAAATGTATCCAACTTGAGCAAAAAATTTTATGTTGATTTCTAATATGAAAATGTGGTTCTGGCCTATTCTGTGTGAGAGAGGAGGCAATGAGATAAGATGTACTCACATGTGACTAGTTGGCTTGGGTTTGATGCTGCTGTGAGAAGTGTCGTTTGGATCAAGGGTAGCTTCCATTATGTCATTAAATGCTGCGTTGCCTATAACTCTTGCAAGCTGGAAAAAGTATTTGTTAATTATTAGTTGTTTATTCAGTCATTCCAAATTTTACAGAGCATTGTTTGATAATCATGTGGACACCAATCAGAATAAACCATTTCAATATTCTTGGGTATAATATTAAGTAATTTATTTGTTTGATTTTCAAACTTGACACCTTTTTATATTTAATCCAAGATTTTAAAAAACTTTAAATGAGTTTAAACGTAATAATGTATGCTTGTTAATAAAGATGTTAATGCAATGCCTAAAAAATTGCTATGCTAATACATTAAAATACATCACTTATACACTGCAGAGTTTAATGTGAGCTAAATAAAAAGGTAAACCAATCACCAGCAACTGTGATGTTCCAAGCTCATCAATGATGGTGCTCTGTGTACGAGATATATGGACGCCAAGTTCTCTGTGTATACCACAGCATTCCAAGCAGACCATCACCCCAAGGTTAACAGACAGCCACTCTGGATCTGTGTAGGTGGGCAAAAGTACATTATAACTATTTGTGTAGGTGGGCAAAAGTACATTATAACTATTTGTGTAGGTGGGCAAAAGTACATTATAACTATTTGTGTAGGTGGGCAAAAGTACATTATAACTATTTGTGTAGGTGGGCAAAAGTACATTATAACTATTTGTGTAGGTGGGCAAAAGTACATTATAACTATTTGTGTATGTGGGCAAAAGTACATTATAACTATTTGTGTAGGTGGGCAAAAGTACATTATAACTATTTGTGTAGGTGGGCAAAAGTACATTATAACTATTTGTGTAGGTGGGCAAAAGTACATTATAACTAGCTGTGTATGTGGACAAAAGTACATTATAACTCTGTTTATGTGGACAAAAGTACATTATAACTATCTGTGTATGTGGACTAAAGTACATTATAACTATCTGTTTATGTGGACAAAAGTACATTATAACTATCTGTGTATGTGTGATAAAGTACATTATAACTAGCTGTGGGCAACAGTACAAACTAAATTTTAAAACTATCTGTGTACATGAGGAAAAAAAAAATTAAAATAATTTAAAAACCAACAATGTACCTGGTGTTCCACAATCACAACAGTACTTGTTGCCTGGTAACCGTCGTATACGATCCATGATGCTTGCAGTCAGCTCGCGAACACTTTGATTGAGACTAGGTGAGTTGGTGTTGTTCTTTAAGAAGTTCATGAAAATTCCTTCCTTGGCGTTGTTTAAAACAGAAATCCACCTGGATTAAAAGTTTGTAGCGTGTTAAAGTTGAAGGAAGGGGACAATTTATTTTAAAAAGATAAAAATATTAAGAAATTAAGTTGTAATATATGTATGTTGAACTCTAAAACTGCTTGAAATTTTTATACGCATAGTAATTAATTTGGTTTAGTGCGCTGAATCACCAAAAACCAAGCATGATGAAGAACTGTGGTAGCCTCCAAATGCTGCACATGGAGTCCACAAGAATGATGATGACGATGTTAGTATTTTAAATGTTTATATGTGATCCTCATCATCTTTTCCCTTTTGTGCCCAAGACACATGGGGCAACATATGTGGATAGAATCTGGGTAATTCTCATCACATGTGCCAGAAAGTAAGATGGGATTGCATTGTTTAAAACTGTTTGCAACTGGATACATATTGCAATACATAAATTTAGACTGGGTAAAAAAAAGAATAAGATCCTACTAGTAAAAATCTGGCAATCTCACTACAGAACTTTCTACTTAAGCCAGGTTACAAAAAAAACATGGCACACCAATATATATATATATATATATATATATATATATATATATATATATATATATATTTATCTATACTTACTCCTCCATTTCTTTAGTGTCATCTGCTTGGAAGTGGTAAGTTCTGTTGTCTATGTAATTAAAAAAATATATTTTTAAAAATGTAATCGATATTTAATTTCTCTAAATACACTTGTCAGGGTCTACAACTCTACCCAATAGAATCCTTGTGTTGGGATAGGTTAAGCCTGTCAAGTCCAGCCTATATAAATCTAGTGCTATTTTACTATCAGCTTAAATCATCTACCAGTGTGGACCATCCAGTTTAAAAGGGTTATCAAATTATTTAATGTGTTACTGTTGATCATTGCAACAAGTAAAAGAGTAAAGTTATATCCACCTGATGAAGATACAATGTCGAAGCACTTTTTGCCGGGGTCATCTGGGACATGCTGAAAAAGAAAACTCAGAATCGACAAACAGGTAAACTGTAGGATCTACTACACTATAGACAAACTATAGGTAATAACTTATGTACTCAATTGTGGGGATCTACTACACTATAGACAAACTATAGGTAATAACTTCTGTACTCAATTGTGGGGATCTACTACACTATAGACAAACTATAGGTAATAACTTCTGTGCTCTATTGTGGGGATCTACAACACTATAGACAAACTATAGGTAATAACTTCTGTACTCAATTGTGGGATTTAATACACTATAGACAAACTATAGGTAATAACTTTTGTACTGTAGGGTCTACTACACTATAGACAAACTATAGGTAATAACTTTTGTACTCAATTGTGGGATTTAATACACTATAGACAAACTATAGGTAATAACTTTTGTACTGTAGGGTCTACTACACTATAGACAAACTATAGGTAATAACTTTTGTACTCAATTGTGGGATTTACTACACTATTGACAAACTATAGGAAATAACTTTTGTACTCAATTGTGGGATCTACAACGCTATAGACAAACTATAGGTAATAACTTTTGTACTCAATTGTGGGATCTACTACACTATAGACAAACTATAGGTAATAACTTTTGTACTCAATTGTGGGATCTACTACACTATAGACAAACTATAGGTAATAACTTTTGTACTCAATTGTGGGATCTACTACACTATAGACAAACTATAGGTAATAACTTTTGTACTCAATTGTGGGATCTACTACACTATAGACAAACTATAGGTAATAACTTTTGTACTCAATTGTGGGATCTACAATGCTATAGACAAACTATAGGTAATAACTTCTATACTCAATTGTGGGATTTACTACACTATAGACAAACTATAGGTAATAACTTCTATTCTCAATTGTGGGATTTACTACACTATAAACAAGTTAGAGGTGAAAAGTTTTGAAAATATAATGGGATGGTGTGGTCATATGATGGAGCATGGAATTCATAACATGCCACGACAAAAAGTATAGAAATGAAACTTACTTTTACTTGACAAGTCAATAAACACAACTTGACTGGATCTTTACTTTCCTAGAAAAAGAAAAAAAATTATACCTAGTTGCAATTTATCAGATATAGGGTCAATCTTAAATGAAACTAAGCACATAACAGGGAAGGAATAAAGAAATTGGACATAGCAAACCTTTTTTATTACTTAAAAATAGAATAATGGAAAGCATGTTGATCTTATTTAGAATGATGGGTACTTTAGATTGGGTGAGTTTTACATTGTGATGTTAATTTAAGGGGAAGGGTGTAAAACTAGTTAAATATAAGCAACATCATTTTTGAATAACCTGTTGTCTTATGTTTGACTTCAGAGAAGAATATATAGATCTATAATAATGTTTACAGATAATTACAACATATAAGCTTAGGCTATTGAAAAAAATTGCCAAAATATTTATTGGTTTTCATTGCTGAATGTTTACTTAATTACAAATAATTTGCACCTTCTTAAAATGAATATATTTAAGTTATCAAAATATTTTGTTTTTATAGCAAAGTTCTCATGCTAATATTCAATGAAAAAAAAATGTAACATACATCTTGATGGCTAATCTCCATATGACCATCTCTGATAATGCACTTCCTCTTGAGCCAGATCTTGCGCACCCGGCTCTCCGACTTCTTCAACAGGTGACCCTTCTTCTCGCAGCCCAGAGATTTGTCCCCACACGGCTGGTGGAGGTTGTAGCCAGCTGGGGAGGAGTTGACTGGTGGGGCCTGCAAGGGAGAGAACTGATCAGTTGGGGCCTGCAAGGGAGATAAAATACAAGTAACTTGGCTGAATCAGTTGATAGCAAAACCTTACTCTTACCTTGTCTGTTATTCAAGAACTAGATCTAAAGTGAGATAATAAAAAAACGGACTAATGGTTTTAAGTAAAAATACACTGACCCACAGTTTTCAATTTTTAAAAGTGTTTTTAATTTCCCAAATTTTAGGTTTTATTCATTTTTATTTTTTTTACAATAATGTTAAGATAGTTTGAATGGAAAATATTTTTTACATTATTCTAAGGTGCAAATGGTGAGTGGGGGGCACAGGGAGTTTAAGCTGACCAAAATAAAACTTGTCCAAAAAAATATTACACAAAATAATTTTACAATAAATACACAATGTAGGCTAGATACATTCATTTAACTCCTATTCAGCAAATCAAAATGAATTAGCACACAAAAATATGTACCCCTGAAATAATATCTGCTCTTAAAAAAAATAATTGCTTTCAAGATGCAACCAAATACTATTATTTGTTTCACTATTTTAAAATGATAAACAATGGTATGAAAATCAGGATACATAAGAAAACAACAGGCAAATAAACAAGAATAAGCAATCACATGAAAGTATTTGGATAGTAGTTCAGCAGTATAAAAAACATCAGTTAAGCATGGGGTGTGCATTATGGTTTGGATCCACTGTATAATTCCACTTCTAGTATTTGGATTTACAGGTAATAAGTAGGTTAAACAGCTCATTCATTAATTAATGGTATGTTAATTTAGTATTATCGTTCAGTATCTGACAATGACTAGGTTATGAATGAAGACACAACAAAAACTGAATCAAAATATGATTGTTCAACAAGTCAACATCCTTCAAAACCTCAAATTATGTTGCCATATGTTTTAAATGAAAAACATTATTTAATTTACATACTTGTAAATATATTTTTTTTTATGTTACAACTAAGCACCAATTTGACCAAAATAATTTTAACAGAGGAAATAAATTAGATTTAAAACAAAAATCAATACTTAAAAAAATGATATAGGACCACAAAGATTGTTGAGACATTTCACTCCAAGTACTCATTCAATAGTTGGACATTTTTTAAATATTTTAATTTTCAGGTTGAAATATAATTTTCTTTTAAAAAGAAATTGATACTAAAAAATTATAACTGAGTTTTAGAACATGAACTACAAAATCCATGACTAGTTTTTATCAAATTCAACAACTGTTCACTAACATAAGACAAGTGTGAAGCTACCAACAATTAAAACCATTTATTCTTATTTCACAAAGCTTCAAAAACAAATAACAGGGGTTTTTTTGTGAGGATTTTCTAAAGGAAGTGATAAGGGGTGAAGTGCCTCAAACAAAATGACAACATAAAGTAATGTACCCATCCTGATCCAGAGAAGCGGTTGGTCTGCAACAGGGGTTTGGTTAAAGGAGAGATACAATTGTAGAAAAAAATAGTTGCTAAATATTTTTGAAAGCATTTTATAGGAATAGCTTCAAGTTTTTTTATAAGCAATAAACTTACTAAAGCATTACGTTAGATACAAAGAAATAGAAAAATGAAACTGAATACTTCAGTTAATGATAGTTTAAGAATAAAAAAGTGAAACCCTTTAAATGGTTAAGAAATTATTATTTTTAAGAATTGTTTTCTTATAGGACTATACATGAAAAAAGATCCTTTTGAAATGTTAAATGAACATGTCAACTCTTTCAATAATATAATCAGGGCTGCCTACCCCAAAAAAATTTTCCCCGTAGCAAGAGCATAGGTTTTCCGTAACTTTCCGTAACTTACCGTATTTTTACACATTTTTTAAATACAATGTAAATAAGACCCATATTATATGATCGTAAAGCTCATCAGCGTAATGATGACAGTCGGCGACTCGTGCTACTTTTTATTTTATGGACTAATAATTAGTTTATAAAAAAAACGCCGTTAAATTCAGAATGTAAGGCGACAATGGAAAATTTCAAATAGGAATTGTTCTTGCAATGAGTAGTATGACGTATGTTATAGGCCAACACTACGGATATCTAAACCAATGTGAACTCAGTGACCCCTCGACTGTGCGAGTCAGGATTTTTTCTCCCGCGAACAAGAAAACGTAAGCGGCCGACGGGTGACGATGTTTAGAATTAGCGTATTTCTTGAATATTTTTTTTTTAAATCTACATTTTATCAATGTAATATCTAGAAGAAAAGAACAATTTTAAAAATATGATCCGTAATTGATCTAGGTGAGCCTAGATCTCGTTGTTTAGTAAAATCTTGTCTTCTCTCACATCTCAAACAAAATGCCTCGATATCTCGCTATTTAGGCATTTAGCCGTAATGCCGCCTCAGCAAATATGTCTCGCCAGACTGCTCGATGAGACTTTCAATGATTTAGGCCACGCCCTTTTTTCTCTACGGACAACACCGACTCATGAGGTAACACAGACCACTCGCGGGGTCAATAGTTCACAATATAAAAACACGACAGCCATGACCAGAGCGGGAAGGGAAGGGGGAGGGTGGAGGGGGGATTGTTACGGAAGAGGCTGAGAACCTTAGAACCGGATAACACACTGAAATACTGAAATATAACTAGCTAAATTGAAATATAAAACTCAGACCGGGAACATAAAGTTAAGTTACCACCAGAATTTATTTTTTTTTACACTAAAGTCGATTTTGATCTCTACTGAAATCAAAACCGTAATTTTGCAGCATAATCGTAATTCCGTAACCTGGGTGTCAAAATCGTAAAGTTACGGGCAAAACCGTACAAGTAGGCAGCCCTGTATAATACTCAAAAAAGTATTCTAAAACTATGTTCGTTTTTATTTATACTTTAATTCAAACAGAATTTTTGGGAGACTAAAAGAATAAATGGCAGGGGGGCACAACCCAGGAGAAGGGAACTGTTGAGAATGGACTCACTTCCTTGTAGTTCATGGAAGTCTTCAGGGCATCTCGGAGATCAATCAACTGTTTCTTCTCAGCCTCGTGCTTCTGCCTGATTTTATGGAGCTGTTTGAGGAGCTCTTCCACAAAGTCATGGAAGTGTTGAATGGTGCGGAGGCCATCTTTAAAGAAGCTGAAATTTTTTTTTATTTTTAAGTATTGGTAATGTGCTAATTTTCAAATATTTTTACAGTTATTTTAATTTAAAGTAACCATTAATGATCAAAATCTCTTATATAAAACTTATATTTTCTAAAATGTGACTATTATTAATGGTCCATAAAATGGAACTGACTTGGCCATCTTTAAAGAAGCTGAAATTTTTTTTTAATTTGTAAGTATTGGTAATGTACAAATTTTCAAATATTTTTAGTTATTTTTATTTAAAGTAACCATTAATTATCTAAATCTCTTATATAAAACTTATGTTTTCTAAAATTTGACTATTATTAATGGTCTAAAAATTGAACTGACTTAGCCTGGACTTGATAGTACTCAGCTAGAGACTGCAGTAGATCAGATCCCTTCTTTGTTCGTATTTCATTCACTTTAATCAGGTACTGAAATTTTAAAGAAAATATTTTAAATTCTATTTTTCAATACAACATGGAATTAACAAAATGGTGTTTGATATATAGATAACTCTAGGCTCCACATTGGATTAACAAGTTTGATGATGATACACAATATAATTTTGAAATAAGGCAAACAAGCAAATAAATTAATAAAGACTATAGAGCCCACTGTAATGATAATGATACAGACACAATTTAAAGACAGGTCTTAATGGTGGTGATGACACTAATAACACAACTTGTAAAGAATTTAACACACATGTAACAGGCACTGCACATCACATGATTAACTGAGAGTAGAATACAATGTTAGTTAAAAATTTCCTGTTAATTTTTTATACTTACTTCACACATTTGAAGTTGAAATATTTTCCTTTCTTTTTCCATTTCTTCAGCAAGCTACAAAGACCAAAAATATAATAAACTAAAAATGTGTGATGGTAAAAGTAATAACATGTTACAGTGAGTATTAATAATATTGTACAGGTAGAAACTAAGAAATCAAAATGCTTTTTCTAAATTTGAGGTTAGGCCTAGATTAAGGATTCTAGGCCTAGGATTAAGGATTAGGGACGGAGTGGCCTAGTGGTAGAGAGATGGACTGCTAACCCGTAAGTCTCTAGTTCAAATCCGGGTTCAAGTAAGTAGACGGTCCCTGAGTTCACCCAGCTCTGATGGGTATCTAACTCACGTTAGGGTAAGTAAAGGCGGCTGGGCATAGTGCTGACCGCACTATCCCTTCATATGCAGAGGTCACATTAACAAGTGAACTCTACTTCACTTGCCCCGTAGACCGTCAGATTAAGGATTAGGAAAAATTTGATGTCTGGGCCTAGATTCTAAGGGTTAAGACAAAATTGAGGGCTAGGACTAGATTAAGGGTTAGGACAAAATTGACGGTCATGATAAGATTGAGAGTGAGGACTAGATTGAGGGTTAGGATTAGATTAAGGGTTAGGACAAAAGTGAGGATTAGGATAAGATTGATGGTAAGGACTAGAGGGTATCCAATGAACTTGAGCCCATGGACTTAACTGTTAGTTATACTGTTCTCTACCATTTAACCAGATTTCAGGATAAAGATTATTTCAAATGTGAAGGTCTTTGTTACTTATCCTATATGTGATAGTCGGACTAGTGCAACAAAAATATTATTTGAAATACTTAAGTTTAAGATTTCTAACTGAAAATGTGTGTAAAAATACAACCAAAATAAACTACTGTTATAAAAAAAAACAACCCATACCTCAGCCCCAGATATCTCCCCCCTCACCATCCCAGCAAGAATCGCCTCTTTCTTCTTCTCTTTTTCTGTCTTGGAGCTAAAGAAACAACAAAAGACAAAAAAATTGTACTTCTATTTCAGGTGGTCAACAGGTGACATAGCATACCCAAACAAAAACTGCGGCCATATTCAGCCTAAACAAACAACAGCCATCAGCAAGAGTAAACAATATGCATGGCCAGACAAACAAAGGCTTTGGACGTTATTTCAAGTAAATTTGTCTTTGATTTGCGACAACTAACAGTGTTTACTTTTTAAATTTGTTACTCTATGTATTGGTTCCTTAAATTTGTTCCTTGTTTACTTTTTTACCGTTTCCTTGATTTGCGACAACTAACAGTGTTTACTTTTTAAATGTGTTACTATATGTATTGGTTCCTTAAATTTGTTCTTTGTTTACTTTTTTACCTTTTCATTTTTTTTAAATGAACTAAAATTACCACAGCATTCAGTAGAAGGTACAGAACTTTTCCCTCTAAAAACGTCTGGGTCAAGGAGGTATACATCACCCAGACAACAAGGGGGGGGGGGGGGGGGGGGGGGGTTCAGAAATGTAAGTCTAGCTGAACTTGCCAGTTTTATTTTGCAAAAACATAAAATAATAGGTGGACTAGATTATTATTTTATTTTTGTTAAAAAAAAATACAGTAAAAAAACTTTTAAATACACTGCTCTCTCACAGACAGATTTTTTATTTAGGAGTTTTTGGCAAACATAGATATTACATCTTCTTAGGTATTAAATGATAAACTATCGTCATAGGTGAATCCATGACTGCCATGCAGGTTGTTAAAAAACAACCCAACAAAGAAGTCAAATCTTAACAATAAAACTTTACCTACATAAACCTGCTTTGTGACAATTTAAAAAAAAATTATTTCCCACTAGGCCTATTTGAAATCTATCTATCTATATATATAATTCTCTTCTGGGAGCCGTTAGAAAACAAGCTGCAAGCGCCTACTTGCAGTCCCCTCTCTTTCTCTCTATCACAATCACTACCACCCCCACCCCACCCCCACATTGTCTGGTGAGCTGTGTTCACTCTAAATGTTTACAAATCGTAGAGCCGTAGAGCCGGGTTTCTATTAGGGGCAGATAATTTAGTTCGATTTTAAACTTACAGGAGGTAACTAAGAAATAACTAAGAGGAGGCTGCTTTCACGGGGGGGGGGGGGTTAGGGGAAAAGTGGGGGGGGGGGGGGGTTAGTGTTTTAAAGCAAATATTTTCAGTGGCAGCATTGGTACTGTCGAATTCACAAATTATGAATTACTGAAAAGTAGAAAATAAAACAACTAAATAGCTGCGTATGATACGCTGCGGGTCGGCTCGTAGAATTAAATCTCTGAAAGAAACTAAACTTCAATTATTTTAAAGTTAGTTGGGTCTTGTATCAAATGTAGGTAACTTAACAATTTAGACAAAGTTTATCTAATGAAGAGAAATAAGCAAGGAAAATGATGTTCTTACAATTTGGTTTCATAATCCTTCCAGGCTTTGTCAAAAGGCTTCTTCAAGTCTCCTTTAGCACCTTTCAAATCCCCTTTCAGGAAAGAATCCAAGGGAAACAGAACCATGTTATGCAGCCCATCCATCTGGAGGTATACATAAGTAAGAAATGCATAAGAAATGTAGAATTAGTGAACTGTAACATCAATAATTACTTGGGGTACAGGATTATACGGCAATAGTTAATAAAGAACACCATCATATGCTGTTGATTCAAAATTCATCTTTAATATGAATTTTTTTTTATTTTTATAATTTGTTTAAAGATCTCTCATAATGTCAATACATCATGTTTAAATAAGTAAACCATAGTTTTATTAATAAAATACATATATATTTATATGCATACCATATTCTTCATCATGGACGAGAGATCTTTGGTCACATGTGAGAATTTCATAAATGCATCACCTGAAATAGAAGAAAACAATTTTACTTTAAAACAATTTTTAAAAATTTCATATTTTCACTTTTACTTTATTTTTAAACAGAGATTCTATAACAGACTGGATTGTAAACTATATTGAATATTTTTAACTGCAGGTGTATGTTAACACCTAATTATTTCAAGATCTAAAAAAGAATCAGATCAAATCTAGACCTATCAGAATCAGATTCAATGTACATCAAACATAGACCAACTCACCAATTTCCTGCTCGCTGTCCCTGGTCTTGGCAATAGTTCCAAGTCTCTCAAGGTTCTCTGCCACTATAGCGTCATTTGTGACATGAGCTGTGAAGTACATGATCAAGTAGGTCAATTAATACAGCTGAGATAACATTCTATTACATGAGCCCGTAGGTCCCTTAATACGGCTGAGATAACATTTTATTACATGATCAAGTAGGTCTCTTAATACGGCTGAGATATCATTCTATCAAAGCAAATGCTTACACGAGCATGTAGGTCCCATAATACAACTGAGATATCATTTTATTACATGAGCATGTAGGTCCCTTAATACGGCTGAGATAACATTCTATTACATGAGCAGGTAGGTCCCTTAATATAGCTGAGATAACATTCTATTACATGAGCAGGTAGGTCTCTTAATATGGCTGAGATAACATTCTATCAAAGCAACTGCTTACATGAGCATGTAGGTCAAATAATACAGCTGAGATAACATTCTATTACATGAGCATGTAGGTCCCTAAACAGAGCTGAGATATTCTATGAAAACAACTATTTACATGAGCAAGTAAGTCCCTACATAATACTGAGATATAGTATAAAAATAACAGCCCGAGTCTAACCATGAGAAATAGCTTAGCATGATAGAGTTTATAGTCAAACTCCTACTTTACAACTATGTATATAGAAAATTTGAGACCAAAAGATTTATCCAGAAAATAACTGAAAAATTAATACCTAAATAAGATTTTTTGTAACATCAAATATGGGGGAAAACAGGGGAATATTATCATATGGACTTTCTATGGTTTCAGTTTAAAGATTTCCTCAACTATGTACACAGGATACATGTCAAGAAAATGGCACAATATAACCAGTCCATGCGCTGAATGCTTGTAGTGTCCATGTGCCCTGCCAGCTGTTACCACAGGCCTCATCACTAAAACATTGCCTCATTCCTTGCTAACAATACAGCACATCTGTGCAGCTACTACAGAGAAAACTAAAGAGGTGGGGCCAGACTAAGGCTAGTAGGGTAAAGGTCAAGGCTATTTTTTTTTTTTTGACTTCTTGTATCCTTACTCTAAAACAGCCAAGAATTTTAATATAATTCTCCTATCAGTTTTAACGTAAATTTTCTTTTGATTTTGATTAATTTTCCTTTCAGCAAATCAAATTTTGAGATAAACATTGCTTTCTGTAGCAGTAAAAAGAATTAAAGCAATAACAGATTTGCACGTCCACATAGTTGAGGAAAGGGGATATGTATATTTTGTGTGATGTCTTAATACTATACTTTGACATAGCATGTAAAAATGAATGTTGTCTGCCTTCTATTTTTAATGTTGAGTTTTCTTTGGTAAGAGTAAAGGCAGGGAAAGAGACAAAAATTGTTTAACGATGGGCCTTAACTTACTTAAAATTAAATAGATATTCTTTTTGCAATACATTTAAAATAAACCTTTGCATTACTTCAAATCCGTTGTTTACAAAAAAAATAATAGAAAAACTACACTCAACTCACTGTTTCCTGTATTGTAAAGTGCTTTCACAGACTTCTTCATTTTGGTCAAACTGCTCCTGTCCATGTCCAGAGTCTGATAAATTATAAATTAATGAGACATAAGTAATTCTTGAAGTTACAGTTACCTTTAAATATTATATACATTTTTACAATTTTACTGTGAAGGAAAACACATTTAATCTAATGCCTGTATTTTTCGGAAAGGAGAATAGTATATAAATACTGAAGGGGGGGAGCTAAGCGTAATGTCCTTTCTGAGATCAGCCCATGACTGTGTTACATTTTATAAAATCAAATTTGTTTGTAGTACCAAATAGTGTCGTGGTTAAGTCCCATAAAAGTTATACAATATGGGGCTTGGTAATGTATATAAACATATAGTTAAAGTGTGGGGAGTGAAGGTTGAGCAAAAAAATTTCCTGTGATTCAAACTGCACACACATTACATACGAAAGTGCTTGTAAATAACTGTTGCATGAAAAGGTAGGTATGTATTGGTATATATTGTGATATGATTAAAATGATGTTCCAAAAATAGATCACAGTAATAAAGTTATAGACCTTAAACATGGGCTATCCTTAAATGTAGTAAGGTAAGATGAGCATCATAATAAAGTACGCTTCTTGTCAACTTTTACAAATCCATATATATCCAAACACTAGTCTTAAAGTCTTAAGAACTAAAAAATAATTAACTCAGTTCTGCCATTAGTGCTTACTAATAATCTTAAAGTGTAGGCTCAAAAGTCACTGTGTATACCTAAACTCTGTTAATTAGCTTTTGGATTATAGGCTTATCCAAAAAAATAAAATAATCCCTACTTGAGAGGGAAGAGTAAGTTAAAACTAGACTTAATAGGGGTCATACCTAAATGAAGTCACAATATACATTCCTGGGGGAGGGGGGGGGGGGGGGGGGGTTGGAAGTATGAAAAGGTGTAGTGGGGTTCAAAAAATTTGATGTCACACTGTTCCATTTTTAAAAAGTGATGTTAAAAGCTGAATTTTAGCAGTTATTTTTAAAATTGTATTAGAAATTGATTAATATATTCTGTTGACTGAGCTCAGTCAATATTTTAGAAAGAAATGGATGTTTTAAAAAAAATTAAGCTGCAATTTTGAGATGGGTTGTAGGCTAATGTGTGACATCATTTTAGGGGGTGGGTCTGGCTTTTAGTGACAAATGTGTTACAGTGGGGAGGTAAAATTGCCCAATAAAAGTGATGTCATTTATAAATGACCCCATAAGCTAGAAGTATTATTAATTATTTAATATTAACTAAGTTTAATTTATTCCCTAAAGTTACAAACATTTCAAAACACAGCACCCCCTATGGTATGAGTTTATATTAAAACTATTGTGGGATGATTTTAAATACTGATGTCCGATAATAGGGGGTCATCCATAAATGACGTCACGCTTTTTAAAAGATTTCCCCCCCCTCCCCTCTGTCACACATCGTCACAAAAAGTCCAACCCCCACCCTTAAAATGACGTCTCACCTCAGCCTACAACCCCCCCCAAAATTGCAGTTGAATTTTTCTTATAACACTGATATTTTTCCAAAATCTTGTCTGAACTCTGTCAATATAGAGTATTTTAATCAATTCCTATTGCAATTTATTAAAAACAGTTTTCTAAAACGCGAAATAACGTCTTAAATTAGGTTTAAACATTGCTTTTATAATGCAAAAGTGTGACGTCGCACCATCTGAAATCCCCCCCTCCCCCTCATCACACACCTTCACAAAATTACGGACCCCTCCTCCCCCCTTCAAGTGTAATGTCATTTATGGACGACCCCTAGACTCTTCCATAAAACAGGTGTGTTGGTCATTAGTAGTATTGCAATCTCGACTAATTTTATGGTTAGAAATTACTAATTAGGGTTGATGGGGCAGGACTAGCCTAGTGACAAGGGTTGGGTTAGCATTGACATCAGCCAGCAATGTGTGTATTTGGTTAACTACCAGTAACCTAAGACCCCTTTTTAAAAGAAGATTCTATTAACTGTTATCGGACACTTAGATCTAGCCATTAACACTAGTACTAGTACCACTAGTTAGTACCAGTGATTAACACTTATTAACAGTAATAACAGGGATGGCAGGGTATTTTTAGGCCTAATACTAACTAATACAGTATTCAGTATACTTAATGGAGGCGAGCGAGTTGACGAGATTCCTTCTATAATGTTGTTGACATGGAGTAAAAACGTGCTTTTTAGATTTAGACCGTAAAAAAAATAAAAAATAAAAACTTAAGCCTAAAATTAATTTAGAAATTTTATATTTTTAGAATAAATGCTATAAAAGTTGCAAATCCAGAGAACTTGAAAATAATTTGTTGAGTTTAAGGCTACATTTCTATTTATTTTTATCAAGCCTAAGTTATAACCGGATGTTTCACTTTCGTAAGACAAATATTGATTGGCTGTACAGTAACTTAGTGATCGATAACTATTTGTTTACAAAACTTTGCAGATCAAGTTTTTAAATGACAATGCAAATTTAAAACCCCATGAACTAGTTTTCTATTTTTAGCTTACAATGTGTACAATAAAATCAATGGCGGCCTATCCAATAGCAGGATGCCATTGTTTATGTCGCCATTACACGTGATAACCAAATTGTTTTTGCTTTTTTTTTAAATTTTATTTAGTTACCGAAAATATTAAAAACATCAAATACGTCCAATCTTTAGTAAAGTCCAAAAATAACCAGAAAGACAGGATTTTATAACCATATTAATTGTAACTACGTCGTGCAAGATTTTTAAATTAATTTATGCACCTCTCAAATACCTTTGAGACTTTTCTCGCTCGTGTCCATTTAGTATAGGCCTACTAGTATTTCAAAGTATTTGTCTATTTGACAATTTGTTTTTGTATTTTAGAATCTAATCTACCTAACCTAGCATAGTGTAGCTAGTCTCATAACGCGAGTTGAATTACCTCCCCTGACCCGCTTTTTTATGGCCACTTTCTAGTTCGTTTTTTTCGATCGCGTCTCGGCACTGTTGCTAAAAATAGCATTCGCGCAATACCATACGGGTAAATCTGTTTGGCGTCTGCTACACGTGATAGATCGTTGAATGGCCGACAAGCTGATATAAAAATTATTGCGACCGGATGCGATTTTCGTGGAAATTGAGCTAGATTTAGCAAAAGACAGCTATATTTGTGTAAAATATTATTATTTATACTTCTACTTACACAGATATTTTGATAACTGCAGTTCAGCCGTCCATTTTTCTTTTAAAATGTATCTTTAGAATTTCTGTACCTTTTGGCAATCGGTCAGGAGCATTTGCGCACTAAACCCACCCCCCTACGGCAGTTCCGATTTTTTTCCCAGTGAACTCGTACTGACCTCCCACATAGCTAAGATAGTACATTGATACTGCTGGGAAAGCCTCTAAATCTGTTTCCTACTAGAGATCTAGAAATAAATCTAGATCGTGGAGTTTTTATAATGACTTTTAAATTGAATGTCTCCAGTTTAAGATATTTTTTTTTCAAAACATAGCTACTTTTAGTACTATATTTAAGTATTTCAAACCCTTTAGGTAGTTTTTTCTTAAACTTAGACCTAGATCTAGTGACTAGATCTAGATATCTATATACTATATTTTGTACTTATAACTTGCAGGCCTATTAAAATAATAATAAAACAGTTTGCTTGATAACTTCATTAGGTCATTTCATAAACACAAATGTTATAAACATATAAAAATCACAAAACCATAGGTAATATCTGAATTCTGTAGCCTACCTTACATTTAGGCTAATACTGAATTAAAAAGAAATTACATTAAGGTTTGAAATTAATACAACTTGTAATTAAGAAAGAAAGCTTTAATTCTAAATACTACAAGATATAATAACAAACAATGAAACAAATTCAAAGCTTTTTTCAACCCATTTAGTCGAAAAGATTTTTATTTTTTCCGATATTGACCAAAATAAGTTTTTAAAGCTTAGGCCTACTGTTTTTACAAACATAACTCAATTTTATTAGGCCCCTGTAATCATTAATTAAGATTCCTCTGTAGACAAAGCAATCTATTTGGCAGATGAAGTAGAGTTCATGTTTCTTGACCTCGGCATATGAAGTGATTATCCGTGTGGTCAGCGATATTCACAGCCGCCTTTACTTTTTACCTTTAATTTCCCCAATGTATATCAGGTACCCATCAGAAATGGGTGGACTCTAATTGAATTTTATTAAACAAACATTTTGATATAGGCCTAGATCTATAATCTATAACATTCCAAACAACATCTGTTCTGTAGAATTTACCTTTCTGCTTCCAAATGCAGTACTTCCAATTGAAAATTCATCACAAAACATACAATAAATTATATAAATGGCATTTTATAAATTTATACACACTATTTCCTTTCACCTTGGTGTAAAAAAATGTAGGTATAAGCAAACTGATTTCAATAGTAAGAAAGAATCATGTCTTTTCTTGCTTACTAGCTTTAAAACAAGTGAATTTGACTTTTTACCTGCGTTTTTGGTCGCGTTTCTATATATTTTATTTGCGACACTAAAAAAATTATATTTAATCAACCGATTATGCTAAATTAATAAAATTGGTACTGTTGGATTGCATTTTTAAAGCTCTACAATTATATGCTATTCTTTTTATAATTTGAAGAAAATTGAATTTATATGAGACTAACTACATAGTGCATTTTACTGATTTTAGGGGGGGGGGGTCTAAAAAACTCTATAGTCTATATATGTAACAAGTAGAAAATCGTGTAGTCTATGACTTTACTTTTTTATTATAGATCTAGATCTAGATCTAACTGAATTTACTATGAAACACTGAAACTTGAAAAAATAGAATGAAAGTGGAACTCACTTCCTCCAGGTTGGACACAGTTTGGCGGCATACGCCCATTTTGCTGGTGAATGTGGAGGTTGTAGGCGACTTGAAATCCTCCCATGTTTCTCGAACAAAATCTTGCACTGCTATCATCTCATTTGTTTTTGTTAACGTCGAAGGAAAATTTTTATTTCCTTCCTCTTCCCTTCATAGGATGCAAATTGTCTGCTAGGAGGAAGTAACTTTAGGCCTTTCGCGCATTTGTTTTGTATTCAATATGGAGGACTTAAACCAGAGTTGCGTACCCTTGGGCTGGGATTGATTATTATTAGATTTTTTTTTCAAAGTAGCAAACTAGCCATCCCTGCCAGGACCTGCACTGGCCTCTGTGAAAAACCTATCTGTACAGGACCATGACTAGTGTGTTTTGTAATCAGCATATACCCGGCATTGCCCGGGTTTAGGAGAAATATTACTTTTCAAATTAACCCTAACCAAAACCAACCAACAAAAAAAAAAAACACAAAAAAACGCAAACATAACACAAACACAAATACAAACACAAACACAAAGAAAACACAAACGCAAACAAAAAAAGTAAACGAAAACAAATCCAAACGCAAACTCAAACCCAACCACAATCGCAAACTCAAACACAAAGAAAACACAAACGCAAACAAAAAAAAGGAAACACAAAGGCAAATACAAAGAGAAACACAAACGCAAACAATAACTAAAAATAATGCTAATAAACGCAAACATAAACACAAACTTAAATGCAGATATAAACCAAAAGTGCTCACAGACTAGCCCGGTGTGCCAAATCGTGCCATGCTGGGGCGCTGGCGGAACCACCTGATTCAACTTATTAAACAACTTTAGTACCCCAACTTATTCGATCATGGTCTTCTGCACTCACTTAGGCGCCACAGCGTTCACGGGAATGCCCGGGGTGCCAAATAGCACCCTGTTGGGGCGCCGGAGGATGCCCGAATTCGATTCAGTTAAAGACTATAGTAACCTTTCTTATCCATAGTCTATCGCACTGTTTAAAACACAATTATGCACCATAGCGCTAACATGATAACCCCAGGGAACCAAATCGAACCCTGCCGGGGTTAACGACTATAATACACCAAGCTTATCCGCAAACGGAAAGATATAAGTAAACATTAGAGGACAATGTTTAGCTGGCTTCCAAACTGTTATTGATTAAAAAGAATAATTAGTAAACAGTACGTTCAATGTATAAAATACATAAAAGGCAGTATTTGAAATATCTGTGTTTTACTTACCACATTTCACTTGATCAATCCACGCTAAATATGTAATTGTTTTTTCCCAAAACCAAAACAAAGTAATAAAAAGTAAATAATCTTCCTCCGATGTCATGTTTTTTTTTAAAGGGAAGTAGTTGCGTTAGCCTAATTTATCAAAGGAAGCAATGAGTGCTAAAGGACTAAAAGTAAATAATTTTCAGACACAATTACAATTTTTGTAAAGGGTGATATATTTTCTTTACTTTTGTTTAATGCACATGCCAAAAATTAACACTATAAGTTTGGAAAATGAAATTTGTTTTATAACACCTTCAATATTAATTTGTTATGCCATTAATTTAAGGGGGCAGTATCACCCAGACATTTGAAAATTGACAAAAAAATTTGCCAAAAAAAAACTATTATACCTACACACATAAATTTTTTACCATAATAGTAAATATCAAGGAGCTATAAAACAGCACATAAAAGAAAGTTAACGTATGATGCAAACACTTTTTATAAATAATTTTACCAAAAAATGTTTACTAAGTAATTTTAGGCTGTGGTTTACCAACATTTAGGCCCATCCTGCTGAAAATACTCTAGGGCAGGGGTCGGCAACCTTTTGAAGCGGAAGAGCCAAAAGTTACAATTTTCAAAATTTCCCTGGTTTTAAAGAGCCACTAACATTTTTTTTATTTCAAATATTTTATTTTTTTATTAAGATTATTAGTATTTGTTCAAGGAGCTGGAGAGCCGCATCTTGATATCAAGGGGGCCGCATGCGGCTCGCGAGCCGCAGGTTGCCGACCCCTGCTCTAGGGGATGCATAACTGGGTAGCCTATGGCCGGAACTAGGAAATATCCATTGTGACAAATTTTAAAATTTTTAGAATTTTTCAAAATTGGACCAAAAAATTGAACTTTGAAATTTTCTAAAAAATTTATCTGTCATTAGAATACTATTATTTTAGTTCCGGCCATAGCCATGAACGCAAGGAATGTTTATACCAAATTTTAAGTACTTTACTTATGGTTTCGAAAAATTGTTTACAAAAAAATCAAAATGTGATAAAATATTAACAAAATAATTTTTTGAAAATTTATTGCCATACATATACCCTACAATTTATATACTGTATTATAGCAGAAGAAACGTTACTACTGCTGTAAAATTTTGACATGTGTATGTCAAATAGTTTTTTTTTGGTGATAGTTTTTGTTTCCCTCCCTTAGTCTGGGTGATACTGCCCCCTTAAATGATGAGCACTTTAGATCAGGGGTCGGCAACCTTTTGAAGCAGAAGAGCCAAAAGTTACAATTTTCAAAATTTCCCTGGTTTTAAAGAGCCACTAACATTTTTTTTCATTTCAAATATTTTTTTTTTAAAGATTATTAGTATTTGTTCAAGGAGCTGGAGAGCCGCATCTTCATATCAAAGGAGCCGCATGCGGCTCTTTTGATGTCAAGATGAGGCTCTCCAGCTCCTTGAACATATACTAATAATCTTAATAAAAAAATAAAATATTTGAAATAAAAAAAATGTTAGTGGCTCTTTAAAACCAGGGAAATTATGAAAATTGTAACTTTTGGCTCTTCCGCTTCAAAAGGTTGCCGACCCCTGGTTTAGGAGGTCATTAAATAACTGTTGTTTTAGTAGCGTAACAGATCAGGAGTGGGGCCCTTACCCCAGGGGCGTAATTCCAGATACGGAGCTTTATAATTTACACACACACACACACACACACACATATATATATATATATATATATATATATATATATATATATATATATATATATATATATATATATATATATATATATACATATATATATATATATATATATATATATATATATATATATATATATATAGGCCTATATATATATAGGCCTATATATTTTTATATATTCAATCATTAGCCGTGCTCTGCTACAGTGTTTTATCCAGACTTTTTTTCTCCGGGGGTGCACTTGATATTTTCGAGGGGGGGGGGGCGGACACTGGTAAGATGTTTTCTATAGAGTCCTTTCATATGACGTCACGTCCGTTCGTGATACCTACGCCCGCCGCCACAGTGGTGTACACAAGACGTAAACACAATCAGCTGTTCGCCAGCGCTGGACGTGTTCACCAGCGCTGGACGCGTTCACTGTATGTAAAGAACCGCACCCGCGGAAAAGGAAAAATACGTTAAAAAACTTGAACTCTTAGGAATTGAAGATCCTTATACTGTTATTGACAGTTTCGTATAAATAAATATGTGGACAAAATTTCTAAATAAAAATACTGTTAGTAATACTGTTTGCGTTTAGAGTTAAAGTAGCCGAATCTGATCAAATGCAGTTCTCGATACTTTGTTTCATATAAGGACAGTAAAATAATAAACTTCATTTTAATTATAAAAGATAACTATTAATAAAACAAATATGCTCGACCTTCACAAATACTAATAGTAAAAGACAAAGTCAAAAGTAATATTATAGGCTAATAAGAATAACAAGATCTAATAGTAGGCTTATACCTGGCTCCGCTGGGTAGACATAGAATCTAGAATCTACTTCTTTACTTAAATTTAATTACTTTAGATCTACATTCGATTCAAAATACACCCATAATAAATCAAAAGTAGTCATAATAGGCCTAATAAAGCATTTAATTGTCTCTAAGATCTAAAATCTCGCTCTATTATCTAATCATTTTTTTAGCAAACGAAATTTTCTGAAATTGAAATAGATTATATGACTAGACTTAGATCTAGAATCTGCTACTTAAATTAAATTGTAAAAACTTTATACAAGCATGTAGTTGATATTATTGTAGTAGAAGGCTTTAATAAATTACTAAGGCCTACCTACTTTGTTGTCTTTTTACAGCAATATGTATCTGATACTGGACTGAGTTTAATTAAATTCAAATTCATATCTAGTAATTGGTCTACTAAGTTTTTGTAGCCTAGTAGTACAATCTAGATCATACCAGCCAACAACAAATAACCACATTATTATTATTAGGTTAATGATTAGGCTAATTTTTTTTTTAATCCACTGTTTATAAAAGAAACAAATCAAGCTAGAAACATTATAAGTGAGATGGTTTAGAATAATAACAATGGACCCAGTCTACAATTGATACAATTGCAGGTCTACATAGGGCCTACAGTCTAGTAGTTTACAGTAGGCACCTAGTGTGTAGCTAGTATACTAGTGTGTAGCTGTCCAGAGTTAAGATTCTTAATGCCTTAATGCTTTCCCCTGATAAGCCGTGTGTGCTATAAATGACATAACATGACACCGAGGTGAGAAGTGTTGAGGGGAGAGCAGTGGGACTTTCCCCTTTGTTCTCCCTGCTGGGCCCTGAGGGTCAAAATTATATAAGAAATACTATCTCTGTGGGGCTGGGTATCACGGAGGTGAGACATTTTCAGGGGAGGGCAGGGCAGACTCCTCTTTGGTTTTATTGTGGGCTAGATACAGGTGGGGGCAGCCATCACGACGGTTGAACGTCAGTATTAATGTGTCTGATTACTTCCCTGCTGGATTATAAGGGTCTTAAATTGTATAACATGCTACCCAGATTGGTTATTACCCATGGATTATATTAGCCGTTGTAGTGTGGGTTTTGTAGGAGTTAAGTGGTCTCACGTTTGCTACAGTAGATAACCTCTAATATATTACTGCATTTGATCAGCTTCGTCTACTTAAACTCTAAACGCAAACGGTATTACTAACAGTATTTTTATTTAGAAATTTCGGCCACATATTTATATTATCCACGAAACTGTCAATAACTGTATAAGGATCTTAAAATTCCTAAGAGTTCAAGTTTTTGAACATATTTTTCCTTTTCCGCGGGCGCGATTCTTTACATACGGTGAACACGTCCAGCGCTGGTGAACACGTCCAGCGCTGGCGAACAGCTGATTGTGTTTACGTCTGATGTACACCACTGTGGCGGCGGGCGTAGGTATCACGTGATTTAGGTCACGTGTTTGCAAGGACTCTATATAAATTCCATTTCGTTCGGGGGGGGGGGGGGGCGGTAGACTTTTTTCGGGGAGGGCAGAGAGCCCCCCCCCCCCCCCCCCCCCAATAGATGCCTGGAAGAAACTCTGCTTCGCTACGATGTCAAACAAGTTAATAAAAAGTCTAGTGACAATTTAAGCGCAATTTCCTTAATTAATTTTTTGTGACCGAACGAAAGGATATTTTTGAAAACTTTCTCCGGCAATATTGTTCTAAATAATGGCAGGAATCGATTGGTAAATGTTTCAAGTCGCTAAGTGGTCTAGTTGCCGAGATATGGGCCAAAAACTGCATTTTTTTTTCGAGTTTTTTTGGCTTTTCCGGGAAATCCAGGAAGGAATTCCCGAATTTTTTTGGCCCACAATCATCCTCGGAACTTGCTTAACATATTTGCTTTGGAACTAGTCCTCGATATTGCTTCGTTGAGGAGGAGATACGACTTAAAGCTGCGGACACACATCCATCCAGAAATGACGAGTTAATAATAATAATCGCAATTGTCCGTATGGAAATTGCGCTAAAAAAATATTGCATTTTGAAAGAAATACTAAAAAGAACACAACACAAAGACATAACACACCACATAACAAAAAATAACACATCATACACAGCAAATACAAAAGACAACCTTGTAAAATAAATTTTATTTTAATTATGAAAGTTTTTAAAATATTTAAAGCCAGCTTTCAAAAGTAGGGGAAATGATCACACTCGTTAATACAGTTCCGTACACATTTTTACTACATCTTTCAAATTTTACTTTATAATAAATAACTTTTCAATATACTATATAAATATTGTTTTTAATTTATTATACAAAATATTAATATCTTTCTGAAACGTTTTAATATATTATATTAATATAAACTATAACTTTTAAACCGTGGAGAAAAGTCTACACAAACCGGATTAAAATAAAAATGCATTGTTAAAAAAGTGGTGCAATATTAAGATTTGAATGGAGTCTACACGGTAGTAACCTTCTCAAAATTATTTTTAAAAGAATTATACTCATGTTGTCCCGCAGCTTAAAATAAACATTATTTTAAAATGCTGCCGCCTCATTTTATTAAAGAAGAAGAACGAGTCTTTAAGTACATCATTGGCATTGCTTTTGTGCTTGTTTAAGCTATTCTAATTTATTCTAAACTGACAGCCACTGATTAGGTTCTTAAGAGTTTTTATTTTACAACATATCAGAGGCGTAGCGACCCTTCCCGGCGCCCGGGGACAAACTTTTCGATTTGCACCCCCCCCCCTCAAGATTTTGATTTGCGCCCCCCCCCCCCCTCAAACTTTCGATTTGCACACCCCCCCCCCCTTCAAACTTTCAATTTGAACCCCTTCAACCTTTCAATCTATTTTTCCAACCCATTTTGGCGCCCCCTTAGGTTGGCGCCCGGGGACATATGTACCCCCCTCCCCCCCCCGGTAAACGGAAAAAAAGTCACAGGAAAAAAAAAACACAGAAAAAAGTCACAGTTTTTGCTAGGAAAAAAAGTCACAGAAAAAAAGTCACAGTGGAAAAAATTTATCGGAAAAAAAGTCACAGAAATAGTCACAGAAAAAAGTCACAAAAATCTTTTTAGAAATATTTTTATTAATTTGTTAAGAATTGTACAATTTTGTATGTTTATTGTTGTGGGTTGTATTTTTTTATAGCATAAATTATTTATAGACGTTAAAAGCATTATGATTTATAACAATTATAACAATTGTAAGTAAAAATACTCTAAGATAATTTACACAACAATCTCAACTTTTGTTACGTATTTAGTTGAATACGCGGTAGAAAAGTTAATTATAAAAGAAATTTAGGCAAATTTTGCTGTAGACTATTCTCTGGTCGGCCTCTCCTCAGTAGGCATTGTCCGAACATATTTTGTGTTGTTGACGTTATGCGTCAATGACAGCCTTTGAACCTTGTCGGCTTTCTGTTTTGATCCTAAGGTTTGTTATGTAATGAGCGTGATAAATGTGGGCAGTAAAGGTGGTTGAACTAAACATAACTATTGTTGCGATGAGTTGAGGGCAGCAAGTCAGATGAACTTACCATTTCACGGTAATTTAATGTTGGTATTTAAAAAAAAACACGATGAAAAACGTGGACTTTAAAGAATTCTATTAAATGCTACTAATTTTAAGTTTAACATAATTACAATCTATATTACTTCATAATAAATATTTTTAGATGAATTATAAAAATTCCTATCCGTATACAGCCTACACACATCACATTACATTTAATTAATCCTAAGTTAATTTGCACTCTCTAAATATTTAATACATCAAAGTATTAACAAATATCATGCAAATATATATTTGTGACTTTTTTTCCTGTGACTTTTTTCCTGTGACTTTTTTTCTGTGTTTTTTTTCCTGTGTTTTTTTCCCTGTGACTTTTTTTCCTACAATTCCCCCCCCCCCCCCCCCCCCCGCTACGCTACTGCAACATATGGGCTAGATCTCACTACTGCATGTAGTAAACACATAATGGTAAATTCAAATATAATTTTAGAGGGTGTCGATTGTTTTTAGGGCTTAAGTATCGCTTCTGATTGCAAAAAAAAAAAAGGTAGTTGTTCTTTTCCTGCAGTATCGTGAGTCCCGTTTTGGTAGCAATTTTATGATTCTAAGCAGAGTTTCTTCCAGGCATCTCTTCGGGGGGGGGGGGGGGGGGGGGGGGGGGGGGGACAAAGCCCCCTCTCCCCCCCGAAAATTTTTTACCGCCCCCCCCCCCCCGAACGAAATGAAATTTATATAATTTATATAGAAAATATATACTTTTAACAGTGTCCGCCCCCCCGAAGAAAGTCTACCGCCCCCCGAAAATTTCAAGTGCCCCCCCCCCCCGGAGAAAAAAGTCTGGAAGAAACACTGATTCTAAGTACTTATTTCTTTTGTAAAAAGAATGAGAAAAAAATTAAAACATCGGGTCTCCAAATGTATTCACTTTATAAGCTCGGCCTTGGGGCTCGTTGTTGTCGACCTTGGTTACATGGTTGCTGCGCCACAACCTTTAATATGAAAAATAAACTTTTAAACCTTTTAAAAACCTGTCAGTAAAGTTTCTTGCATAAAACTTCTGCTTTTTCCTTATATCCACACCTATTTTTGTATAGATGTATATATATTTGTATATAGATGATATATTGCCCTATTAAGGTGTCTCAATTTTATTCTTTTAAAGGTGTGTTAAAATAGTTTTGCTCTAATATTTATCTATTTGAACTAGTCCCACTCAGGAATAGTTTGATGTTTAAAAAAAAAGTAAAATAATAATGATACGTTTTTCTGTAAGATCAACTTTGATTTAGCAAAACAAGTCCAGTGAGAAAATTGTTACACTTCAAACAACACCAGCCCCCCCCCCCCCCACCCCCCCCCCCCCCCGGATGACTAGAATGAGTTAAAAAAGCAGTTTACGAAGAAATTAAGGGTGATGTAACATCTTAACATGGAATGAAGAAGACATCCACTAACTGGGTTTGCTGAAGAGGTACAGACATCCTGTTTTGATAGATTCAGACATCTTTGTTTTTAGTTAACACATGGATTTATTTACTCATGTATTTGCTAGCAGCATACTAACAATATTGGGACAAGTGCTCAAACTAATCAACTTTCTATTTCATGCTTCATTCCCCCCCCCCCCCCCCCACTAATTATGCTGATCAAATTTTCTTCCATGCATTCCAGGTATCAAGAGGTAGATCTAAAGCTAGCTAAAGGAATTTTAATATCTATCTTTTAATAATTAATATACTTGTAAACTACATTTCATATGATAAATATCATTGTAGCATAAATACTGATACTATTTACCGCATCACTCAGCTTTAAAATACATGTAGAAAATGTATAAATAGACGAATTTCAGGCCAAACACTAAAATGCTTCTAGATATATGGTGTTGTACTTTTCTTGCTAAATATTATAAAGCAAAAAATAAAATACTTGTCAAGTAAAAATTGTTTTAATTAAATGTTCAACACTGAGGATGTAAAGATGACATCAAAATGGTTTGTACACAAGTTCAGTAGCATTGAACATACATATTTTACATATTAATTTATACAGCGCCAAAGTTAACTGCTTTACTAAACATCTACAAGTTAATTCAATAAATTATAAAACTGTTAGAATTAGGTACACAACAGGAGATTTAAAAAACAGAATTTTCAAGGATTCTTGATTTCCTTAAAGTATCTTTCAAAGTAAAAAAATATGACCTGTGAGGTTAGATTTATTTAGGCATACAAATATTTAGACACAATTTTTTTCTAAATGTACTGGTTGACTTAAATAAATGTTATTGATTATAAAAATGCATAGTTATTTAATTTAAAAAATTAAAGGTTTACTAACTTTTTATATAATTAAGTATTAATCTTTAATATAGAGCTTAATAATTATGTCTGAGACTAACATGCCCACAGCCCTTGGATTTTAAAAGATAGTAAAATTTGCAAGCAAGAAATTTATAGAGCAAGAAAGTCAAAAACAACATCAGTTCTTAAAAAACTGACATGGGTAGCTTAAAGCCATTGATCTTGTGCACAGTTACCAGCTCAAGTATGTACAATGACAGTTCTTATTTCACCAAGTTTGAAAATCAGACTAATTGCTAATAAGGCATGAATAAAAAAACAATTGGCCATCAACTGTCTAATCAGAAATTTTCAACATACAACTGTCTAGTAGTAGTAGGTAAATCCAAATAATATGCCAACAATGATTGATGAAGTTGAAACATTTAATGTTTTATCTAGTTGTTTAAAATACTTAATCTTTTAAAACAAAATAGCATTCTTTGTTTAATGTTTACTATATACTCTTACAAGTTTTAAGCCACTTAAGGAATTCAGTATTTTCAATGTGATTAAAAGCCGACATGCACATTAATTTCATTCAAAATATCTTGTCAAAACATTATATCTGAGAGTCAAAAAATTAATCTGGACACTTCAATCCTCAAGTGCACAAATTGCAGATAGCATTGGCAAAGTAAAAAAATCTGGACACCTCGCTCCTTGTAGACAAGAACACACACATTCAATATCAATTAGAAAGACTGGAGGAACAAAAAACGTCAGGCCACATTAATATTGCAACTAATGTGTACAAAACAGAATGGCTGAAAAGTAAAATAGCTAAAATCATTATTATTTTTATAACTTTAAGTTGTTTTAGTTGTTTTTTTTTAAATTAAAGTTACATTCAAAACAGTTCAATTCTATTTTCACTTAAATTCATTTTAATTTATTTTTTTTGCTAGAACTTATAATAATAAAAATAAGTACATTATTTTTCTGTGCTTTTATAACATATAATATATGTAAAGGAACTAAATACCATGACATACATATTTTGTTTTTAAAAATTCTAAGCAGAAAATCTCCATGCATACAAATGAGCAAGAGTGAATTTCTTAACAAATCTCTCCTTCTTAATGTTTTCTTATATTACATATTAATGATAATATAAATGGAAAATAAGTTTTGCCCCACTGAAAGTGACATTGGGATACAAATATTTAATTGTAAAGCCAGACCTAAATATATGATACTAATTTACACATAAAATGCTTGTATTATTTACAACTTCCATAAAATTTAAGATTTAAATTACAAAAAATGTATTCACTAGGCATACCCATGTTGAAATCAAATTCTTGAGAACTTAATAAATAACAAGAAATTGACGATAATTAGGTATTTGAATCAACATGGTAAAAGGACATAAAAAAAATGCAACAGTTTATATCCGACCAGGCCAATGGATACAAAAAATAAGGAAAGGGAAAACCATTAAAGGTACTAAGTTTATCCACCTATATCACTAAGCACAGCTCACTATTCAGTTCAAGCTGTGCACCTCACATGGCTCCAAATACATGCTCATCTGTCCCTTGTCAGCCAGCCTAAGAATTTCCACAGGAAATAGCCGAGAATGATGGGATACATAACCAGTTCCCGCCCAGCCCTCCTCTGATTGTCTTGCTCTATCACCTGTACACGCCTGGTCAACTTGGCTACCTGTAGAAGTTAATAGCAAGTTGTGTTAATGAATGAAAACTATTCTAGATAAACATTAACTAATGTTGTATGTTGACAGTGAGAATTAGCATATAACAATGCAGAATACAATTCCTGCATATTAAATCCTTTACACAAATCTAAGCTAGAAATTCAGTAAAATGTCATGTGTACTATTGCAATCTTAAAAGTTCAGATATAGATCTATATCCTCTGGTTATAATGTAAGCTGAGTTTTAGTAATGCCATCTTGATGCACCTGATGAGTGTTTTTAACCTTACAAAGAAGTTAACTTTGTCTTCCCATAAAAAAGCTAATGCTGTTAACAGTTTTCTTGGATTATTTTTTATTATTTCAATACATCACTGAATTTATTTATTTTTAAACTGCAGTAGTAAAATATTTCAAGTGATCCTATATCCAATTCACCTGTGTCCTTAAAAGTGTGGCCTCATTTTCTTCATTAAGCAGAACAGAATCATTCAAATTAACACCAGGATCATAAGGTACTGGACCAGCTCTGTAAACAAACAAATAAAACCTTTTTTTTATTATAAAGATTTGAATCCATGTCTGTATTAGAACATAATTCAAAGTAAAAGGTTAGTTCAAGAATGTGTGCTCACGCTAAGTGAGTGATTGTTGACTCATACATGGTCACAAGCTTGAGCCTATAGGACAAGAGTCCACACAGCTTCAATGGATCCCTAGATTTTATAGGGGAAAGTAGGGATGGCGTAGCCTAGCGTTACAGAGCTAGACTACTAACCCAAGAGTCTTGAGTTCGAAACAGAGTGCAAATTAGTGGAACGTCTCTGAGTCCACCCAGCCCTGATGGGTACCAGACTTACGTTTGGGAAACAAAGGCGGCTGGGCATAGTGCTGACCACATACTGCCATTAGCGAGAAAATGGTCCTTAAAAGTGACATTAAGAACTTCAGAGTTATTCTCAATACATTATCTCTATTCATCATACATACTATGAAAAGAGTCACAGATACAGACACAGTAGAGCAAAATTTTGTAGAGGAGAAAAATCGCTGAACTTTTGTAGAGGAAAAAAATTCTACGTATTACTTACATATGTCCATTAGCACCTAACTTTACTTTACTGGCACCTGTGTTTCCAGCCATCATTTTTTGGTCATCTGTCTCTTCAACAACAGGGAATCTTTCCTCCAGAGTTAATGTTCTTGGGGGTGTGATCAGACCAACATAGGACATATCATGCAGGTGGGCATTGCTTGGCAAATCTAGGTCAAGGTCCTGTTTCAATGCTATATGGTGGTTATCCCCTAGAAGACAAAATTAAATACTTTTTAAAAAAATGTAGATTTTAATTCAAAGTCTTAAGTTTTTTCAGTTTCTAAAACAACAGAAGATATTTATTAAGTGCCTGCTTTTTAAACTTAAAAAGAACTAATCAAACTTGACCTAACTAGCAAAGAATGTCATGTATATTTAAATGTAAGATTTTACTAAGAGCCATAATTACAAAATTTCAACAGTTACTTAAAACATTTTTCAGTAGAAATAAAAACAATACAGAAAAACCATCAAATCATTATAATGTGAACTTATGTCTTATAGCAGATACACACAGGTAGGGGACATACACTTATTGTCACAAATAGGAATGTAAATATATAGAAAACTTGAAACAAAAATAAACAACCTTGCATTAAAAACTTTTAATGTAACAAATTACAAAAATCAATTTTTTCTCTTATGGTAAGTAAATGTGTTGGTAAACCAAAAAATCTTTTATAAACTAATTCTTCTATATCAAATTTCTTAAAATTCAATGCATTTAAAGCTTTTTAAGCAAGTTTCATTTTAGCGCTTGGGATTATAAAATGACAACAGAAATTCGACACTTCAGTTTGAAAAATAATTAGAACCATAATCATGATCATTCTCAATTAAGGTGACACCCATACCCACTAAAAGCTATTGCTGTAGATAGCAAATAATCCCTAATGAAAGCCACTTTTTAAAAGTGTTATCTGCCCCTTATTACTACAACTGAAAAGAAGACAGCTAAAAGTTTTAGAGCATCGCAGCTAACCCCAAAGCCTCAAGTCTTATTCTGTTGGAGATTTCTGAGTCAACCCAGTTCTGGTGGAAACCAGACTAAAGAGTAAAGGCAGCTGGGCATGGGAACTGACCACAATATCATTTTGTCTGATGAGGTAACAGAAAAAGGTGAACTTTATTTCATCCACCATATTTGCCCTCAGTTCCTATAAGTGTAGCTTTAGATTTTCTTAAACTTATAGGAAAGAAACTTATTTACACAAAAATCACTGACAGAGATATGTCAAAACTGTGTAAAAAGATTAGACAACAAACATAACCACTGTGACTTGAAAGATGGTTTTTAATATTTTATATTACTTTAATTAAATAACTGACTCAAATCACCTTTGATCAACTATTTTTAAAAAAATGCTTTTTTCCGAAAAACCATGCAATTTAAAACAGAAATGTAATAAATTTCATTAACATTTTAAAGTAAAATACAATATCAAACAGGGAAAATAACTACTGTTAGTACTTAGTAATAAAAGTAATTTTTAACCAAAAGCATATCACCATAATATGAAATGAGCAATTTAAAAATGTGTGGGTAAAACAATACAACAAGGAGAGATAACTAGAACAAACTTGTTGTGGAATCGTGACCACCCACTACAAGTGTATATGGCACATGCATAACAGAGCACTGTTGGTATGGGTCCCTATCCCATGGGTGATCTTTTACACTTGCTTCATCACCATCTTCTTCACTATTTCCATTAAACTCAACCTCCGCTATGATAAAAACAGATGTGGGGAGATGCAATTAAATAAATGTTACAATCAAACTGTGACCAAATGAACTTTTTTTTGTCTTGTCTATTATGAAATTATGACCAGGCAAAACAACATTTAACATTGCCATAGTTATTTTATCCGTAAGTAATCAGTAAGCTTTCTATGAGTTAGTTATATCAATATTTTTTGCCTGAATAAATATATGAGAAAAAACCTGATGAAATCACATTATCTTCTCCTCTAGCAATTTCCCTAATTAAGACAATAATTAAATCAAACAAAAGCACAGGCAGCTTACACATCTAATTTATATTCTTTGTAATAGAGAAAATGTATGTCTGTGCTATGGATATATCAAAGCATAAGAGACATAGATACAACAGATAGAATAGAATCTGCCAAAAACTGTTAAATGATGACCAATCATAAGTAGGAGACAGAGTGGAAAAATAGTACCCCTGGTCACTAGCCTAAGGGTTTTTCAGTAAATATAAATAAAAAAAATAAAATTCTGAATTAGACCTGTTGGTTATTTTAATCTGTCCAGCAGTGAAATAAATTCAATGCATCTGTCATATCTACCTAATCAACTTTAAGGCCAGATTCTTTTCACCTTTAGATAAGTTAGCTATTTTCTAGTTTTATTTGAAGACAAAATTACATTAAAGTAATTTTGTTTGATCCAAATAAATGTAATTTTTAAAAATGACAATGAACACAAGTGTCAAAATTCCACAAACTAATGAATCAGTGCAATTTAATTTGAAGTTTATTTCATTTGAATTTTAATACTGGAAAGAAACATGACAATTATAGGCCTATGACTGCTAAACCATAAATACTCAAAAAGAAATGCCAGATAACTAAATGCATGGCAGAAGTTCCCCAAACTAGTGAAGTTTTTTTTAAATTAAAAAAGTGACAAAATAAAATATGAAAGTTACACCTCATATTACTGGCATTAATAATAGTAGCGATGAGTAACAGTAGCAACCAAAGAGTATACATTAGTAGTTACTAAAGATTCTAGAATGCTGTAATCCGTTCTCTATATAGAGCATTGTCTTTGTCCCGTATAAATTCTGTTAGACTGTCAGCTGACCCAATAGCTTCTCCAATGATAGACTACTAGGAGAAATGGAAAGGAAAGTGGTTTCCGAAATAATTGAAAAAAAATAAGATGACACTGGATGGGGCACGTTTTAAGAATGAATCCAGAAGACATCAAAGATATAGCGCTAAGCTGCACAGTTAGTACTAAGCTGCACGCCTCAAGGAAAAAGGAAACAAGGAAGGCCAAGGGAAACAATCAGGCACTCTGCAGAAAAACAACTGACAAAAGCACGGCTATCTAAATTGCAAGGGACAGTCAAAGGTGGAAATAGCTTTCTGTGGCGGCCTCATGTGTTATGGGAACAAAAGGGAAAAACATGAGGAGTTGCTAAAGTGTTTAGGAAAAATAAATAGATGAAAAGTGAAAAAAAAAACCTACCTCCAAGGATGATCCGATCTGGTACAGACATTGCTGCAAAATTTGCAGATATTTCTGAGTTCACATAACCATTTTCTCTGGTATCATAATGGGACCCCACAGATATTCTGACATTTTAAAAAATAGAGTAAATAATTAATAGAAAGAAATCTCTTTTTTTATTATTAAAACATTACTCAAGTATTCAAGGCAACCCACTTTTTAAAAAAAAAAAATGGGTTAATCTTTTATGCACTAATATTATTACATATATTAGTTAATGTACTCAACAATAAAATTTACTTTACTAAAATTGGTGCCTAGTTTACTTAAGTTCTCCCTTGGTACGATTAGTACATTCTTTGTAACATATCAGCATTCAGACACAAATAAACTTGACTAAGATAAACATGAAGCAGTTGGAGAATTTGTACCTGTCTGGTACTTGCATCTTGCTGCTAATCTGTGATATAAATTCTGGATCATAAGTCTTTGGATGAACATCACTATAATCAGAAGGCTGGGTGTGGTCTGGAAGTTTGATTTTTTCCTGTTGACATAAATAAAAAGTATGGGGAAACAGATATATTATTTTTTTTTAAAAAGTAAAGCTGCACTTTTGGACCAGGCAGTCAACAGAGCAGATGAATGAGCGTTACTGCTAATCATAAAGTAGAAAGATTTAGACTCTTATCTCTTCTCTCCACACTCATTATTCATGATTTTAATTAGATCTAAATCTAATAAATTTATCAAGTAATTTAAAAAAGCCTTAGAATCCGAGTTCTGTCAGAGCTTCAAATCGCTGATTCTAAATATTATCTTTTATTTTTATTATTAGGCCCAGATCTTATTAGTAAATGTAGTAGGCAATAAGTCCTGGTTATTTTGATTTTGAAAAGTACTAAAAATAACATAACACTACTGACTACACTTACTACTTTACTACTACACTACAAAAACGTAAAAACATCATTTTATTTTTAAGACATTTTTTTATTTTTATTAATTAAATTTACAACTCGTAACAACAAAACTGAATAAAATGCCATACTTCAGTGTTCTCTGTCATCTTTTGTGGTTCAGTTGTAAAGTTTTACACTAAATAGATTATATGTTAAATGTGAATCTATGACGATGAACTGAACGAGCGTTCTTCAAGACAGACTTTTATTTTCAACTTTTGTCCGCTGCCATCTTTATTTTGGGATATTTAGCTCTAGATCTAGATCTAGTACAAAGGGAAATCACCCACAATTTCGCAATAAAGGTCAATAATATTTTGATAGGCTAATAGTAGTAATAGTAATAGGTGACGTTAAAGAGGTGGGCTAGATCTAGATTTTCTAGATGTAGATCTCTAGATTATGCCAAATCACAAAAGATTGTCAATATTATAGAATCTATAGGCCTATAGAATTAATAGAATCAAGTTTACATTGTTTAGTTCAGATATTTGCTAGGTAGTGGGTGGAGTGCGCAGAGGCATAGAAATTATCTAATCGAACTTAGAAGTAGAAGAGGTGTGGGATTTCGCGATATTTTACTGTCATTTTATTTAACAAAAAAATTAAATACCATTAAATTTCTCATTAAAATTGTAAAAGCATTTGTCGCACAAAAGTGTCAGAGATTTCATAGGTAGAGGAGAAGCAATACACCCCCCCCCCCCCACCCCGAAACAAAATAGAATTTACATTAAAAATGTTCAGTTCAAGATGAGCTTTTATTTTTTCTACCCACCCGCCTTGCCCTAGCTATAGGAAATTGTTTTAAATGTAGGCCTATCAAAAGGAGATTTTTAAAAAAAAAAATTTCAGTTTTACTTTCTTCCAAAACTTATCGGAAGATGGGCACCAAAAAAAATGTAAATGTTTTATTAGATTTTCAGTTGCACATTTCATGTTCTATGTATAAAATGTTATGGAAACAACATGGAATGACTAAAGTAACTAATATTAAATATACACTAAGATACACAAATCATGTGCACTCTCTCTGCTCTTCACACACGAATTACCGACCACCTCTTTTTAAGTTTTTAAACTTACCTACGAAGTAAATTAACATGTAAACCATTAATATAAAAAACTAATAACTGTTATGCCACACAGAAAATTTAAGTGAGCGGGACATTAAAAAAAAAGTTTAAATCTGAAAAAAAAAACATTTCTCTTTACCCGTAACTCTTCTTGGCTTTTTTGTATTATTTGCTTATTTCCCTTTAAAATCTTTTATTGATGGTATATACCAGCACATCTGCAAACTGTGTAGCATTCACGTTGTATTATTAGTTTGTCATGTCAACATCTTGTGACGTGCTTATAATTTTATGGCACTTCGCAAAGAAATATTAGGTGTAACGTCGGTATTAGTAAATAACATGCATTATTTTCTATTTGAAACGCATATTGAACTAAATTCCTTAGTCCTCCTGCAGCTATCTTACTCCTGCACAGTGGCGTAGGCAAGGGGGGGTAGGAGGGGGGGGTTAACTCCTCTCATGGACCCCTATATATATATATATATATATATATATATATATATATATATATATATATATATATATATATATATATATATATATAGGATTGTATACATATGGAAACATGTTTGAACCCCTCCCATGACCGATTCCTGGCTACGCCACTGCTCCTGCATTTCATTATCCTGTTGTGATTTTAAACTACTTTACAGCACTGTTTGTAACTGCATGACACAGCTCAATAAATAAAAATGTATAGCCCCCCCCCCCCCCTCCCAAAAAAAAGCTAGATCCAGTTATAGTAGTGCCGATCAAAACGATCATCTTTTTATGTTTCGTGGAACACGTTTGCCGAAGCTAGAGGCGTAGGAGTAGGCAGGAAGCGTTTCACGCAGCTTTACGTCTGCCTACGCACTAGATCTAGACCTCGACTGTAGTCATACAGGGTCCTGTGTTGGTTTTAATTAGCGGTCTTTAGGCTGGCTTTCGCCGCTTTGATGGCAAGCACAATATTCAGTAGGCGTGCACAGTCTAACTCAGTCGTTTAAAAACTCCTATATCAAATAAAATTATACTCCTATCATTATTAGAATATCTCAGATATTATTCTCCCAGTAACTAAAATACTATAATAGATTATCAGTTGTCCCAAAAGGCCTACTCTACCTATGAAAAAAGATATCGGTATAAAATCTAACCGTTTTCTTGGATAGAAATGCTAAATAACGACTTATTTTTAAATTACAGTTCTGTGTATTTCAAGGTTTGGCCCGGAAAACAAAGTACTAAACATTTAAAGTTATTTTTGTGGAAAAATAATAAAGCAGATTAGTACCAGTAAGTGCATAGGTTGAAGAGTTGAAGTACCCGCGGGTATAGAATGGCATCTGGAAGTGTTTCTTTTAGACTTTTTTCTCCGGGGGGAGGGGGGCAATTTAATTTTTGAGAGGGTGGCAAGGGCACTGGTATAAGTATTAATTATATATATATATATATATATATATATATATATATATATATATATATATATATATATATATATATATATATATATATATATATATATATATATATATATATAAGGCCTTTGACAGTATATTGGGCTGATGGTGAGGACACTATATTCTCTTTACCTGGGGTCATGTCATTACAGCCTTCCCTATCTCATTTTCAACATATCTCATCCTGGTTCTTTTTTTTAAATCACCGTTTCGTCCATCTTCCCCCTTGGCCTGTGGGTGCCACTCCCCAGCTAACACAATTTATTAACCCAATGTCGTTCCAAGGTTGGCCCAATATCGCTATCTTGGCGATAAATTGGCCAAGGTCCCGCCATGCTTATGCCAGGATACGGCCAAGATTTGTACGTGCTTGCATCCCTTTGTTTTGAATAGCTTCCCTTGATACCTTGATATTTAACCGTTTTTACCCTGGCTTGCCAAGATTACAATGATTTATGTATTTACTGCAGCAATTTTATTTAAATAGGTTTGTTAAACTTAATATATGTTCCATGAAATACGTTTAAAAATCAAATATAATACTTCAGTTTAAAATTAGATTTAACTACAAACTATGTTGCGTGTTTTAAACATTTTGTTTAATATTTTTAAAATTGTGTGCGTGGCTACCCGTCCAGCGTCACGCTAGTCCATCGCATCTCGGCCTAAATTCTATGCCCACATTCCTTTCTATTGTTATCAAGCCAGCATCCCGCCAGGTCTTTACTTGCCATTCTTTGCTCGCCATTTTCCTCAACAACAGAGCCTTTGTTGTATCAAGCCAGCGGCACTAAGACCTCGTCTTTATCATCGCTTAATCTACCGACGTTTGGATTCTGTTAATAATCCTTTCAAGGACTTAAAACCACTTAATCAACAGGTAACATCGTCAATTATTATCGATAACAGATTATCCGACAACAGGTGAGCTTGTCGCATCAACAGGTATTGCACCAATTATTGACTTTTTTTTCAACAGTGAGGAGAATAATGTACATAAATTCATACTGCTGTGTAGAAAACACTTTCTGTCATTAAATAAGAGGAAGTCTATTTACATAGTTAGGCATTACAGTAACAGGCTAGGTGATTGTTTTAAATAATAAATATGTTTTCAACGAAAGAACCATCTAAAAGTTCTATTTGGAGAGCTACCCGAAAAAGGGTTAGTAATGATTTAGCTGACTGTATAAGGGCAGTACATGACGTTTCTGTCAGAGGCAGGCCCAGGAATTATGATTATGAGTATGATAGGCCTATTGATAAAAGTAGTAATCAGAGGCCTATTCTCAATGAGTTTGACAGTGTAAATTATTCATCAACACCAGTCACAGTAACTGGTCACCAAGCATGTTTTTCAGAAGTTAGAAACGAAGCTCACCATCAACAGACTGGCGCTGAGCAACACATGTATGATAATACTAGCAATTATGATTATACAGATTTAAATGATATTCTGTCGGATGTAGATTGTGAGACAGATGCAGACTCATCGCCAGAAGACAACTATGAAAATAATTTACAAGAGGAAGTCAGAAAGTGGGCTATTGATTTTCAAATAAAAAATGATGCACTTAGTGCCTTACTGTGCTTATTGTGCACCTACCACCCTTCATTACCAAAGGATTCAAGAACTTTGCTGAAAACTCCTAGAAAAATAAATGTTAAAGCTATTACAGGTGGTGCATACTACCATTTTGGAATTGAAAATTGCTTAACAAAATCGAACCATTTATTTAAATTTCTACATTCTCATCCAAATGAGACTCCAGTTATCCATTTGCAAATTAATTTTGATGGTTTGCCTTTATTTAAATCCTCATGCAGTCAATTTTGGCCAATTCTTGGAAGAATTTGTAAACCATTTGAATCTGATCCATTCCTTATTGGTTTGTATTATGGAGATAGCAAACCAGTTAGCATTGAAGAATATTTAACGGATTTTGTGAATGAAATGCATGTACTCGAGAAAGGTGCCACTTCACTCAGATTTGAAGACAACGAAGATTCTATTTTTCCTATTAAACTGTGTATATCTTGTTTTATATGTGATGCTCCAGCGCGGTCTTTTGTTAAGAAAACAAAAGGGCATTCAGGTTACTGGGGCTGTGATAAATGTTGTCAAAAAGGGGAGTGGGCTGAAAAAGTCATCTTTCCTGAAATAAATGCAACATTACGTTCAGATGAAGCTTTCGATTTAATTGAAGATGAAAATCATCAATTTCATGGATTATCTCCCTTGACTAGTTTGTCAGTTGGCATGGTCACTCAGTTTCCTTTAGATTACATGCATTTAGTGTGCTTAGGGGTGACAAGAAGAATTCTTTTACTCTGGCTTAAGAGTCCAGTTTCAAAAGGCCTTAGAATAGGAAATCAGGCTGTCCAACAGATATCAAACCGTCTACTACTCTTCAAAGAATATATTCCACGTGAATTCTCTAGAAAATGCCGTTCTCTGCATGATATAGAAAGGTGGAAAGCTACAGAGTTTAGGCAGTTTTTGTTATACAGTGGTATAGTTGCATTGAAAGGAAATATAGACAAAGTACATTATAGTCATTACCTTTTATTCTTTGTTGGTATTTATTGCCTTGCTAGTCCTACTTTATGTTACAGTCATGTTGATTATGCACATGAACTGTTGTGTATGTTTGTAGAAGAAGCTAAAGAACTTTATGGTAAAGAATTTCTGGTTTATAATGTGCATGGGCTCACACATTTGGCAGCAGATGTTAAGAATTTTGGACCACTAGATTCTTTCAGTGCTTTTCCATTCGAAAATTTTTTGGGTATGTTGAAGAAACTTGTTCGTAAACCACAGACACCACTAGAACAAGTTGTCAAGAGGTTATCGGAAAGAGCAGTCTCAGATAAAGGATTATTTTCATCTCAAGATTTTGTAACTGACAAGCCTTATCCTTTTCCAAAAAAAAAACATTGTCTTGGGCCATTGCCAAATGGAGTTAGATGTGATCAATTTGCTCAAATTAATTTTAAAGGTATCTTTTTTTCCATAGATAATGGAGACAACTGTGTTAAAATTGAAGACACTTTCTTTTTGCTTAGAAACATTCTCATTATGGATTTGTCTTCTGAACCAGTACTTGTTGTTGAGCGATTTCTAACATGTTATGATTTTTTTCAATATCCATTATTGTCCTCAAAATTGAGCATTTTTGAGGTGTCAAATCTTTCTGGTAAATTAGAGACATTCAATGTATCAAAAATTGAACAGAAATGTGTTCTCTTACCATACAAAAAGAGATATGTGCTGCTTCCTCTAAATCACAAAGAACAAAAATATTAGAATTTGTTTTATCTAATCCATTTAAGTCTTTAATTTTTATGTAAATACTGTGTATTCATATTTGTTGCAATTAGTATAGTTTATGTATTTAAGTCTGTATTAAAGTTAAAGAATGTACCACCTTCTGGAAACTGTTGAGGATAATGTAAGGATGGTGATGGTGGTGCCAGATGTGTGGCTGCTGGCTGGCAAAAAGCAATGTTACTGGCCAAGCACACCAACTGCTGGAGATGCATGGGTGCGCAATGCAAAGGAGCCATGTGAGAGCTGGCAGATTTTTACATATGAGAAAATTCTGCACAGCAATGGTAAGAATTAACATATTTTTAAATTACCAACAATTACTTACATTAAAAATTTTAAATATTAAAAGTAACATATACTTATTATAATACAATTATATTATTGTTTTTTAATGTTTTATTAAAACATTTAGACATTTTTATCACATTACAGTTTCCTATGAAAAGATAAAATCACTCGAGAGAAAGGCTCTAGATAAGAGTGATGTTGAGAGCTCAGGATCAGAGCCACATCGGCAGTCACGGCCAACAATTAGATGGTATATATTACAATCTCTAATTTAGATCTTGAGCTAAATATATAGCCTCATTTAAGTTTGTTATGTTTGTATAAATAATGAAAATAAAAATTTTGCATTAGGAGTCCCAATGATGATTCTGAATCATCAGAATCATCACCTGCCAGGAAGAAGCAGTGCAGAGTCGTGGTGAGGCGGAGGTCAAGGTCACCTATACCTTCCATAAAATATTTGCCACAACCACCTGAAGCTTCCAAAGCTGTTCCAAAACCACCTGCATCATATGCACAGTTTTCAGCGTCCCCTAGTTTTTCTGGCTGTAAGTGTATTGTATTTTTTTAAAATAAATCATTACTTTGTTAGCATTCTTGCTTTTGTTTGTAAAAAAATTTAGTAAAGATTTGACATAAATTATTTCTTTTCTAGTCACCCAGCAAAGTACAGATCAGCTGATGCCATTTTTTAAAAAGATTATGGAAAACAATGCAGAGCTGCTTGAAGAAATCCGGCGCCTGCATAGAAAAGTGGATAGGCTTGAGGCTAAATTGAATGGTATGGGAGAGGATATGCCAGAAACTATCCAGAGCCTGCCAGAAGGGTACACCTTTCCTTTACAGTCAGTTGAGCAAATGGTCAGCCTGGATAGTTGTCTGAATGACACATCAGTACAGAAGAGGATGGTAAGCAATGTTATAACAAAGTTACTGTTAAATTAGAAACTAGAGTGTATTATATTTCTTTCAATACTTTGTATTAACTGAATACTTTTTGTTCAACAGAGTCTTTACCTCAGCAACTATGGAGGTAAAAATGCTCGGCATGGTCTGTTCAGGGTTTTAAAAGAATTAATATGTCCTCAGTTATCAACTCTTTACTCATTTGAAGGCAAAAAAGGAAAACTGAAATTCAATGACCTCCAGAACCTCAAGATGACAATTTTTGGTAAAATGAAAATGGCTTCTTTGCTTCCAATAACTTAAAATTATGTAGGCCTATTTGTATATATCTAAAGCTGTCTGTCTATACAGAAAGACAAAGATGAGGTAAATGACAGATATATGGACAGAAGAATTGACAAGGCAAGATGCTGATAAGTTTTACTTTTTTTTTTTCAGATTCTATACTAAGATCTTTTAAAAATTCTACTATAAAAGAACTGGAAAAGGGGACAAGTGAATGGCTTGCCATGTCTGGTGACCGTGCAGGGGGGAGAAAAAGAAGAGAGGGCCCCAGCAAACAGCTACAGAATCATAAAGAGGCGGAGTGATTATTTTAAGCATCAGCCCCCCCCCCCCCCAATCCCAAGTAAAACAAAATTGCACACCTTCATTAATGGTATTTTTAAAAAAATCAATTTTTAATAAAAGTATAAGTTTATTCAAAATAACATAAATGCCTTAGTGATAGTGTTTACTACATTGTAAATCTGTGAAAATGCTGAATTTTTTTAACAAATACTATTACCCCTGTTATGTATATGTATAAATTAAGTATTTTGTTTGAATGTTATTTTTACTTACCATAGTAGTACATGACAGCTTCTGTATTCTTGTACAGTAAATTAAGTTTTTACATTCGTTTAATTTTAACTGTACTTAACAGCTGTTACATTATATGAAAATTTTTGTATATTTGTTTTTAATTTGTTTGTATAAAATTAAAAGTCAACATGAAAGCTACTACACTACTATTTACATATTCATTTTCTATCAGTACTTTATAATATAGTTATAGTTTTCTTACATTTGAATGAATTGTATAATACATATTTTAATAGATGAACAGTTTTTTGTGAATGTATTGCTGCTTTATTACATTTTGATTAAAGTTTCTATCACATTTTGAAATTAACTTTGTAAATACTATGACTGATATGAGAATGGAGTTTTTTGTATGTAAAAAATCATAATTTGAGCCTATTTGAGGCCAGGTTATAATACAGGATGAGCCAAGGTATAGCCAAAATATAGCCATTATTGGGCCAAGATATAGCCAGGATAAAATACACAATGAGCCAAGATATAGCCAAGATATAGCCATTATTGGGCCAAGATATAGCCATTATTGGGCCAAGATATAGCCATTATTGGGCCAAGATATAGCCATTATTGGGCCAAGATATAGCCATTATTGGGCCAAGATATAGCCAATATTGGGCCAAGATGTAGCCAATATTGGGCCAAGATATAGCCAATATTGGGCCAAGATATAGCCAATATTTGGCCAAGATATAGCCAATATTGGGCCAAGATATAGCCAATATTTGGCCAAGATATAGCCAATGTTGGGCCAATATGTAGCCGGGATATAGCCAATATTGTGCCAACATTGCGCCAACATCATGCCGAGTTTCACTACCAATGTTTGGCCAAGGTTAAGCCAATGTTGCACCAAGATGTAGCCAATATTGGTAACCAATGTTTAGCCAATATTGGGCCAATATATGTGTGCTGACTGGGTCTACTAGTGCTACCTGATTCGTGATGTCACTAAATGTTATTAATCTTACTTGATGCACAAATACATGCGCAATTCCTGCTTAAAAGATTGTGAAGAAAGTAATAAAAACAGAACTCCGGGGGGGGGGGGCACTTGAAATTTTCGGGGGGGGGGGGGGCGGTAGACTTTCTTGGGGGGGGGGACACTGTTAAAATTAAATATTTTCTATATAAATTATATAAATTTCATTTCGTTCGGGGGGGGGGGGGGTAGAATTTTTTTCGCCCCCCCCCCCCCCCCCCGAAGAGATGCCTGGAAGAAACTCTAGGGTGATGTACCACTCGGTGGATAACGAAGTGGTAAACATCTTCCATTTTCATGTAAGAAATTTTATAACGCCAACAAAAGTCATTTTCTTTGTAACTAAGCTGTGACCTTTAACTTTGATGAGATGGGGTGATTGGACTGGGGGTGGGTGGGCAGGTAATAGATCTTGCTGGATAACACTGTTTGTCACAATAAGAACTAAGAACGACGCTTTAAAAGTGAAAAGCTACAATTGCCTGTAAACAACCTACGTGTACAGGTCGAGAAGTATCTTGTTTATGCGACAATGCAATGTTTAGAGCCTATCAAGTCGATCAGTCATTGCAAAACTTAGCATATTCATTCGAAGTGTGGACCTACACATCCCTCATATGACCTTGACCACAGATGGCACGGTCTTTGCCTTGAAGCCTAGTCTGTACTATTTTGACTCCAAGCTACCTCATTAGGCATTGACTTTGCAAATGGGCTATATAGTATACAAAGTCAATTCCTAATGAGGTAGCTTATCTATATCTATATAAAATGTTTCCTCTCTTGGTTATATGATTTTTCCCCTCAAGTAAGCAGACATTGAGGCATATTACTACGAGTTGATTCCCAGGTAACTCCAGTCTGAATACAGTGCTTTTGTTAAAATCTGATTACAAAGACAGTGACCCCTTTTATCACAATACTGCTTGGTTGACCTCTTTCTTTGAGCAAACATGCATCAACGGATTTTTCAACACAAGCCGGTCAGATTTGTGGCCTATTTAAAGTGGCAAAACCAGCTGCTGTTTGGGGTTGAGGGCCCCTGAACATGTATAGTTAAACTTTCCTAAGTTGATTTCCTAATTGGTATTATGCAAATTTGATTACAATCTTTTATTTTGTACTAAATATCATATACAACCTTTTATAGATATAATTTTATAATCTTGTTTCTTGATTAGTTGATTTATCACTTAAATTAATAATATACTTTAGAAATGCATTTACCGGATACACATTGAAATGATGTCATCTCGCGGGAAATATGATTTCGCGCCAAACTCGCGCTTGCTTTGTTACCCACACGGCATCTGTGTTGCGATTCCATGTCACAGGAACCTGGATAATCCGTGACATGATCTGTCCAAATTTATCTGATTGATCGCTCATCTAAATTGGAAATCACGATTAAAAATAAAAACAATTATTAATCTTTTAATAGTTATTATTATTCATGAAAAAATATTACTTATTAGAGATTTTGTTCTCATTTAATTGCATCGATGAGAACGGAAGTTGTCAACTGACGCTGAGTGGCAGCTGTTATCAGAGCAGTGCAGACTGACAGATCTCTTCTGACTTATTGGAAATTTTAATTTCGATATGCCTAGGAAGCAAACCTTGGTGGCTAGGCGTGATCTTCCAATATTTATTAAACAAGAACCTGCGGACTGTGGCTCAATTACAAATCAATTATTAAATTTACCGAGTATTTATCCACGGCCTACTCCTGGAGCACAGGGAGGTGCAACAACAAAGACTCAGACTGAGTCGGACTTTTCATATTCCACCACTGATATCAAACATGAATTTGAGCAGTCTACGCCGCATGATGCTAGTTTTTCAGGATATGAGTTAATTCAGGAGCTGGAAAAGCCGCAGGTTGTTTTTCTAAAGATTGATTTTACTTTCTTCTATTGTATTGTTCAGTGTTACTTTTGACCCCGCCCACTTTTTCTTCTTAAAGAGCTACATACTAGATCTAGATCTACATAGTACATAGTCTAGATTTCTTGATCTAGTTATTAATATTATTAATTCAGACTAACAATTCACTTGACTTAAGTAAAGTGGATAGGCAAACATTGTTCCTTTTTACTTTTAATCCCATGCTCAATACAGAAATAAAGTAAAAATATAGAATATAGACAGGCCTATCCAGATTAAATTGGATTCTTAATCAATGCAATGTCCAGTGACTTTCTCTTAGTCTCTGTGTTAAAGTTTTAGGGGTGTGGAAAGCCTAGTGAAAATGCTCATGGCTCAATCAGATGAAATTAATAATTTAATTGCATTGGGTAACTTTAAAAATCTCTTACATGGCCAACTTCTATTGAGGACTATTAACTATTAGTATTAGCCTACTAAAATACTATCTATAGGCCCTAGGTAAGCTAAAATGCTTGAACTTGAATCATTGTGAATGTTATTTTTGTGTAGTCCTTAGATCTAAATGAGACTAAATGCTACAGATTTTCACGTCCCTTTACCTGCCTTTGCATTCATGACAGCACAATATTATTGATAGCACTTCATATTATAGAGTAGGTACTAGGATAAATTTTGAAAATTGGTTTAATAGGGAAACAACCACTACAGTTAAAAGAAGCAAAAAATTACAATAACAGAACAGTTTTCCTTTTTGATGTAGCTCAAACGGTTAAATAGTTATGATTTTTTTTCGTATTAAAAAAGGTGATTTTTTTAACATAGGTTTTTTCCCAATTTCTGTGATAGAGTTTTTTTAAGCGTTTACTAAAATTGTCCTAGCTTGTAAACCATATGGTCAAATTGGTTATAACTTTGCAATATCTTTATCTATCATATATGCAAGGATAATAAACAATAAAATTAGAAATTTATGGGCAGAGTTAACCAAAAACAGAAGTAGAACAGGGTACCCCCCCTATTTTTTCATATACAGTGCATTCATAAAATCTCAGTTAAAATTTTAACACTTTGAAAAATTAAGCTCAAACTTGCTGAGAATGATGAGCTATGGATGTGTCAGTTATTACAATCAAAATAATATTCATAACTGAAAAGATTTTGTTTTAACTGCTACAAAGCTGATAAATTATACAATTTCGCAAAACCGAAGTCTTGTTGATGTGAAATGCAACATGATGGCAAATTTGAGTTATTAATCACTTAAGTCTCAAAATTTGCCTGGCTCTAGATGACTCTATTCTCAAACAGAAACAATCAAAATATGTATTTAAATCTATCTGTTTGGCAAAAAATAAGGGGTGGAACAGGGTACACCCCCTATTTTTAAATATGAAATTTGTTCATACACTATTTGTTTACGCTCAATCTATTTGAATCTAAAGCTAACAACTAACTAGAGTGAAGCTCTAAAATAAGTGTGTGTGTGATGGTTCTATCTAAATAGTTGACAAATAGGTAAAGGATGGTAAAAATGTAAAATGCTGAGTCATCGACACACCTGACATCATTGAAAAACTGAGCGCATATATTTAAATTTAAAAAAAAAAGGCAAATTATATCTATTAGAAATGTAAGGTGTTTTATTCGTATAAATGTAATAAACTTGTTGGAATACTTATATATATAGTTTAATTTAAAAAGATGTGTTTCTGCTTATTCGTTAATATATTACATTTCAGGAGAAGTTCAACATTGGTTGGTTTTTAAAGGAAATAGTTCATATCACAAATTAATTAGTTTGCCTAAATAAAAGATAAACACATTATTTATTTTAATAGTTTTAATTTCTCGTTTACATAGTGTTCCATCATTAGACCATATAACTGACATTAGGCCATATAACTGCTTATCATATTGTAGAGATGTGCTGGTTTTAGAAGTGTAGGTTCTACCTGGAAAAGTAAACAGTACAAGTACATTATTTGCCTTCCCATCAAAATAAAAAGGTTTTCTGAATACACCAAATATTTAATGTGTATTGTTAATACCAGACCTTCCTTTCTCCCCCCCCCCCCCCCCCTTCACTACCGTCAATATCAAAACAACGCTCGCCACTATCGCCGGCGTCAAAACAACGATCGTCGGCGTCAAAACAACGTTCGCCACTATCACCGGCGTCAAAACAACGTTCGCCACTATCAAAACAACGCTCGCCACTATCAAAACAACGCTCGCCACTATCGCCGGCATCAAAACAACGTTCGCCACTATCAAAACAACGCTCGTCGGCGTCAAAACAACGCTCGCCACTATCGCCGGCATCAAAACAACGCTCGCCACTATCAAAACAACGCTCGTCGGCGTCAAAACAACGTTCGCCACTATCGCCGGCGTCAAAACAACGATCGCCGGCATCAAAACAACGCTCGCCACTATCGCCGGCATCAAAACAACGCTCGCCACTATCAAAACAACGCTCGCCGGCATCAAAACAACGCTAGCCACTATCGCCGGCGTCAAAACTACGTTCGTCGGCGTCAAAACAACGCTAGCCACTATCGCCGGCGTCAAAACAAAGCTCGACATAATCGCCAGCATCAACACAGCGCTCGCCAATATCGCCTGCGTAAAACAGCGTTTCCCACTATCGCCAGAGTCAAAACAACGATCGCTATTGTCAAAACATCGCCCGCCACCAACGCCCGAGTCAAAAATGCCTTCGGTACTATCACCAGTGTCAAAACAGCGTTCGCCGTAAGCGCCAGAGTCAAAACAGTATTCGCCACTAACGCCCGAATAAAAAAGGCGTTCGCTACTTTTGCCGGCGTCAAAACAGCGTTCGCCATTATCGCCCGAGTCAAAACAGCGTTTGTCACTATTGCCCGAATCAAAACAGCGTTCGCCACTATCGCCGGAACCAAAACAGCGTTCGCCACTATCGCCGGAACCAAAACAGCGTTCGCCACTATCGCCCGAGTCAAAACAACGATCGCCACAATCGTAATTACAGTAATACAAGCATATCAGCTAGACTAAGTCACACAAGTGTTAGTAGCGAGACCCGACAACTTCCGGTTCACTTTCACTTCCAGTCTGTAAACAGTTAAAGTCCCAAACAGTACACCAAACTGTGAAGCGTTTTGCAGCTAAGAGACACATCCAATCATTACGATTTTTTACAGTAATAGAGAAAAATGGATAATAATGGAGATTATGCAATAAAATTTCAAGTAGAGCCCATAGAGAAGTTTAGGGAATAAGTCAAACTTACCTTATTTTCAATGAAACACTCCATAAAAAATAGTCCATGAAAATATTTTTAAAAAATATATAATACGCTAAGTCCATTTTTCTTCAAAATAATACTCCTCGCAATAAAATTGACCAGGCAAAAACGGAGAATAATAAAAATTACGAAACACTCGCACTCGCGCGTCCGCCAACTCCCGATATTTGGGTAACGGGAGGAAAATCTCGCCGCGCATCGTAAAACGGGAGCCAAATCCTAGTACCTATTATAGAGGTTCAATGTGCATATTTTAGCCATACTGTTTTTCTTTATGAAGTCTAAAAAATTGGGTGCCAGTGTAGGAGATACTTATTGGTCTACAAGCTAGGTTGCATTATTGTATCTTATGTCTGTAATTAAAGTTGTTCACATCCCATCTGTTTTTGCTCTTTCGCAGACAATTGCTTTATATAGCTAAGGGTATTTGTGCTAGCTATCCAAAATTATATATGTCTAGGCCTAACTGGTATAGCAGATACTTCAACCCAAAACATAGCATTTATCCTGAAGGTTACTGTAGCTATTCCGAGATTATTCCTAGTGTAGTTTGTACATTGTGTTGTACCACTTGGTTCCATTAGAGACTAACCTTTCTTGACACACCTGACTCTTAGATGTCACCTTAATTTTTCACCTATTACAATCTCTTTTAACATCTGAAAATTGGTTTGGGTTTAAATTTTTTGTATGCGTCCCATATGTTGTAGCCAGTTTTGTACTAAGCCTAGTTTTGAAGATTTCCCAGATTAGTTATATTATGTATGCAACGAATTTTAAAAAATATAAATCTTAGAAAGCATTCCAAATCAGAATGGATAAAGCAATACACTGGGGAAAAATAATTGCAGAACCGATCTATTAATACTTTTCAAAAGGTCTAATTTAATTAATAAGTTTAACAGCATTGCTTTAAAGTTAAAGCCAAGCACAATTGTTATAAATTCACTGTGATAACAGAATCAATTGTGTTGTGTTCACTACCCTCGAACACTGTAGTAAAAAAAACAAAAGTGTTGGCTGAAGGTTCTCTCCATCCCAGATTTACTTGTTCTTCTGTCTCTTTCATTGCTTTGTTTCAAAATAGTAAAAAAATAACCAGACACAATCTCATGCAAATGTTATGACATATATATAATCATGAAGTCTTTTCTTTATTTCTTTACACACATACACCCACACACCCCTAAAACATGTCTTCTCAGAAATGTCTTTAACATTTTGCAATACTTTCTGTTATTATAACCTATTTAAAATAATTAGTTTCCACTTGCTCCAAAACTCCCAATTATCTGACTCTAATTAATGCAATTATTGACAATGGTTATTTGAAGTGCACAGTAAGTCTTATTAGGATTAATTGCACATTTCATTACTGAAAGCAATTAGGGGCCTACATGCAGCATGTTTTTTATTATAGCCCTTTATTTTGTATAAAATAAACTATTCAAGAAAAATTATGTACACACTTGTTCATGGTCCAGGATACAAATTCCAAACTAAGGATTATATTTCATTCTTCAACATGGAAAAATTGCATATCTTTACTCTTTATTCACAAATCATGTAGTGTGACAAAGCTCATGTGTCGGTAATGGTAATAATAATTTTGAAATAATACAGTCCATGAATTGAAAAACTATCAAGTTTGTCTACTAGTGTTGGTACGGCTTTAACACATTTTAAAAATTGGTTTAATATTATTTCAGGTGAAGCGAAGGCTTGAATTGGATAACGAAACCACAGTGGAAGGATTTAAAACGCCCAAGCCCTGTAAGAGAAGGAAAAGTTTAGCAGAGTCCCCTAGAGGTATTTATGGCTGTTCTTTTTCTTTTGGACAGTTAAGATTAGCTTGACTCCATGTTTATTTGTTAAGTTATAAGGTGTTTCTTCAAGACTAAATTATTTCAAGACTAAATTATAAATTTTAACTATCCTCACCAACTGTCCTAGTTTTTGTGTTCTTATCTTTTGAGTGCTGCTACTTGTCTTGCTATCAGTTATCCTGTTAAAGCTTGTACCTAACTTGTTATGAGGTTATCAATGATGAATTTTATCACAGGTGCGAGGTCACCCTTAGAAAAGACTCGTTATGACACCTCTCTGGGGTTATTAACAAAAAAATTTGTTGGATTGTTACGGAGTGCACCAGATGGGGTATGTCTGTTTTTTTAATAGTCAACCATACATGTTAATTCAGTGCACATTCCCAAAATAGTTTCGTTTGTTGTTACATAATTAGACCCTAAAACAAATACTTAAGTAAGATTCAATTAGTAATTTTGTGTTTTTTTTTTTATAACTGATAGGTTTTTTTTTCTGTTATGTAATGAAATACTGTTTATTGGACAAATTTTGTTCTTCTACATTGTAACTGTAACAAATATGTGAATGCTGTTGCTTTCTAACTAGTTGATCAGATTCCCCGCCTTATTTTCAGGACTACTCTGTTTAGTTGTGACTGAAATGTATCTGTTAATTAACAATCTGCTTTAAAAAAAATTCTTAATAAACCCTTGTCATATGCTTCTAACCAGGTAGAATTTCCTATTACTTTCAATGATTTCTGTTTTAAAACTATTTTATTTCTATCAGGTTGTAGATTTAAATAAAGCTTCAGAAGTCCTTGAGGTGCAAAAGCGAAGAATTTATGACATTACAAATGTTTTAGAGGGTATCAACCTTATACAGAAGAAATCAAAGAATAACATACAATGGAGGTAATTAGTATGCCTTTTTGCTCTGTATATTTCTGTAATAACTGTACATTATGTGGTGTGATGTAGATATTTCTTAAAAATGGTAAAGACCATCATTGTTTGTGTGTAGGGGCTCAGCCAACACCTTCACGTCGTCAGGGGAACCTTCTATACCCCAAGTCACACAGATCAGCACAGCCAGTGTGGACTTGCATTCAGGTAAAGCTCACCCCCATGCTTTTTATTTGTATATTTTCTCTGCAAATGTGGCTCTGAAATAATTTATTTTCTCTTTTTGTTTTAGATATGGCAGATTTACGAACGAAAGAAAATGTTCTTGATAAATTAATCGCCAACACAACTAGACAGCTGAGGAATATGACAGAGGACTCTGAAAATGCTAGATATCCTTTATTTGGTTGACTTGACACTTTTTTTTTCCCAAGTTGTTTGGGTCCTATCAATACCCACGTATTCATACTTCTGGTGCCACTATGAACTTCTTTTCATTAAAGCTTTGTAGTTGCAAATTATTGGTAAAGGACCTGTTTATATTATGGACCTTTTTGTATACAAGGATGACCTCTCATGCACTTTTTCCTTAACCATGATTACATTGGCATATGTAACGTATCAGGACATACGCAGCCTTAATTCTTTGAGGGAACAAACTGTTATAGCAATCAAAGCACCTCCTGAGACAAGATTGGAAGTACCAGATCCTGAAAACGTAAGTGTATTCATTAGGTTTTGTAACTTTGTCTTGATCAAAATGTAAGTGTACAGCCATTGTTTCTGTTGCTTGTCGTTTAGATCAAGTTACTGTAGGTATCTAGTGCTATAGCCGCCCAGTTTATTTTTACATCAACAGCTTGTATTTTTCTTCTTAACTTCTTGTCTTATTTCAGACCTACAGTTAGCTTTCCCCAATAAACATGTATGTTTTAAGTATTATCAGGACAAAAGTTTTATAGAAATGACTTGGAATATGACTAGAACTCTAAATTGTATCCTAAAACTGTTACTTTTGGATTGAAAAGATCAAATGTAGATTGTTTAAACCAGTGTTGGTTTTTATTGACTGAAAGGCCATCTTAACACTAGACTAAATAATTAGTGGGGGCTATATCTCTTGCATTCCTGCCATCTACATATTTAAGTGTTTATGCAGGGCATGTAGTTATCTTTCCCATCAGGGATGTTAAGTTTTAATCTTCATGAAGGAAAGTTAAATATTTGATGACTATCAGGGAGGTTAAAATTATGGGGTTACCTTTTACAAAAATGTGTGTTACGACCATACCAGTTTTTTTTTTTTTTTTAATAAGTGAAAGGAACTCTCCTTTTTTTTGTTACTACTGCATATGAAGGATAGTGTGGTCAGGACAATGCCCAGCCTTCACTTTCCCTAACATATCTACTGACTAATGACTTGAACCTGAAACCTGTCTTGATACTTTTGGTTTAGCAGTGAGCACTCCACCTCTAGGCACACACTGTCTCTTGTATTATATGTATATAATAGGCACACTGTTTGTTGTAATACATGTATATTATAGCAACACTTATTTTTTGTGTGTGTTTAGAACATTCAGATATGGCTGAAAAGTACGAGAGGTGCCATTGATGTTTTCTTGTGTCCGGATGATCTACCTGGTGATGATTCTTCTAGCACTGGATCAGACTCGACAGCCTCGGCTAATGATGGCCAAGATGAGGTAAACACTATAGTCAGGCTTTAGGTTATACGGAAATTTGCAATAGCAGTTGAAAACTTTACATCCCAGGTATAAGGGATTCTATCAGTCCCTAAAAGTATGTAGCCATCTCTTGGTGATAGGAAAAATTATGACTGGTTGAAAATTATATCAGAATAAAATAGTACATTCATAAAGCAGGAGTTGACCACTAATGTTGGACAAACAGGATTAGATGTGTAACCTGACAGTCCAATTTAGGTTCCAAATGTTATGATATAGATTACTATTCCGGCTCATCTCATTCTGCTTTAGCTTTTCTGCTGAAAAAATTGCTACATAGCATTAGCCTCAGCAAGTATAACTAGTCCTACTTACCAGTTAGTCAAAGCCAGCAACAGTATGGCACTTTAAAAATTTCTGAAATTTAAAAAGCTAATCTAAGTTTGACTGTTCCTCTTTTAAATAAACATTCTGCCTGTTCATTTGTTTGGGGTTGTAAATGTCATCAGTATGCCACTTGTATACACTGACTCTGAAGCATCTTTTGTTTATGTTCTAGGTTGATGGTGTACAGTCTAGTGATCTTGGCCATGAAAGTAATGGTGATGGGACAAGCAAACCGACCTGTTCTGGTGGTGATAAGCTGTCGGATAGATTAAATAGCATAGAATCAATCAAGCAGGAGCTTTTCTCTGAAGATTCAACATCAGCAGATGAGAGTAAGTGCACCTTCAGTTTTTAGTTCTCTTACTTTGGGGGCAATTAAATTGTGATTGAAGCTTGGTGAAGTTGGTGACTGGAAAGATGTGCAACAGAAAACTGTGACTGAATTAAGGTACACAAGGAAATATGAGAAAATATGTATTTGGATAATTAGTTGGTATTTGCGTAGTTTTCTATTAGAGCTTTTTTCGGAGAATCAGTAAAGCCGTGTCTGAATTTATTTAACAATATACCGTCACTCTACAGCAGCGTTGTTGAGGAACGAAATATCTCCTTTGTGCGGGTCATCCTTACTTCACACGACGACAGACCAAGACATGCCCTTCATGCAGATAAACCCTACATTTAGTCTAGATGAGGATTACTTGTTTGGTGTCAGTGAGAACAGTTTCAATGAACTTCTGGACGCCTATGACCTTGGTTTTTAGCAGCTATCAGTCAGTGGCGTGCTTTGGATCACAGGATGGACATTGATGTTCCACTGACACTTGTTGACTACTTACATTTTATTTTCTCACTAGCCATGATTTTTTTATTTTTGTAATTGGATGGACAGTTAAGGATTTCCTACATATTGACCCTGGCGTTTAAATTATTTTTCTGTACCATGTACCGTGCCTTAACCCTAACCTGTCTAGATAAACAGTTGCTGTGGCTGTACAGAATAACTTATTATGTATACATAATTTTTTATTTGTGGAGTTATTCGTGATGGGTGTGTGATGATTAAATTTTTGTATAATGTTGAACACATTCTGTAAACAAATTTTTAATCAAACATTTTTAATTCTTTTAGTGTTTATGTTTAGCTATAAAGATTTTTAAATTAGGCAGTCTTAGTTTATGAATTGCTCTACCAAGGAAGTGAAATTGCGTTATTTATTTGTATTGAAATTTTTATAAATTAAGAATTCCACAGCTTTTGTTTTGTTGAAGAATCTGGGTTAACTTAAATTTTCAATGCTTCAGTACTGTTAGTAAGAGACTACTAAGAGGGAATTTTTCTTCGCCAATTTTTATAAATGAAAAGCAAATTGGTTTTCAATTGTACTGTGGGCCATGTGACTTTTTGATGGCGCTTGGCCTTTTTGTTTTTTTGTAGATCAATTTTGGTTAATGCATGTTTACATTTTTATTTAAATAATGGCAGCCTGATTGACCATTCCTTAAGTGTTAACATTTAACATAAGCAGTTCAAAACATTTTAGCATAAAAAATAAGATTTATTTTCTTTTGACAAACAAAAGAAATAAACAATTTTTGCTGAGTTCATTATTTTTGTGTAGCTGTATTACAGTACATACTTGGAAGTAAATTTGACATGTGTGTCATGGGCAAGGTTTTATTAACTCATACCTTTTTGTTTTTAAACTTTCTAAAGAAATCGCAGCAAAATTTTTAGCATCATGATGTACATTTTTACTTCAGTGGGCTAATAGCTTTCATGCAAGTAATTTATAAATTATTTTGCAGTTATTTAGAATCTTAAAAGTTTTTTCTGTATAAAGTACTGCCAATTTTTTCACCATTTCTTATTTATCCCTGCACATTAGGAGATATTATTTTTCTTCTCCTTCATCTAGTTGTAAAAAAAAAGAAAAACACAATGTTTTAAACATGTTTGTGTTGCCTGGCTGTGTAGTTTCTCATTCAGTTGTTGTATACATTTGATTTTAGCTTCAGTTTTGTGTATAATTTTCATCACTGCCTAGTATTTATTATGTTCTGTCCTCACAGGTTGTACATACAGAGAATTTTTTTTTGTCTCCCTCCCACATCCGCATGTTTTAACTAGCATAAATCATTGGTCTGTGTCTAGCTCAATTAATTACGCAGCTACAAGTGGCAGTTATTGGTTCACTGTTTTATTTACATTGTATTTTTTTTTTTTAATCTCATCCACATTATTTTTGAGCTTTTTATAAAAAGTTTTTTTTTTATTGTAATGTATGTTAAACTTTGTTGCATATTAATGAGTAATGCTGAAATAGTATAAGCTAGTGTATTATTCATTTGGAGCAGCTATAATATGGCAATTTTTGCTTGCTACAACTAGATTTAGTTAATGTCTGTCTTCTCTTTATTCTGAGACTGTTAATTACCAATGTAGCTAATTGTAAAATGAGGTTTTCTATTTTAAATAACCAGCATGATAGTTTATAGGTTTTGATATTCATGATTTATAATATAGAACTGATAATTTATGTACATATTGCAAACCTGTCTCAATCTTGTGGGAGGGGAGGGGGGGGGGGGTGGAAATCTTGTTTCACTTCTCTTGTTCACATCTGTTAGATTTAGCTCTACCTTGTTGATTTAGTTAACATTTGTTAAATTTAGTTAACATCTGTTTTAGACTGAGCTCATGGCTGCGCATTTAAAAATACCTTGTTGATTTAGTTGACATTTGTTATATTTAGTTAATGTCTGTAAAATTTAGTTTGCACCTTTTAGTCTTAGCTCATAGCTCTGCATTTAAAATAACTTGTTGATTTAGTTAACATTTGTTAGATTTAGTTAGCATCTGTTAAAATGGGCTTATGGCTCTGCATTTAAATCCCTAGTTTACAAGTGATGTGTTCAAACATTGTGTTCATTTTTAAGATCAATTTATACCAAGCCTATAGTCAACCCTAATAGCTGAGATTCAACTAGCTCTATAGTATGTTATATACTGATGGCTTGTTTTTGTAGTCATTGCTTAATTTGCCTTAATTATATTGTCAGCTTTTCCCAGTTCTTACTATCTGCAATTTATAAATATATAATTTAGTAGACATGTGACCAAAAAATTATGAGAATTAAAAACTGAATTATTTATTCTTGGCTTGTAAATCAAACAGTATGGAGGCAATTGAATAAACACCAACAATTGTATATAAATACAATTAGTAGACCTTTTCTGGGGGTGTTTGATAATTTTTGTTTTTTAAATTGCTGGATACATTAATTTTTTATATGATGGATGCATCCATTTTTATCATTTCTGGATCATTTTTCTTTTTATGGAAATATAAATTTCTTTCTTTGATTTCTGGATGCATTTAGTTTGTTTTCTGCTTGGTACATCAATTTCCTCAATCACTGAGTACATTGAAAAAAAACTGCTGTTCTACCTGATTTATTTATTATCACCTCGCATTGAAGGATGTATTTAGATCTATTGTCAAACTCATTTTTATAAAGTGAATTTCTCAAACTATCTTCCTATTTTGTAATGTTGCACACGCAGTTTTATAAATTGAATTTCTCAAATTATCTTCCTATTTTGTATGATTGTTGGACAGTTTTATAAAGCCATAGTGTGACACTGGTGTACACCTCATGGCATAACCCTTAGAGATTTGTACTGTAGTTTGTTGTTGTACATACCAGTTATAATTATCATCTGCATGAACTGAGCCGGGTGTGTTGTGAAAATCAGATCTGCTATGAATGGAAGGAAGTGTGTTTAAAAGAATTATCTTGTATGGTAATCTGCTTGTGCATATCAAATTTGGTCCTGATATGATTGTTTTTATAATCTGCATAGGTTAAATTTTTTTTCTTCAACCATTAAAATAAATTTAAAAAAGCTAATGTATATTCTGCAGTATCACTGTATAATGAAATATAGTGAGTAATCAGCATGTAACTTTGTAATAGTCACATATTACTTAATGCATGCATTGGTAGTGTTAATGTAGTCATTTAGTAGTGTAGCTTCATAGTAGCATTTTGTTAAAATTGACTGCAACCTACTGGTACACTTTACTTCGCCTATTATTAGCATTTTTTTTTTCCTTGACCGCAATCTTCTGCCATTGTTGACAAATGAATTTTAAGCACCAATACTGTAGTACCTTGCCTGCATTACATGTTTGTGATATATTTTTATACCTGGGGTAGTGGCAACACGTTATTTACCTTGTGTTTGCAGGTTAATCTTTGGGAAGGGGGGTGTCACTGTTGTAACTTTGTTAATAAACTTATGTAATATAACCATGTGACTACTAATTTCTGATTTAAAAAATTACTAAATCGTGTGAAGCCAAAATGTTGAATAAAAAATGATTGATATGATCGGTGGTTTTGTTTGGTTATTAGTTGGACTCATTAGAAACAATAAGTTGAAAGGTGTGGGGGTGGTTTTATATAAAGCATTCTCTCTGCTGAAATTTATTGTTACGGTTAGTCTTTTTATTTTGTCTTCGTAGAACTTATTTACATTAGATTCATTTATACTCCTGTTGCCTGCATTGCGCCCCTTGTACGCATTCTCACTATGCCTACATGATCTGAGATAGTGGCTTCATTGCGCCATCTTGTTTGACCTTTGAATTGTACCAAGGAGTTGTCACTATATATTTATGTTGTAAAAAAGCGTGTGACTAATTGCCATCTTTGAACCACAATTATCTTCTGGGGACTGGGCCATTAACTTGGGAGCTACCGGTCGCAACAACAGTGCAGCTATCGTAAGCCAGGCTCGTTTGAGCTATGTTCAACGTTGAGAGGCCTTGTGTATAGTTAAGTGGGATTTCCCGAGTCAATCAACATATAAGTAGCGGGGGGGGGGAAGGAAGCTGTAATATTTGGCTTTAGAACTTGCATATACATTTTTACAATACAGAACCCCTATCCTTTAGGGCCCATCAAAGCAGTAATATTTCGCCTACTCCAGTGGCGTCACTAGGTAGGGTGTCACCCCATCCCTATCCAACAATTTTGCGTTTCCGGTTTGATGTAAGCCCTGCACACTCCGGTTTTATTATTTTGAACTAGACAGAATATTATAATGACGATTTTTCCACTTATGTTGTCTACACCCCCCCCCTCCCCTTCTAAATCTTACCCCGACCCGGTGCATACCGTGCTCCCCGCCTTGTAACGCAACTGCCTACTAGCACCAGCGATTAAAATATCCAACTAGCGCCTTGGCTACTTCACAGGCCTATTGTTTACTTCAAAACTGGCAGTAGACCCTAGATCTAATCCCTTTAAAAAATATGCACACACATAATCGAAATTAAAAACATTGCTACATTCTATACCGGCAATAATACCATTCTAATTCTATACCGGCAATATAATACCATTCTAATTCTATACCGGCAATATAATGAGATTCCTTTAACGCAGCAAATAGCCTCTTGTGTCTCTAACGGCACACTGCCTACTTCAACTTCAAGAGAACTGCCTTTCATAAAAGAAATAGGCCTACCGTGGTTCGTATTGTCGCAACAGTTCTCACATTGTCGGCCATACAAACAAACCATACTAAAAATTACTTAATCTTGTCAATGTTTCCAAATCTGCAAATAATCTGTAATTAAGCAATAAATGTTCGAATCTAGATTCTAGTTCTATTTTGAGGTATTTTCATGTCGTAGAGTTGGATAAAGCCATAAAGTTACAACGTAAAGTAAGATTAAGGCCATGGAGGTAAGCCAACATTGAACAGGTGTATTACTATTTTATCTATTATAGATCTAATTTCTTAGCATATTTTTGTAAAAGAAGTTTTATCGTTTTAGGTGGGAACAGACTTAATTGAATGTTTTGATTAGAAAGAAGAAAATAAGACTGTTTTGGAACTCCGAGGCATGACTGTATAGATCTACTGTATAACAGTTAAAACAAGATAATAGATTAGCAATCGTTAGAAAAAGTGCTGGGAATCACTGCATCACGGTATTCGCTTTTAACGACCCAACCAATAATCGATAGCCTGTGCAATTATTATGTAATATGTACTGCATTTTTCTAATAGAATTCAGGTAATAGTCGTAAAGATTCATTTTCAGCTTTTCATTACCCTAAAATAACCTTTTGTATAAACAATAACAAAAATAAATAGTATGTCTATTTAAGTTTTATTTAATAAATGCAATATCCTTAGTGTTAAAACAGTGTCAACCCGCAACTCGGTATCGATTTTGTTTGTTTACTAGTTACTGTCAATAAAAAATGAGTTGGGTGCTACGGATATTTCGCGATTCTCATTAAAATTCATTGGTGTGAAAGGCATGATTATAATCATACTATTATTCTAGATTGCTTGCCTTACTATCTGGTTGCTTGGTAAGTGTTTTCAGTTACATTTTTTTTAAACACAGCATAGCTAAATCTATAGAAAGGTCTACTATACTATTACTGTATTAATATAATATTACTATCACTTATTATATAATTATAATAATATTATTATTATTAAAATTAGGCCTATACTAACTATACTTAACTATACTATCAAATTATCAATCATAATTCATTTTTATTGTATTACGTATTTCTTAGCTTAGTATTAGTATTACTAAAGCATTCTAGCATGTACATGATCTATTAATATCAATGGCGTCGCTAGAAAGAAAAAAAAGAATATACATTTGATTACAATTTTAAGAGGGTTTATTGGTGTTATATTAAATTCATGATTCATGCAATCTCCATCATCACCATGAATACAGCTTTTGGTGGCCCTGCTATAGATCAGGTTTCTTTCAATCATTATGTTCTGTGAGTGACTGACCACACCATCCATTATATGCGAACAGGAAAAAATGAACTCTCATCTTACCTATTAATCTTCATTTATGAAAGGTAATTTTTTTTAATACTCTGTAGATTCCAGGAGGTGCACTGAAACTACAGAACATTTGTCAAAATATGCAAGGCAACAGTCAATCATAAACATTTGAATAATTAAAGTATGTGAAGACAGGTCTTGGATACAGTTTGAGGACATCAGTAGTACGATACAAGTGCAAGGTTCTACAATGGCATCTGCCTACCTGGGTCCAGAAAGGCACCCTCCACTTTCTGTAATTTCAGAAAGTTTTCAGACAAAGCTCAACATACCAACTCTACTGCCTGAGGATATGCTCAGCTTTGGGGTTGAGTACGAGAAGACTTTTTACTCACTTGTGGATGAATACCTTCAACTTGGGACCACTGACAAACTGGTATGATCAAAGTACAGTAAATTGTTTGGTGTAAAAGTGGTACTACTGACAAACTGGTAAGATCAAAGTACAGTAAATTGTTTGGTGTAAAGTGGTACTACTGACAAACTGGTAAGATCAAAGTACAGTAAATTGTTTAGTGTAAAAGTGGTACTACTGACAAACTGGTAAGATCAAAGTACAGTAAATTGCTTGGTGTAAAAGTGGTACTACTTACAAACTGGTAAGATCAAAGTACAGTAAATTGTTTGGTGTAAAAGTGGTACAACTTACAAACTGGTAAGATCAAAGTACAGTAAATTGTTTGGTGTAAAAGTGGTACTACTTACAAACTGGTAAGATCAAAGTACAGTAAATTGTTTGGTGTAAAAGTGGTACTACTTACAAACTGGTAAGATCAAAGTACAGTAAATTGTGTTGTATAAAAGTGGTACTACTTACAAACTGGTAAGATCAAAGTACAGTAAATTGTTTGGTGTAAAAGTGGTACTACTTACAAACTGGTAAGATCAAAGTACAGTAAATTGTGTTGTATAAAAGTGGTACTATTTACAAACTGGTAAGATCAAAGTACAGTAAATTGTTTGGTGTAAAAGTGGTACTACTTAACAACTGGTAAGATCAAAGTACAGTAAATTGTTTGGTGTAAAAGTGGTACTACTTACAAACTGGTAAGATCAAAGTACAGTAAATTGTTTGGTGTAAAAGTGGTACTACTGACAAACTGGTAAGATCAAAGTACAGTAAATTTTTTGGTGTAAAAGTGGTACTACTTACAAACTGGTAAGATCAAAGTACAGTAAATTTTTTGGTGTAAAAGTGGTACTACTGACAAACTGGTAAGATCAAAGTACAGTAAATTGTGTTTTGTTAAAGTGGTACTACTTACAAACTGGTAAGATCAAAATACAGTAAATTGTTTGGTGTAAAAGTGGTACTACTGACAAACTGGTAAAATCAAAGTACAGTAAATTGTTTGGTGTTAAAGTGGTACTACTGGCAAACTGGTAAGATCAAATTACAGTAAATTGTGTTGTGTAAAAGTGGTACTACTTACAAACTGGTAAGATCAAAATACAGTAAATTGTTTGGTGTAAAAGTGGTACTACTTACAAACTGGTAAGATCAAAGTACAGTAAATTGTGTTGTATAAAAGTGGTACTACTTACAAACTGGTAAGATCAAAGTACAGTAAATTGTTTGGTGTAAAAGTGGTACTACTTACAAACTGGTAAGATCAAAGTACAGTAAATTGTGTTGTATAAAAGTGGTACTATTTACAAACTGGTAAGATCAAAGTACAGTAAATTGTTTGGTGTAAAAGTGGTACTACTTAACAACTGGTAAGATCAAAGTACAGTAAATTGTTTGGTGTAAAAGTGGTACTACTTACAAACTGGTAAGATCAAAGTACAGTAAATTGTTTGGTGTAAAAGTGGTACTACTGACAAACTGGTAAGATCAAAGTACAGTAAATTTTTTGGTGTAAAAGTGGTACTACTTACAAACTGGTAAGATCAAAGTACAGTAAATTTTTTGGTGTAAAAGTGGTACTACTGACAAACTGGTAAGATCAAAGTACAGTAAATTGTGTTTTGTTAAAGTGGTACTACTTACAAACTGGTAAGATCAAAATACAGTAAATTGTTTGGTGTAAAAGTGGTACTACTGACAAACTGGTAAAATCAAAGTACAGTAAATTGTTTGGTGTAAAAGTGGTACTACTGGCAAACTGGTAAGATCAAATTACAGTAAATTGTGTTGTGTAAAAGTGGTACTACTTACAAACTGGTAAGATCAAAATACAGTAAATTGTTTGGTGTAAAAGTGGTACTACTGACAAACTGGTAAAATCAAAGTACAGTAAATTGTTTGGTGTAAAAGTGGTACTACTGACAAACTGGTAAAATCAAAGTACAGTAAATTGTTTGGTGTAAAAGTGGTACTACTGGCAAACTGGTAAGATCAAATTACAGTAAATTGTTTGGTGTAAAAGTGGTACTACTTACAAACTGGTAAGATCAAAGTAGGGTGAACTGTTTGGTGTAAAAGTGATTTTAAATTTTACTTGTCTGTTTCCCTGTTTATGTTGTTTACAGTGTTTCTTCCAGACTTTTTTTCTTGGGGGGGTGGGGGGGGGGCACTTGATATTTTCAGGGGAGGGGGGCAAATTTTTTTTGGGGGGGGGGGGGGAGAAACTGATAAAAGTATATATTTTCTATATAAATTCCATTTCATTTGGGGGAGGGTTAGACTCTGCCTCTCCCCCCCCCCCCCCCCCCGAAGAGATCCCTGGAAGAAACTCTGGTTGTTTAGGCTTACAGAAATAAAAATCTTCTTTGAAATTTGTTTTTGAAGATCTACATTGGAGATACAAGAGGAAGTATTGCCCAGATCATTGAGGAAAAGTTCTGCTTGATTCAGCCTGTCCAAACTGTAGTACCTGGCCACTTTCATTATGTTGAAACAGAGGATGGATACAAGGTTCTGCCTATTAGGATATCTCATGTTGGGGCAGAAGAGTTTTTTCGGTATTCTAATCATCTAAACAAAAAACTACTAAACTATCCTTAACATGATGTCATAGTTAAGTCATTATAATGCTTTTACCATCAATCATCTCTTCTGTCGAATAATTTTATTAATAGGTTAACTTAATGGGAATGTTTGGACATATACTAAAAGTTGCTAGTAAGTGAAATACTTTTAAAACTGCCTTAGTCAACTAATGTCCAGAAAACAGCCTGGAGATAAGAGAGTGAGAAAGAAAGTACCTAGAAAGTTCCAGTTACTTAAAGAGCATTAGCTGTATTAAAATGCTTAATGAAGTTGTGTCTACTCAAAGTCTACTCTTGAATAGATCTTAGTCTTATGCATTAGTCTCAAGCTGTTAAATCAGTTCAAATATTTGAGGGAAATAGCCATATAATAAAGCTTGTATCATAGAATATTTATATTTTAAATAATGCTGGAAATCACCCAGAAAAAATACAAAAATTAAAATATGTAATTAAACAAATTATTGTACCATATCTTTCAATTAATAATCTGTCACTGCTGTAATAGATTTGAGATTTTGAAATAACTTTTAAAGAATTTGGGTACTTAAGATAACATTGTATAAATAATTTCAGTTTACAATGCTATTTCAATTTTCAAATATTGAAGCTAGATAAACTGTAGCATTTTAAGTTATAGTATTAATATCATTTAAAATAAAGCAAATTACATGTATATTTTTTTACCAGGAATTTAACAGAGACCCAGTCAACAGAAAAATTTGACAGAATTTTGTTGAATGACTGTGTGAGATATCTGGAGGAGCCTCGCACAATGTACCAAAATATGCTCAAGTGTCTCACACCTAATGGAAGAATACTGCTAATCCATCGTCCAGCCGAGCTGACCACGTTACCTTACTTCACTGATGCCAAACATAGGTATCACTGTTTATATTTCACAGTGTCTTGTTATAGTTACACCAAATAGTGTGATCCATATTATTCCATACAGTACCAATCTAGATAACAAAAATATTTGATGCACCTTGTCATACATGTGTAGTTAAAGATCTGCTGCAACAGTATAGAGTTTACCTGTTTCTCTGACCTCTGCTTATAAAGAGACAGTGTTGTCAGCTCTATGACCAGCCACCTTTAATTTACCCATCAGTATCTGAGCATTACTGTTTGACCACACCATTATATAAGCCTGATATGTCATGACAATAAAGTTACTGACTGTCTCATTACAGTAATTTTCAGTGCAACTTCAGTTTGGTTCTCATGCTTACATGCTATTTAAAAGGATGATGTGGTCAAATGGTAGAGCATGACTACTAACCCCTCCAGCTAAGTTGAATTGGACTTCTCACAATCCACCCATCTCTGATAGGTATCTGACTTGAACCTGCTTAGTAAAAAAATGGTTGGCAGTGTTTCTTCCAGACTTTTTTTCTCCAGTGGGGCACTTGATATTTTGGGAGGGGGGGGGGGAGAGGAGGGGAGCGACTAAATTTACATGGGGCGGACACTATTGAAAATATATGTTTTCTATATAAATTCCATTTTGCACTGGGAGGGGGGGGAGACTTCTTTCTTTGGCACCCCCTACCTCCTGAAGAGATGCCTGGAAGAAATACTGATGGTTGGACATGGTGCTGACCACATAATCCTTTCACATTGAAATACAGTTTTGCTTTAAATGAAAGGGTTCTTGACTCACACTTGATCAAATTTTCCCCTGAAACTGTACAAATCTTTTGTTTTCAAGCTAGTTGAAAATGAATTGTCCTACACACTAGATCACATTTTCCCCTTAAACTGTACAAATCTTTTGTTCCCAGGCTGGTTCAAAAATGAATTGTCCTACACACTAGATCACATTTTCCCCTTAAACTGTACAAATCTTTTGTTCCCAGGCTGGTTCAAAAATGAATTGTCCTACACACTAGATCACATTTTCCCCTTAAACTGTACAAACCTTTTGTTCCCAAGCTAGTTGAAAATGAATTGTCCTACACATTTGATCACATTTTCCCCTGAAACTGTACAAAGGTTTTGTTCCCAAGCTAGTTGAAAATGAATTGTCCTACACATTTGATCACATTTTCCCCTGAAACTGTACAAATCTTTTGTTCCCAAGCTAGTTTAAAATGAATTGTCCTACACACTTGATCACATTTTCCCCTGAAACTGTACAAACATTTTGTTCCCAAGCTAGTTGAAAATGAATTTTCCTACACACTTGATCACATTTTCCCCTGAAACTGTACAAACCTTTTGTTCCCAGACTGGTTGAAAATGAGTTGTCCTACACTGAGATTATCAAAGACTTACAAGATTGCAGGCTAGATGTGGCATGGCAGCTGGAATGTCTGCCCATCCAGATGAAAAAGAAAAGATGGCTGGGCATGCTGAGAGAGAAATACCCCACTCAGATGGAAGTGCTCAGCCAGAATGAGGTGGTGTCTGGTATAAGGGAGTTAACCGAGGGATCTATGAAATATCAAGGCTGTATGGTTAGTGCACATTAGTAACATTGACTTGAATGACGAAGGTCTAAGCTGTTTTAGCCACGCCCACAAATTTTTAAAAGGCCATATCTTAGCCCCTAATGAAGCTAGAGACACAAAATTGGTATCCATGTGTAGGGAAAAAAATCCTGCTTTTTTTTTTTAGTGGAGTTTAAAAATTACGAGCAACAGCCTAAAATTAGTTTTCCTTAAAATACTCATCTAAGTTTTTTATGTTTAATTAAGAAATACATGTCACTGTCTTGTAAGGTTAGGGGTCATCCATGAATTATGTCATGCTTAAAAATATTTTTTTTTTTTTTACTTCTGCTCTCCTCATCATTACACATTGTCACATAAAAAATTATGTGGTCTTACCCCAGAGGTGCAATTTTTTTTCTTTCTAAATATTTACCGAGCTCTTTCAAAATTAAGTATAATGATCAAACTTTGTTTACATCACAAAATTATTGTTTAATTGAAAAATAGTTTTTATTATTACTTTTAAAATCCACAAGGGTGTCATCACACTTTCTAAACCTACCCTATCCCCATATCATCACAAAAATCACACCCCCCTGTCTCACTATGAGCGTGATCTTTTTTATGGATGACCTGTTAGTTGCAACAATAAGATTAATCCTCTAGTGATCTGTTGGGCTGATGAAGTAGAGTTAATATGTTTCTTGACCTCAGGCTATGAAGGGCTCTCGACTTCAGCCTATGAAGGGAAGGTGCGGTCAGCACTTTGTCCACCCACTTTTACTTTCTCAAACATGAGTTAGGTATTAATTAGAGCTGGGTGGACTCAGGGAAATTCTACTGACTTTGACTCGGATTTGAACTTCGAGACTTTTGGGTTAGCAACCTAGCGCTGTACCGCTTTGGCCACGCCATCCCATAAAATGTGATGTGTCAGTGTGTAAACATTTAATGTTTAGCAACTTAAAAACTTTTTGTAACATAAAGATCTTTGCCTACCACTTTTTAAACATTTTAAAATCAAGTAAAAACTTAGTCTAATAGGATTATATCATGTTTTTCATTTTTTATTTTGCTAATTCGTTACCTGTATTATATTGACATCTTTTTTCTAAAACTGCAACAACAGAATTCCTCAATGTTACCTGATGGAACTATCTCAAATTTTTCAGGTGGAGTTCAATGACAGATTGCTCTTTATCACAGCCACACCCTGCCAACAACAAGCCACCGTCCCCAGCCTCCATAGAAAAGGCGCAGACCAGGTGTGTGTCCCCCAAGAGACGTGCCTCAAGTTCACCATGAAAGTTTCCCCTAAACAGCTCACTGAGCTGACAGAAGATGTATGCTGTCATGATGAATGATGTGTATAAAAATACATGTTCTCGCACATCAATATTTTGCGTAAACTTACATACATACAGTAAACTTACATACGCACATCAATATTTTGCGTAAACTTACATACAGTAAACTTACATACGCACATCAATATTTTGCGTAAACTTACATATGCACATCAATATTTTGCGTAAACTTACATACAGTAAACTTACATACGCACATCAATATTTTGCGTAAACTTACATACAGTAAACTTACATACGCACATCAATATTTTGCGTAAACTTACATACAGTAAACTTACATACGCACATCAATATTTTGCGTAAACTTACATACAGTAAACTTACATACGCACATCAATATTTTGCGTAAACTTACATACAGTAAACTTACATACGCACATCAATATTTTGCGTAAACTTACATACAGTAAACTTACATACGCACATCAATATTTTGCGTAAACGTACATAATGGTAACACTGGCTTTAATCTTCCTATACGAGTGATGGCTTTCATTAAAGGCTGTGGTTGATCTGAGGAAGCACATTCACAGGGTACACAAAATAAATGTACATTTAATTATCACAAATGTGATGTTGCATTATTGTTTCTAATTATTATTAAATTATTTGTGTGTGTGAGAGGTGTGAGGGTGGGGGATATTTGAACCCACCCTGTACTTCCCTCACTGTTTTCGCTCCCTATCCATTGTCTCACACATCATCAAAAAAAAGTCAGACCCCCCTCCCCCAGCTAACTTAGTAGCTACGAGCAGGCCTGCGGCGTAGCATACGCCGCTATTTAGTTGTCACTGCTGTCACTGAAAATATTTGCTTTATAACACTATCAGTTAGTCGTTAAGGACGATAACCCCCCTCCTCCTCCCCCCCCGTGAAAGCAGCCTCCTCTTAGCTACCTCCCCTAAGTTTAAAATCGTTTCAAACTAAATTATCTGCCACTAATAGCCGTCACTAAACATGGCTCTACGAATGTAAACATTTAGCGTGAGCTACAGCTCACCAGACTTCCTAGAGAGGTAGAGAGGGGACTGCAAGGCGCGCTTACAGCTTGTTTTCTAACGTCTCCCAGAAGAGAATTATATATATAGATTTTAAACCCCACATTCCATCATGACTACAATTAAAAAGAAAATTTTAATTTGTCTCCCTTTTTGTGTTAGAAGTAAAGGTGTAAATGGTACTTTTTTTAAATTGCCTCAGACATGTAATTTTACAGTGTCAGTTTGCCTTACACTACACACTTTCATATTTTGTAAACCCTCTCCTTCCTAACCCCTCCCAATGTAGCTCATCACCACAGAAGTCATGGTAATGATAAACTTAGGGTGGATTGTTGCAGTGTGATGAAAAAGTCATGGTGGCTTGGTGCAAGTGTAGAGAAAAATATTGAGAGAAGAAAAGCTTTTGTAAATATTTGGATGGATACATAAATACATTTTGTATTAATCCATTGGGATCATTAGAACTAGTTTATTGGCAGCTGGTCTTCGCAGGTGCAACTTGGGTGTAACGCAGGGGTCGGCAACCTGCGGCTCGCGAGCCGCATGCGGCTCTTTTGATATCAAGATGGGGCTCTCCAGTTCCTTGAACAAATACTAATAATCTTAATAAAAAATAAAAAATATTTGAAATAAAAAAACATGTTAGTGGCTCTTTAAAACCAGGGACATTTTGAAAATTGTAAATTTTGGCTCTTTCGCCTCAAAAGGTTGCCGACTCCTAGTGTAACGAAAATTAAGTGTTAGTTAAAGGGTGGATTTTTTTTAGAAAGCAGATAAACCAATAGCTGCATATTTTTTACTAAATTTATATTGATGTATCGTCTAAGTGTTATGGAGAAGACCCGCTGTTCTTGATTAAAAGAATGTTTCAAGTATATCGTGTCAGTTTGAACGTTAAGGTTTCAGGCCTAAAACAAATTATATTGAATCAGCTTTAAAAAGTAAAATAAAAATAGTTTATAAAAATGGGAAGATAATATATACGAATGAGACATTTTCTAAGTTGCTCCCCTTTTACAACTTGTAAAGTGCTTTCCCTTTAATAAGATTAATGTGAACCGATAGTCGGATGGAGATAATTCGTTGTTTTTTATCATCTAATCACTTGGTTAACTAATAATCGGGACTATTAAAATTTGTATATCTTTATTAGCGAATAGGTGCTTCTTCACAAGCCATCTTCTTCTGACATAACAATTTTACAGAATTTAAACGGTTTTGTAAATTCACCACCTACCACAATCTTACAGTAACACTATGAAGGGCATCGTTGTTTCATATACTATTATCTCTTGTTCAACTAAATAGAACATACATTCTTGCAAACTAGACCTAAATGTATGTTTTGAAATTTAAAAAAATAATACATATAAAAGGCATTCGTTGAGCTTTTTTACTTTCTCGTATATACGTAGTATAGAGAAAGTATTGTAATCGTGCAAAAAAAAAAAAATCGAGATTTTTACAAATCTCGACGTTTTACACCTCACTGATACGGAAAAACATAATTTTGCAATCTTGTCCGTATGTCTGTGTGTGTGTGTGTCTGTCTGTCTGTCTGTCTGTCCGTGTGTAAACACGATAACTTGAGTACCGTTACAGCTAGGTTGATGAAATTTCATATATAAGTATTTTATCAAAATCGTAGATCCGTATCAACTTTTGAGCGATTTCCGATAACCGGAAGTGGTACTTTTCCTACTTTGAATTTTTCAAAAGCCTATAACTTGAGTACTATTTCAGATAGATAAATGAAATTTCACATGTAAGTAAAAGATCTAATTCTCTACCTTCTGTTAAATTTTGAGTAATTTCCGTTGACTGGAAGGAGTAATTTACGCTACTTCCGATTTCTCAAAAAACTAATGTAAATTTTTAAAGTACTAATAATATTGCGCACTATTATACGCGTTTTTATTCGGCGTTTGCTTGGTGCGCAATGTTTTTTTTATGAGATTCTATTCTATTTTTAAAAGTTTAAGTATTTAAAATGGATTAAAAATCATAACTATATCCCCAGTTACCATCCCCTGTTGTTTTATATAAGAATATTCGAGAAAGTTTAGGGGAGATCACTCCCGGTTTATTATTTTCATGTTTGAAAAAATATTTAAAAAATGTAACGGTATTAAAATATTGTAGAGGAATTGTATGAATCGTCTGTAACTATTTCTACTAAAATAATGTCTGATAGAGCAAAACCATAAAAGTTCGGTTTCGCGGTTCTTATAGAACAATTGTTATGTGTTGCAGAGTTTAAATTCTTTTTTAAAAATGTAATATACAAAAAAAATGGGGCGGTAAAATCTTCTACCACGGTCACTATAAGACGGTACGTCAACCTTGTCTACTCAGCTTCCATTAGGCCTCGTCAATACTCAGTCCTTATAATTGTCTTCAAATTTACAGTCACATAACTTGCTATATCATGAAATATTTCAGTTTGTTATTGAATATTCTTATCTAGTCGGTCAAAGCTTTGCTTATTATAATGGTGTTTATACACACCATGAAAGTGTTGCTTAGTGGCAGCTATTTCATGCTAAATTATCGATCTTAGTTTTATAACAAAGTGCGGTGCTCACGCGGAGAGAAAATGCGCTCATCAGTTATTTAAATACATTATTTAATTTCCTCCAACCAGAGCGCGCGCTTAAATAATGCGCCGCGCCCTCGTGCAGTTTCCAAAGTGTCGTCTTGTTTATTAAATATTCCAAAAGTTTGTCACCTAACTACGGCACAAATAAAAAAAAATAAATTAACAACACCGCATACAAATAAACACTTCAGTAATCTAAACGGTGATGTAAAAACAAGCCAAGGAATCAGACGTCGCCACGACATTTAGTATGAACCCGTTCTGCGGGCAACGGGACCAGCTTACTGGGTCATGGCCATTGGACGAAAAACCAAAACAAAGCAGCTAGCCGGGAAGGAGGGTGTTTTTCTCAAGCTAGCTACACGTTAACCTTGAAGGCCGTGTAGTGTCCATTGTGTTGTTTCCCACTGGATTAAATTATGCTTTTGGTAAATTATTTACACGCTAACATGGCGTAGGGTTAAATAGATGTAGATATATAGTTTGGTACTTTGCTAGGTCTACATTCAGTGATAACTCCGCCAGCGGGCTAACTTGGCGGTGAGGGACGACGATAGATTTGTGGCAGGATTGCCATGCTAAGTTATGCGGCAGGTCGAGGCCAAAATCGTGTTCCTCCGTGCTGGCAAATCGTAATACGCCAGTGTGTAACGCGGTTTCCGGAATGTTTAATTGTTAATTATTATTGTGGGAAAGAACTGTGAATGTGTTGGACTAGTGTTTGGTTTTAATTGTTAAAAGTATACTTAGTCTGTAAGTTGAATAAAATAGTATAGAGTTAAAGTGTTACGTAAGGCAGAATTCCTCGTTTTCGTTTGGATACATTTTTTCAATATTTGTGATTTATTCCATGTCTCATACTTTTTCTCCATTTTTACCACTCGCCCCCGGACCAGATTTTTACACTCGGTTTTCTTAGATTTAGATTCTAGACTAGATTCGACATTAAATTTGATCGAGATACATAGATCTAGATCTAGATCTACATTAGTTAGGTCTGCATTTTAGTATTTCACTTCTACTATTTGTAACTAGATCTAGATTTACTAGTCTACTACTAAGTACTACATTTTCTGCAATGTATGTTGATATACTTATAGAATCTATGAAGTTAAGCCGATTATCATTTCATTAATATTATGTGATAGATCGCTAGATCTAGGTAGAATGTAGCTGAACTAAAATAATTAAATACAATACTAAGGGATTATGCACATATTATAGATCTATAATAATAGGCCTAGATTCTAGATCTGTCTGTAGGAAAGTCGATATTATATAATACAGGGGGAGGAGGGTGCTTGCCTGGACATTGTGTAATACAATAGTCTATTAATAACACTGACTGTTTTTTCCATTCTATTCTTTTTTGTTGTATGCCCTAAAATTTAGTAGGCCTATTTATTAACTATTTAAAATAGCCTAATTGGATGCTTATAAAAATTAGTAGGCCTATACATTGATTAGGTAGGGTAGGCTACACATTTTTAAAACAGTTTTTAATAGACCTTAGAATCTACTGCATTTTGTAAATTAACCTCTAAGTCAGTATTCTATGCTGCTGGTTATACTTGTGTCTATTTTATATAGTTTTCTACCTTAGTAGCAGTGGAAACTGATTCCTTAAATATTATAGGCCTATTATATCTAAAGGTGTGGAAATGTTAGGCCATATAATTATAATGTAGGGTATGGGTTAAAGAATGACACATTTCTTGTTTAAATGCATGATCTCACGATCTAGATTCTAGTACATATAAATAATATTAAACCTCTAGGCTATGATATAAAATCATCTTTAGATATGTTGTAGTGCCCCACCCAAAATGTTGTTTAGTGTCGTTACCCCCCCCCCCCCCCCCAAACTGAATAGAATTTCTCTAGAAAATATCACCAGAATCCCCCCTTGGAAAATTTAGACCCCCATGAGAAAAATGTCTGAAAGAAACACTGGGCTTGCAGTGTTTCTTCCAGACTTTTTTGCTCCGGGGGGGGGGGGGGGGGGTGAATACTGTTAAAACTATATCTTTTCTATATACATTCCATTTCGTTATTGCTAAGTCTGTTTAATAAGATAATTATGTTAATAATAAAGAAGCCTTACATAAGCCTACCTATCACGAACTGAAGTTTTAACGTTGCAATGCTTAGTATACACATTTCCTGTGGGGTCAGTACAGTGCCTAGTTTTCATGTATCTAATGTGGTCAGTCAAATACAGTGCAATGGTAAAGCTTTACTAATTAAAATATTAAAATAATGGTTATCTTATTGCCCTAAACAATAAAGTTTTAAACAAGGCTACCAAAACATAATATTAACAATAACATATAATAATTATTTAATTATTCATCTATTGAACATGAATCTTAACAATAGCAAGTAGGCTTGATGAGTATTTAGTGTAACTGAAAATAATCTTAACATTAGTTAGTAGGCTAATAATTATATAGTGTTATTGAAAAATTTTAACATTAGTTAGTAGGCTAATAATTATATAGTGTTATTGAAAATAATCTTAACAACAGTAAGTAGTAATTATTCAGTGATATTGAAAATAATCTTAACATTAGTTAGTAGGCTAATAATTATACAGTGTTATTGAAAATAATCTTGACAACAGTAAGTAGTAATTATTCAGTCAGTATTATTGAAAATAATGGTCTGAAGCAGTTTAACATTACATAAATGAGCCTCTAACTCTAAGGTTTTATTTCAAGCTGTTTAGGTCCATTTAAATTAAAACTGCATTAAAATGCTAATATTAAGTGTTTGATGTTTGTTGGAATATTAGATCCCTTAGATAAAATCTATAAGAAAAACAAAGGTAAAAATTGCCATTACACTGAAGAAACTTAAATACTACTAGTTTTAGGTGAATGCTTTTTGAATAATGTGTCGATTATAAATGACTGATACCAAAAATTATGTACATATCAAACACTGTTTTGATATAAAAAAATAAAAACTTAATACGCCTAATTACAACCATTTGGAGCTATTTTGGCAACACTTTCATCTGAAAAGTTGTACTAATTTGGGTTTTCTTTTTTGGTCTTGGTAGGAAAGAAATAGTGATACTACCTCCAAAGCGAAATTCAGATAATTTCTGTCAAAGTAAATAACTACTCTCATTGACTTAAGCCAGGGGTCTCCAAACTTTTCAGCCCGAGGGCCACATTGACTATCAAAAATAATTTCGGGGACCAGAGATTCTTCAAGGCATCTTTTCGGGGTGGTGAGCTCCCCCTCCCCCCACACTAAAATATAATTTATATAGAAATATATACAAATTTCAAGTGGGCAAAAAGATCTCCGCGGGCCGGATGAGAGGAGCTCGCTGGCCGCATCCGGCCCGCGGGCTGTAGTTTGGAGACCCCTGACTTAAGCTGTAGGGCCTATATGTTTTCTATCTGATTTTAAAACAATAGCCAATAATGTTAATTTAACCCTAAGGTACACAGAAGTATCTCTACAGACAGCAATAACAATTTAATGATAGGAGTGGGGCCAAATGATACAGATAGTACCAAGATGTGTCTGGATTCAGTATAAAATTAAAGGGATGGTGCACATACTTGTATAACATTATATTAATGGGGTGGTGAGGTGACATGTTATAACATAACATGGAGGGGGCGTGGTGATGCATTGTCATTTTATTTCATTGGGTGGTAATAGTAATAATAAGCCATCTTGTATTAAAAACTATTTTTATTTTGATTTATGAAGTGTGTTTTGTCCTTTAGGATGATTTAATGAGGGTTGATCTTACATATATTAAAGCTTAACAACTGATTTAAATGAAGCAGCAACTAGCTAGTTTTCTGAAATGACATTGTTCCCATTAATTAAAAAAACAAAACCTTAAGTATAACTGGTTTGAGGGTGGAAGGGAGTGATCCCTATAACTATATAATATTGTGGGTAGCAGTCTAACATCAGTCTAATAACAGTGATGTTTTTATATTACGTAATATGTGCATGGTCTCTTAATAACAAGATCTGGTAATATCCACTATAAAATGATCATTAGAACCTAGAGGAGACATTTTAATGATTTATAAGTATAAGAGAGCTTTGCTTTTGTATTAGTACAATTATACAATGTATTCTTATCGTATAGGAAATATTTTTGTGTGTCTATGACCATCAATTATACAATGTATCAATCTTATTGTAAAGGAAATATTTTTGTGTGTCTATGACCATCATCTGGCTCACTTGGCCACACCCACATCTCAAGGCATTTAACCACATTCTCCCTGTGGGCCAAAGACCACATTCTCCCTGTGGGCCAAAGACCACATTCTCCCTGTGGGCCAAAGACCACATTCTCCCTGTGGGCCAAAGACCACATTCTCCCTGTGGGCCAAAGACCACATTCTCCCTGTGGGCCAAAGACCACATTCTCCCTGTGGGCCAAAGACCACATTCTCCCTGTGGGCCAAAGACCACATTCTCCCTGTGGGCCAAAGACCACATTCTCCCTGTGGGCCAAAGACCACATTCTCCCTGTGGGCCAAAGACCACATTCTCCCTGTGGGCCAAAGACCACATTCTCCCTGTGGGCCAAAGACCACATTCTCCCTGTGGACCTCGGTTCACATTTTTATAACAGTGAACTGTTCATTTTAAAACATTCTGCTTTGTAACATCAATTAAACCTTTATTTTATTATGTTTTATTGTGTTCAGTAACGTGTTTTATTGTTTTGTTCCCTAACTTATTTTTTTTTAAAATTCTGTTCTGTAACGTGTTTTTAAAATTCTGTTCTGCAACATGTTTTAAAATTCTGTTCTGTAACTTGTTAAAAAATCTTGTTCAGACCAAAGAGTTCCTTATTTTGGTGGTTCCCTGAGGCCGCGATGTCTTTGTTGTGTCACCCAGAATGACTTAAGGGCCCTTGGTCCTTTGCACACACATTGCACCTGCTCATTTAGACGTCAGCAGTATTTGTTTTTACTTGAAGCCCCGGCTATATTCTGTTGAGCCCCCTGCTCTTTGATACTATTGTTCACTTATATTGCCATTATAGGTCTATTTATAGACGCAAGAGTGTGCATCAGTTTTTGAAGTTCATGCACACACCTAATACAGTGTTATGATTAGCCTTAGGGGTCATCCATAAATGACGTCACGCTTTTTTTGACGATTTTTACCTCCCCCCCTCCCCTCCGTCACACGTCGTCACAAAAAGCCAGACCCCCCCCCCCCTAAAATGACGTCACACCTCAACCTACAACCCCCCTCAAAATTGCAGTTGAATTTTTTTAAACATCGATATTTTTCCAAAATCTTGTCTAAACTATTACAATTTATTAAAACAGTTATCTAAAACGCGAAATAACGTCTAAAATTCGTTTTCTAACATTGCTTTTTTATAATGCAAAAATGTGACGTCGCAACATCTGACCCCCCCTCCCCCTCATCACACATCGTCACAAAATTACGTACCCCCCCTCCCCCCTACGAGTGTGACGTCATTTATGGATGACCCCTTACGGGGGAATCAAAAGTTACGGAGAGGTTTAGAATCAGTAATTCAGATACCGGTTTTTAAATTAATAGTCTATTGAAATTCTTTATAGTCTATTTTTAAAAAAAGCACGTCATGACAATTTCAAATAAATCTAGCCACAACAACGAATGCTAAATCACAACACCGACCATCAATAAATGGCGTGTTCATTGGCGATGCGTTTTGTGGTGCCAGTTACACATTTCAATAGTTCATTTCACTAGAGTGCCGAGAAAATGTGTGCATTAATCACCGTTTGAATATACGGTAAATAATGACACGCTCTGTTGACATGTATAATACCGTCAGAATTCCTTTTGTGTGTGCTTTTATTGACGTTGTTGAGTAGTAAGACCTTAAAAAACTGTTCTTTGGTGCGGGTAAGAGAGGGTTTACACGCTGTCTAAAGAACTAATGTTTGGTGGAATAGAGCTAGATTGAAGGGTGGATTGTTTTCTAAATAAATGGTGATATAATAATTTCCCAAAGCTATTAAAATAATTGGTGTCTTTTTTATTAGGAGTAGAATCTGTATAAGGTAGTTTACTTAGCGGTGTTAGAAGTATAGAAGGTAGTCTACTTAGCTACCATTAGAAGTATAGATGGTAGTCTACTTAGCTACAGTGTTTCTTCCAGACTTTTTTCTCCGGGGGGGGGGGGGGGGCACTTGAAATTTTCGGGGGGGGGGGGGGGGAGGGGGAAGAGATGCCTGGAAGAAACTCTGCTTAGCTACGTTAGAAGTATAGAAGGTAATCTACTTAGCTACCGTTAGAAGTATAGAAGGTAGTCTACTTAGCTACCGTTAGAAGTATAGAAGGTAATCTACTTAGCTACGTTAGCCCTTTGTGAAAAAAATCGATGGGTAATCGCTAGACTTGACCATGTCATCCTAACATATAACACTCGTAGTTATTGATCTGCCTGACGATGAGGTATGGATGCGCAGTCTCGTGCCTTGACGGAAAGTAGGCTTACAGTCATACACAAGGGGTCGGGTTAGTGGGGGGGGGGGGGTTGAGGCTTAGACTAAAAATTGTAACGTGAGTGACGTGACTTTTAATTTTTTAAATCTCAAACACTGCAAATATAGTTATAAAACAAAAAAAATGGTGGAGGGGGGGGGGATAAAATTAAAATAAGTAAATGTCAGGTATCAGTAGTTAATTAATATGTGATTACTTTTTTTCCCCACCCATTCATTTCCTGGTGATTAGCTTCAACCAACCTCGTTTCTGATTCATCGACTGAACAAAAACGTGTAAAAGGTCAAGATTTTCTTCTCTGCTAAGCTGTTTCATTAACCCCAAGTGATCTCACTTAACACTTGAAACATCGCCCGGCTCATAGGTTCGGCTACTGACCGCCACATCATGTCGGCTCCAGCCCTACCCGACCCTGCCAGGTCAGGCGTGACCAGCTTCCACGTGAAGCCGGTCCGACGCACGTAGCCGCTGGACCGTGACGTTTGAACCATGAGCGGGAGAAAACATTAACAGTAACCACAACCCGAACTGTAGCGGACATTCCCGGATTTTGTAGTGTCGCCAGATCTCGCCCATAGGATGGAGTCGGTGACGCGGGTCAAAGACGAGAAACCCCCCACCCCCCAGCAGCAGACTCAGCAGTTCCAGAGCCTGCAGTTCCAACAGCAGTTACATTCCCTGCAACAGCAGCAGCAGCAACATCAGAGCCTACAACAGCTGCAGCAGCAGTTGCAGCTTCAGGCGTTGCTGTCGGCGGCTTCGCAGTAAGTTTTTAAAAAATTAAAATTCTCTTGTGTATGTGAGTGGCAGTGTGGTTGCTGTAGCTGGTGTGTGGGTGATAGGTTCTTGTACCAGTAGTGGTGTGTGTCGTTCATTGCAGTGGATGTAGTTGTGGCGGTGTGGTTGTGCTGATGACAGTAAGGTTGGTTGTCGAGTGTCTTTTTGTGTTGGTATGTGGCTGTCGAAGATGGATGTGTGTGGTTGTGTGTGGTGGGTTGCCGTAGGTTGTATGTGTGTCGGGTAGTGAGTCCACAGGTGTCTGTTTTGTGGTTGCCGTATGTGGTTGTGTGTGGTTGCCGTATGTGGTCGTGTGTGTGTGTCAGTGTGGTTGCCGTATGTGGTTGTGTGTGGTTGCCGTATGTGGTTGTGTGTGTGCTGTCAACGACTGCCTTGTTGCCGTATGTATATGAGCGTACACAGTTTGATGTTGATACACACATATGCCAATGTAAAATATCTCTGCCTGTGTAAACACTCGCCACAGGTGAGTCCACAGGTGTCAGTGTGTAAACGCTGACCGCAGGTGTGAGCTCCACCTGTGTCGCAGGTGTGGCTGTAAGCTCATTGCAGGCGTACACCGATAGTGCTATTACAGACCTGAATGTAATTAACTGCCGCAGGCATGAGACAGACTACTACGACAGGCGCAGTTCTTGTGTATACAGTTGACAGTGTGAGTTAGCAGTGCTGTTACACGTATTGGCCTCTTTGTGTAAATTCATGTTGCATGTGTGAATGAAAGGTTTCACATTTTTTACACTCAAACGCCGGCGTCCATTGTTTTTGTTAATGTTATCACAAAAAGCATTGCATAACATCAGCCATCTTATCTTGATGAAGCTATGAATACTAAAATCGATTTGGGAATATTCAATGTTTCTATGCCTCAGAAGGCCTGAATTAGTTAACAGAGATACACATACTATGTATTAACGACAATTTTGCTGGGGAATATTATTTAATATACTCTTCTATAGTAGGGCCTACATGCCCCCCCCCCCCCCCCCCCCGAACGAAATGGAATTTATATAGAAAATATACTTTTGACAGTGTGTCGTCGTCCCCTCCCGCCCCCCGGAAATTGTTGTCCGCCCTCCCGAAAATTTCAAGTGCACCCCCGGAGAAAAAAAGTCTGGAAGAAACACTGATCACGCCCCTATAAGTTAGTGCTATGTGATGACGTAGAGTGCAGAAAACAAGTCTAAATTTAGACGGATCACGACAGGTTCAGCTTTGTTAAGATCTCGTTGAGGGAACGTGTTTCTGACACGCACCACTGACCGCCAGTCACCGCTGGATGTCGACACCCGTCACGCTTGAGTGGATGAACAATCCGTCGATTGATTTGTTATAAGACAAAGGGGACGATAAGTCGGCGGGGAGTGACAGCTTCTGTTGTGTTGGTTGTATAGAACCTATGTTAGGGAGTAGTGGACAGTAGACGTCATGGTGGGCAGTTGTGGACAGTAGACGTCATGATGGGCGGTAGTGGACAGTAGACGTCATGGTGGGCAGTTGTGGACAGTAGACGTCATGATGGGCGGTAGTGGACAGTAGACGTCATGGTGGGCAGTTGTGGACAGTAGACGTCATGATGGGCGGTAGTGGACAGTAGACGTCATGATGGGCGGTAGTGGACAGTAGACGTCATGGTGGGCAGTAGTGGACAGTAGACGTCATGATGGGCGGTAGTGGACAGTAGACGTCATGGTGGGCAGTAGTGGACAGTAGAAGTCATGGTGGGCAGTAGTGGACAGTAGACGTCATTGTGGGCAGTAGTGGACAGTAGACGTCATGGTGGGCAGTAGTGGACAGTAGACGTCATTGTGGGCAGTAGTGGACAGTAGACGTCATGGTGGGCAGTAGTGGACAGTAGACATGGTGGGCGGTAGTGGACAGTAGACGTCATGATGGGCAGTAGTGGACAGTAGACGTCATGGTGGGCAGTAGTGGACAGTAGACATCATGGTGGGCAGTAGTGGACAGCTTTAGTAGTGTACTGTTAGGACCCTAGATGCCAACAGCTGCAAGTTATAGAAATTTATTTCATACCCGTGTTTCTGAATGCCACTGACTTTAATGGAGTCTTCTAACAAAGGGAGGTAAACTATTAAAACACACTACTCGTCAATGACGACACAAACCCCAACACCCTACACTGAAATTACTACTTGGGGATAGCGTGGTCGGGAAACAGAGCGTAGGATCATCTCCATTAAGTCCCGAGTTAGAACCCACTGACAAATGAGGTTTGTTAGTCGGGTACAGCTATATCTTCCAGGAGAGCAAACTCCACAATCAAACAACTGCTGCCTTGTAGTTTGTTCTTGGACGGACAAAGACTACTAAAGCAAATCTAGAAAGAAAAACAGGCTCAAGTCATGGTCAACATGCCATTATGCGCAAACTCGTTGACATCTATTTAAAAAAAAAATATTTGTGTCGGAGAAAAAGCGGTTAATAGTTCAATCAATAACAAAGAAAACGACTACTAACCAACCCAACACACCTATTTTTAAAAACTCCTTCTTTACGATTGTATCAATCTTTCCTTTTTTTTTACATACATAAAGGACGAACAGCTGGCTTTATGTTTGTTGATGCAGTTACTCAAAGTAGACATACGTTACGAGTAATATGTTAATAGTTTACCCCCCCTCCCCCCTTTGTTAGTAGACTCCATTATAGCCAGTGGCATTCTAAAACACGAGTATGAAATAAATGTCCATAACTTGCAGTTGTTGGCATCTTGTGTCCTAATACTACTAAAGCTGACCACTACTGCCCATCTACTAACACCTGATAGGTCGTCGACAAAAGGGCATATTCCTAAACTAGTTTACTTATATAGCAATACTTCCACTACCAGTCAAAATCTAGGGCTAGAATATCATTGTCGATTATTTCCATTTTAAAAGTGTGGGTACGGCTAATCCGTTATGACCTAAAGCTATTTAGATTGAGTGTCTATAATATTCTTGGCCGAAGGCTTATATTGGATTTGAGTCATGGTTTTGGTTATCGATATTCGGGAAAGGGCTTTGCCTTTAACGATGATACCGATTCAGTGTATGAAATTTGGTAGTTGCCGTGTTTGGTCTTTTAAATTAATAAAAAATAGAAGTACTAGTAGAAATCTACATCTAGATACAGAATAGTTACCAGACAAAAAAAAAAACAACTCATGCGTAGTAAAGTAGTTCTGTGGGGTACTTGATGTTGTACATGTCGTGTGGATGACAGGTGTCATCGGAAAACATACCGTAGTCAATAAATTTCCGTCCCGACCCTAATCCCAACCCCCGGGCTGTCGCTATCGAGGTATCCATCGAAATGTTCCAATATTAATAGCTTTTTGTGTTGGACGCCATGCGTGTGACGTCACGCGGCTGACGACACACGAACAATCATGGCCGCTGAGCATGAGATAAAAGCTTTAAAAAAAGTATCGCCGATAACTCTGCTAGTTACCGTATTTACCGTAAATAATGGATGCACGGACCATGCCCGATTTCATGAATCTTAGCATTTTTTCTAAGTTTAGACATTGTCTATTGTTTACGTTTCAGCGTGTTAATGTGTGGCTAATGTATCATTTACCGGTTCTTTCTAATTATAAGCGCTTTTCATGGCTTGCTTTGTTAAAGGTTAAATATAGCGTTGACATGAAAAGTTTTTGAAGAAGATACCGGTCTTTTGAAAGTCACTGTTGGCAACCCTTGTGGTTTTTTTTTTAAATACTGATCAGCCTCAACCAGCTGATGCAACAAAATTTAACCAGATGACCCACCTGAACTAACCAGCCGTGCCCAGCACGCTACACATCCTGCTTTACCCTGAGTGTAACGGTGTGTGTGTGTGCGTGAGAGAGACTGCTCACCATTCAAGTCCGCCTGACAGCCTGCGCTCATCGCCTTCCGTTGACCCACCGTTTGCTCCGTGTTGCGAACACAGCCCCGTGCTAATCAATGTCGTTGGACATATTCTACAATGGCCGATTTTTCATGTACTGATTTTTAGTGTAATCGATACGAATCAATGTGACAACGATTCGGTGACATTCGCGTGGTTTTACCTTTTAAACTATTTCGAAATCGCTTCTTGGTGATTGGTTGTTAAAAATAGAATGCTGACAGTTAAATAAAAAGGTATCGCGGTGTTTAAGTGAAGTGAAATTGACGTTGAGTGAAAGGTCTGCTTTGCAAGGAACAGAAATAGTACACTCTTAGGTTAATTCAAACTGTAGCATATCAATTTTTTTAAAGGTCATAGTGCTGAAAAAGTAACTATTTATTATATAACTTACAAATAACATAATGTTTGCTTTGTTTCGATTTTGTTTTCTACACCATCAAGGCCAAAACCAGCCCTTTGTTACATTTTGTTTTCAAATCTTCGGACAAATTCGTTTACCTTCTGTTAATCCAAATAATTAATTAAGTAGCTGTGCTATTCGTGTATTTAATAACGTATAGAATTCAGAATTATATGTTCTTTTTAATTATTGACGGGTTTTAAAAAATGATCACTGCATTATGTTCATTTATTCTCGACAGGTTAATAAAAAAAGTAAGGATATTAATTTTTAATTTAAGCCCAGCGACGTCAATGATTGGTTGAATGTGTCACGTGGTCGTATGTACAGACGCCGTGCTTTGGTTGGCTGCAAATGTCGCAGCTTGTCCTACGCTCAAAGCTTCTCATTAATTCAATCACATAGTAAGGGAGTCGCTGAGTTATGAATCGAACAGGCGCCCGGGGTTTGACTGAAGCTTTGTCTTAAAGCCCGAGTCACCCGCCTCAATACATACTGCACGCGTTTCTCATGCACTTAGAAATAGGCGCTTCGTTTGTTAGCGGCTGAGTAATCTTTAAGCCATCTTTTAAATTTTTTTGTTTTATTACTTGTTTTCGAAGCTGGGTAGCCGACAACAGCTGATGGTTATAGTGGCTGGTCCATAACAGCTGGTGTTGATACTGACCA